ATGTATTATAATAATTCTTCCTATAGAATGACAATTTCACTTTTTGATTCTTTTTCTCCGTTTTCATGAGAGGTTGAAGCCTGCCACGTAATGCATGGCTATGTACTGCTGGGTATAAAATTTCTCGAGGTTTCTTGGGGCAGGGGGGGGGGGGCTATAGCATTGTTTAGGACCAATCTAAATCGCAAATTTGAAGTACCATCCTTGGAAGCTTGGTTCTCTGAGGCTAGCCAGGGAAAGGGTGCTCTTGGATAGTTTAAAGGGCAAACCTCCTACTTTTTGCATATTCCTTAATTGAATTTTGATTTTTTTCTCGACAATCTGTGCCCCACAAGCTCTACCGTCCAAGCAAAAATTTGTAATTAGGTGTGATTTTTTGGGAAGAAGTAGTTAACAGCGTTCTAAATTTCCGATGACCTAATCGTTTGGGTGCTCTTCACTTTTCGGCTATATCTTACTATCACAAAGTCTGATTCTTCTTCCAGAAGTAGAAACGTTGTAATAGCAAGATTGAGAATTTACAAAAATTGAAACTAAGCAATTCTTGGAAATTCATAAAATCAAGAAAGCGAATGGTGCCTCAAAAGAATTTGAGAAGTACTTATTATTGTGCACGAGCATTAGTACTCTTATATTGGTTGCGAACTCATTAGGCAGCACAGAAAACAACGTCTGACCATGCAGGGGTGCAGACTTTGGCTAATTGGCGCAAATTAAGTACATATATATGTCTGATGGTTAAAGGTGTTGAGAGATATGCAATAATAATGCCAAACGACTTAGCGAGGTCTGCCAACTTTTCGTCATCAGCATTTCCACCGTAAATTTCGTAGAACTTGTTCCATTGTTATTTCCGCCAAGTAAATGTTGAACCTCTGCTCTGATTTGTAAGTTCATTTTTTACCCCGTTCAACTTTTTCTCCTATTTTGTTTATCGCAACTCCTTCTTTCACATCAGCTAGCTCAGACAACGAACGTAGCTGTGATCTTTTGCTAAGCTCTAGAAAACATAAAAAATGTCGTATTTACCTTTTCATAACAAGGAAATCTTTCGCAAACATATAAAAAATTGCTTTTCCTACGAAAGGCTCCTTTGTCTTATAATCTACATAAAAAATGGGCTTACACATGCTTCACTTTTTTCATGACTTGAACAGACGCAAAATACCTGGTTATTTACGCATAGGTGACCTTAAATCGCTGTGGAAAGGTTGACTGCTTAGATTAGGATCAACAAAACACAGGATAAAAAATCAGGAAGTCGTAGAAGTTGTCACGATGTTATAATGTCATCCGTTTAAGATCGGCACGACTGGCACAAAAAGCTGAATGAGGTTTTTGACTAAAAAAGCAAGAAGATATCTTTTCTTGAGAGTTTTTGGGCACATGCATAAATTTCGGACCCTATATCAGAAGGGCTCTTCTAGTCATTTTCGAGTGCAAATTAAGGTGAGGCCATCACTTACATCACTTACATGTTCTAACGCTCTCATACGAGGGGATAATTAGTGTCCTTGATAGATCAATACTTGCTTAACGAATAAAAAATAATTTGACAACAGAGCGCATCAGCGCATAAGAGACATCGAACTGGGTTTGGATACTTGTGAAATTTTCTAGACGAAAAGTTGTGACAAAGTTTACCAAACTAGCTGACACTGCGCGAGATAGATAGCAGCCAAGCTGGTACCTTACGCTAAACGAATTTACCAGTTTCAGCGCATGAATCTGACTCATAGCAAAAGCTACATACTAATAACAGAAAGCTTCTCCCATGCTTCCGTACTTTACAAAAGTTGAAGAGTAGTGAAGAATGTAGCTTCTCTTGCTTAGCAAGTGAAACAATGACTTTGGCTTGTAGTTTCCCCTGATCCTTGCAAACTTTTTCAATTCGAGTTATCATAAAGGAAAAAATATGTTTTCTTCTAGCGCTTCAAGCATTGTTTTATGACTGTACAAGCTGATTAAAAATATATTCTAACCGTTTTATACACATTCTATGGCTAAATGCGTGACAGTGTGTTTCATAATGTCCGCCTTAACTGGGTTGAAGTTCACTGTATTTCCGATTATGATTTACCTAACTTTTTTGAACTGGAGTTACGCTGTCCAATGCTGTGCGAATAACTACAATTCTGGTCTTATATTTGTCATCGCTAAATTCGTTTCAAATGGGACTCTACAAAGTAAGACGGAACGGACTATTTGTATATGACAAAAGTATAAGGTAAAACTGAATTGTTCTTGAAAGATCTTGAGAATCCCTTAGTTTTTCTTGCAAGTCTTATTCACCAAACTTAATACTCAAGAATAAAATGCTACAACTGAACTCCTCGTGCGGGATCACTTCTGGTAACTCAGGCAAGAAAGTGTGCTGACATGTTCACCTGAAATTATCCGAAATTATTTCAAAGTCAGTTTCAAAGCGATTTGTGACAGAGATTATAGAGAGAGCCAGCGAAGTTGTTCCAGTCCGATACATAATTCAAACTATTGATTTCAAAATGCTAAGTTAGCTATACCAACATGCTTATACTCATATCCACAGGCAGACGATTTTCACTCTTTGCGGAAGAATATCATGGCACAAATCAGACATTCTTCAATAAGTTGTGTGAATATCTCGATTTCGCTCTTGTTGCTGCTCCACGTCTTCCTTCAAACTCTACGCGAGCACCTTTGAGAGGAGAGTTATTTGCTTGTAAAGTCTGCTTTGTGTAGCATCTCTATACCTCGTCGAAAGCTTGACTTGATAAGGCTGTTTGAAAAATTAGACTTCCACTAACGTGAATCATTTTCTCAAAGCGTGCACCTCAAATTTTAGCATGATTCTGTCCCTATAGTTTATGCTTTACTGACTTCTGACCGCTGCTCTTTTCTTGCTCGTTAAGCCTTCATATGTCTCTTTCAATGGGGCGCCTCAGCAGTACAATGGAAAATCCTGCAATATTAATCTCTCACGTCGTTACACTTTGATGAAACGCGCAACCTTAAATTAGCTTTGCATGCCCTTCTATTACTTCTTTACAAGTCAGTCAAGCTTGACTGAGGGAGCAGAATTTGTAAACCTATCGTGTGGTCGAGAAAATTTACACTTTTCCAGTTTTGAAACTATAGGGAATTTTAGCCATTCAGATTTAGAATAAGCAATATTTCTAACATGCACATGCGCTAAACTGGCTGGAAAACTTATATCCTAGTAGCTAGTATCCTAAGTAGCCTCATTTTTATCTCTTCGCCAGATTTCACTTTCTTCTTGATTTTGAAATGGAGCTTGGATTGGGACCAATCTATCTAAGGCAATCTCTACAGATGACGTCAAATTATCGTAGAAAGTGTGGAGCATATAAGCTGTCAAAATCTGGAAGCATTCAAGAATTCGAAAAAGATTGGCCCCGTTTCAAAAAAAAACTCCAACGTTTACATAATATATCGCTGATAATTTTTGCAACAAAGACGCTACTTTTATCTAATATATGTGACAACCACCGTAGCGTAGGCAGATCTCGTATGAGTGTGTACAAAATCTGAATTTAATGGCACCACTTGATTCAGCTTTACGGTAGATTAGACAGTGTGGCGTGATTGAGCACCCTGAGTAATTACCGTAAGCAAAAATCTGCAAGGCTTTGCGAAAACTGGCTGCCTATGTTTTGTCTACCATGGCAAAGTATGCACATCTATATAATAGAGGATGCGCTTCGTCGAGCTGAATCGAATGGTACCATCGGACTCAGACTTCGTCCACTCTGAAGCGAGATGTGGACACTCGACGGTGATGTCAAATAACTCGAGTGGTCGTCGCGTCTTTCCTGCAATTCTCTCTTTATTAGAGATTTTATGTCTACCGAGCCACTTGTATCTAAATATTTATGTGGCTTGCTACTGCGCGAAGCAACCAACGACAATCAACGGCATTCAACCTTACTAGTAAGTTAAAACCACTTCTAGCTTTTTACTGCCTTTTGAACCAAAAAAAAATAAAAGGAGATCACTAAATTTTACATGTTTCAATCTTGAAAGTCATAAAGTTAAGTTACGAATAATTGGACGACATATATAATATATATGTTCCAGAGATTTCCTGCTGCTTTGCGAACTATTCAAATAAAATCACCCATCAATGTTCTAATGTGATCCCGCTTGGGGTCAAAGGGTCCAAAATCCTTGCCTTGTTTACAAGGAAATAGATGAAATGACATACAAAGCGTATCCTCTCAATGGGAAGCAAGAATAATGCACAAAAAGCTTGTGAAAAACTTGTGTGAATGAAAGGCGTGCCCAAGTTTCTACTGAATCAGTTGGCGCTGTTGCCAGCGTCGCGCGAAGCCGCTACAAAAGAGCAAACTCAACTTCTCCCCTCACACATATTCAAACTCATCAGATATCTGTTGTTTAGCTCAAGCTCTGAATACTAGCACCATTCCAGTTTCTTTCTTGACTATGATATGGCCCTCAAAACTAATAAAGTCAGCTTCATCGCCGACTTTCAATGTCTTATCTTCATTTCCATCCAATAAAAGTCCACCTGTTCGCCAAACATTCAGAAACATCTCGAAAGGTCTGTCGAAGATGTTTGCGAAGTTAGAAAAGACTCCTTCTCGAAACTGTCTGGTGCCTTTCCTTGGAGAGTAACTTAATTTATTGGTTACCACAAGTCTCTCAAAGACTCGTATAAATTTAAGCCAAAAACTCAAGAAGTGAACTTCACCAGACTAAAATTTACTATAAGCGCAAAATCGGCAGTGTTTGAAGCATTGGTATCATTCAGTTTACCCATAAATGTCGTGTGCTGACATTTAACTTGCATGGAGTACAAGGTGTATCACCCTATCAGCAAGAACTCTTTGAAAACCACTAATCTGCTGCTTCTTTTGGATATTGAACACGTGAATCTTGATAGGCTTACCTTACCCATTCATTTTTTCTCACTGATGACGCTGCTTAAGTTGGCAATGATTATGAGAACACCAAATAATATATTCTTGAAATTTCCAGAAATGGATATGATGTGTCAAACGATGCTCTATCTGCCTTGCGATCCAGAGCTTATCATATTCAAAGTGAGTGTTTTTTAGGAAATTCAATGAAAATGCTTGAAACACTCCAGGGTTACGTATGGTTACTGAAAACAACAACAAAATTTTTTACTTCAATTCAGTGTGAACTTACCTCACAAAATTCAGTGTGCCAGACAGTGCCACAAAATTCAAGCCAGAAATGCCATGTCGTAGCTCTACAGTACTCAGTCGTTTGATATTCCACAACCTCAGAGTGGCGATGTGATCTGGAAAAACCATGCCATCAAAATCATTCCCTCCTTGGAGACGTTTTTGGATTGTCTTTGAAGTTTCGGATATCCTAGACTTGGATGTAATGAAGTTAATGCTAGTAAGATAGTCAACAAGATTGGAAATTCTGCAGTGACAAGTTCTGATCTAGCATCCAACCACTTTTGAGATCATACAGGAAAGAAAATTGTTGAGAATGCATTCTTAGAGTAACTTATGCATTTTCATCCGCAAGTCCTTAAATTAGTACTATATAAATAATCCTGCTGGTACGGTAGGATATGCTCCGCAAACGTTTTCGTTATATACAACATCGTTCCCTCTAAAAATTGGACTGAATTTTACGCGCTAACATTCGGAAATCTTGGTTACCATCACGTCGCTGTAACTTCATTCAAAGTAAATCTTTCAAAAATTTGGAGGTATTGTAACAGTTGTCCTTATTTTGAGGTGTAAGATCACCTACCGTATAACCACTGTATAACAGATTATAACCACTGCATACCGACAGATTCTCGGGCCTATAAGCAAACAAAATACATCCAAAATTATTTCAAAATTGTTTTTTTAGACATTATTATCACTGTATAAATTCCCCCATCAGAGTGAACACGAACTTTTTGAAGAAGACAATATCGAGTGGAAATAACTTGTGCAGTAACGTGATGGAAGAAGTACGCCTATTCGAATGGAGTAGGGTAGTTCCACTTCCACTGTATCATAAAGCTCAAGGCTTTGAAAATCTAATTTTAGGACCTCGTTATATACAGAATGTCCGTAAAGTATGTATACACTGTTTGATCGTAAATATCTCTCTTCCCAAGAAGTCTTTTGCCTTGCATCAGGTACCGTTTTGTAGAGCTAACTTCAACTTAGATTTGCAGTGTAGAACGAATCACCCATCTTTCTTCATTAATTACTGTAGGATTACGGTAGAAACTTCGAATAGGGTTTTGAGCCATGAAAGGCCATATTTTGCCTCACAAAGGAAACAAAACAGCCTGAAAGCTTTTACGCTAGGCCAATTAGAGTTGCTGATTCTAACCGTGAAGTTCCCAACTTATTGTGATGCTTCGAGTTATGCCGGGTAAGAGGTAGCGGCCATTTTTTCAATGTTCCTGAAAAGTGCGGTTACACCGTTTAGAAAGCTTCGCAATCTTGTGAATAGTTGAGTACTGAACTCAGCGTCCATAAAAACCCTATTACACAAGTTTTCACATTTTTTTTGAAAAATTTTGAAACGGCAGCTTTTTCCACATTGACACCATATGTTTCAAGTTTCTACCGTAATTCTACAGTAATGAAGAGCGCTCTATACTGTAAATCTAAGTTGAAGCCAGCTCTACAAAACGTACCTGAAGCAAGGCAAAAGACTTGTTGTGAAGAAAGATATTAATAATCAAACAGTGTATACATACTTTTTGCACACCCTGTATATGCCCCTACTGATGCAAACTTCTTTAGGTGGACAGCTTTGCCGAGATGGATTGGGCTAAAGCTTTGACGCTCAGCATGGATCTGGACGTGTTCGCCAGTCTCAGTCAGTGCCGTCCTGTTCTGCTTCTTCTTCATCTTCTCCACAACCACCTCCTCCTCTTCAGTCGCGTGGGGTAGTCAGTCCATTAGCTATTTCTGTCCATTGGACGGCTTTTCATTTGCGCAAGTTCTGCTGGCGATTCGCCGACGAAAGACGACGATCCATTCGAACGTATCGCAATGTGTCGTGGCTGATCTAACCGATAAGCATTGACTCATCTAAACAATCGAAGGCTTCAGCCTGGAAGTTGAGGTTAAGCAGATGCTACATCAGCCAGCGGACTCCTTTCCTTAGTCAGTTTTAGCCTAACAAAGTCAGGATTTTCATTTTTATGGGTAAAAGCCGAAAAGGCCATTGCCATATTTCATTCTGATTTGTTGCCACCGCTTAAGCAATAGGGAAAGTGTAATGAGTTACGCCTCCAAACTCATTCACTCGTCTCACTTACGCAGACAATCTGGATCTCGTCTTCGTTCTTCTAAAAACATCCGATACCACAAAATCTGTTCTCAGAACATTTTTTCTAATCTAGGCAGAAACTCCAACCACGAATAAGCCGCTAATCCTTCGCATACTGTAGACAGAAAAACTACTTTAACTCGAGTAACTGATAGTCGTGAACTTTCTGGTAACGATGCGGCAGTCTAATCTCTTTTTTATCTCATTTCTAAAATCAATCAAAGTTCATGAATGCAAAGTTTGTCAAAAAACAAAAGACACATTATTTTGTGCATGAGAAATTGAAAAAAGCACAGAAAATGTATTCAATGAATTAAATCACAAATCAGCAAACTAGCTTGATTTATGCATGCATAGTGTATTGATGCTAGCTCCTGCACCACTGCAACTTTGTCGACACTTTTTATTTTGATATTTTTTGTTTGTATTTCTTGCATATGGACATTAGTGGAGCGCTCTCTGTCACGATAGATGTTCTCCTCAATTTTAGTCAGTTTTCTGAATATCTTTATAGTTGATACTTGTATCAGGTGCTTCCTAGATCTAATCATGAAGTGGAAACGAGAAATCGAAGGCTTGAGAATAGAGCTTAATCAGTTTCTTCGATGCATTTATCTACAAAATTCGTTAGTGTGTCAAAGTAAATTTTGTGAAACAAAAATTTTTATCTGCTCAAAACTTTCGATTTTCTTGAAAAAGGAGTACCACAAGTGCCATTGGCCTTTCAACATAACATAGGTATTTTCATACAATCGTGGCGAACGAATTTCTGCGGTCTTTGCGTCCACACGGTCTAAAACATTCATACAAAAAGGCATCACCGACACTTAGCTCAGTCACTTTCAGTGCCTAACTATCACACGTAAGCAAGAAAACCATTTGAGAAATTAAAACCAAGAAAATGCTGTTGCTGGAAGTAGGTGCGTGTCGCGCGCGGTCGCGTCAATTTCACGATTTTTTGAATACCCTATATCTTCCAGAGCAGCCTGAAACGCTGATTCCAAAACAACCTTCCTTAGCTAAAGAACGAGTGTGGGTGGTGGTGCTTAAAAACGTTATTCTGTGGTGATTGCTGCGCACTAAAGAATAACATTAAAGAAAGAATGGTATTACATTAAGCATTGATAAATTGTTTCAACCAGCTTTAAGAACAAACTACATAGGCTTTGATAGTTTTGGTTACTCTCAGAGTTGCAGTTTTCCCGCAAAACAAAGTCAATAATTCTGATTCGGCTTCATTTCTGCAGCACATCAAAACTCAATACTACTTTTGAATAGCAGAAACATATAATCATAGAATGACGTTATTACTCGTTATTGTAATAAAAAATAGATGACTAACCCTTGTGCCTCAGATATTAACAGTACGTCATCTGCATTCTTCCCTTGTTCACTACGGTATCTGCTATATTACTCGTAAAGTTTCTTTGTGAGGTAGTTCTATTGTAAACGTCTTTACACACTGTTTTTGGCTATTTTGACGTATATTTTAATTCAAGCACCTAACAATAAGACTTCTATCATGATCTTAGCAAATAATGGCTTTTACATAGTTAGTAGGTGTAAGAACAGCTGGGTCTAGTACAGCTTTTTCCGATGAGACGTACATACAATCAGTCGAACAGCTTTAGTAGTCAGTGTGTGTGCAATTGCCCAACTTCCAGGCAGAATCTAATCCTTTAGATAAGTTTGCAAGATATGTAGTCACACACTCTTTCTCAGGCGAATTTTGCGTGTAGAAACGGTTCGATAGAAGAAAACAGGTAAACACATTCGGTCCCATGGGCTAATCTGGATGAGCGCAATTGCACGTATTAGCCATGGAATGTGCTAGAATGTGCACCTCTGTATTACAAGGGAAATCTAGCTTTCAAATCAGCTGAACAGTTTTTGTGGAAAAGCTGAAGTCATTAAACCATCTGCATGCAGACTTCGATTGTTTCTAAATATTGAGATCGAAGATAGCAAGATTTGTATTTATCTTCATACATATTCAGAATGTACTTCCAAATTTCATGAACGGCTGGAAATTAAAATCTCTTGGCTCTTTGTCCACTTGCTATATACAGAGTGTCCAATAAAAATGTGAACATTGTTTGATCGTTAATAACTTCCTTGCATTCATGTCTTTCGCCGAGGTTGCATTCTGGAGAGCGAGGTTTAACTTAGATCCACAGTATGAAGCGAATCATCGATCTCTTCATTACTGTAGGATTACGGTATGAACTTCGACAAGGATTTTAGGCCATTGGAGGCCATATTCTGCGCCGAACAAAACTGAACAAGCCAAAAACTCTTGTACTATGGTAATTGTAACCGCTGATTTCAAATTTCCACGTTGCTGTGATGTTATTTCCCAAGCTTATCCCAGGTAAACCGTAATAAATGGATTCCCAGCTTTTGTCAGAAACTATTTACACAGTCAAAAAGCCGAAAATACTCGTAGAAAATTGTATAGTGGAATCAGCGTGCGCGAAAACTTTGGTACATAATTTTTCAGATTTTTTGAAGAAAAAATTCGTCAGATGGCATATTTCACAATGGTTCCACATGTTGGAAGTTCTTATTGTAATCTTACAATAACGAGCGAAGTATGGATTTGCTCCATATTCAAATCTAAGTTGAAGCTCGCTCTACAGAATGGTGCTTTCGGCTCGGCGGAAGACATGAAAGCAAGGGAGCTATTAACGAAGCAGTGTTGGCATTTTTTGGGACACACTAATCACATTCATCCAGTAATAATAATATCGATTTTGGTTTTTCAATATGTGTGAACATAGGTACGCAGAGAACGAAACTGAAGAGATAAAAGTAGCTGGTAGTGGAAGTTATGCGCTAAATCAGCTTCTCACAATCTTGCGACTGGATTTTGTTTTGTAACAAAAACATCTACAAAGACTCGCATTCATCCAATCAGCGCTCGATCTGTATGATTTGTTATACAACGAAGAAAGTCATGCTTGAGAAAGCCGAGCATTGCAAGTGCAAGTCATTGCTGGTACAGACTTCTTCTCCTCACGCAGATTTACAGCTTCTCATCATTTCGAATTATGATTAGCAGTTGTTCCTGCTATTGTTTTCTTGCTTTCAAGGCCATTAAATGGTCACTTATCCAGTTTTTGCTGTATTATTTATATATTCGAGAGTAATTTGAGAAGGACAAATTTCTTACATAGATACGTTGTATGTGGTGGATCAGGTGTAATAGTATTATCGAACAAACTTGCTTACGTCGCCCTAAGGGTTTCATCCCATTTGTGTCCCTTTAATAAGCGCATCCGGCGGCCGCGCACCTAATTGACGTCAGTTTCAATCAGTGCACGCGTCACATCAAATAAGTAGCTACAATACGCCAGATGACGGGGTCAACTCGTCCTCGGCGGCTCTCGGGGCTAACACATCAGCTCATCTTGTGTGAGTACTACGAATGTACTAGAAGGGGCTAAAAGAAGTTCCAGAATGTTTGCGGATGCGGATGTGCGCGGCGCGCGGCGACGCATGCGCGTGTGTGCTCGCGTGTGCCACGAGCAACACACTTTCCTTTTGTTCGCAACTATCTTCTTTCAAGGACGACGTTGAAATCAAATCCGTCGTGTGGCCAAACAGAGCAGATTCCCAGCGATATCCGACATACATGCCGGCTTATGCTGTCAGCTGGCGCTGATTCCCCGTACATCACCCGGGATCAGCAGCGGATAACCAGTGTTTAGCCATTCGTGGGTCATCTCCACAGTTTTGCAGTACTGGCGGGCGGATTTAGCAGCTTTTTCTCGCTCATGGGTGATATGATCACTTTTTGAGAGGTTTTTTATCTGGCCATTGACGAGCACGTGTCCCTCCTAAGTTCTTGATTGAAACTTTTACTTTGGGACAGTTTTCATCGAGAGATATCAATTACTCCAAATTCTAAGGGAAATCCATATTTGAGAAAAACGCCTCGTGGAAGAAGCGCTTGCGATCTCACAAAATTCAGCGTTAAGTAAAATTTACAAAAGATCTCGTCATCGAAAACTTTCAGAACATTTTATAAGTAATTTACAGCTCAAAGTCCAGTGTATTCCTGGTAATTATGTGCCTCAAACTAGCGACCAAACACGAGGTCTCAAGTACCGTGGACATCTCGAATATTTCATCATAAATTTTGCACTTTAAATTCCTGTGAGAGCGAAATCCGGATGTCTAAAACATTTAGCACTAAGAAGGGCATAATAAGTAGGTTTAACATATTAGAATTTCAGTTTAATTCTTATGTGTCTCTCATTTTCAGAAAGAGTATACAGATTAGATAGAAAAAAGATATAGGTCTTTCAGAGCATAGTAATAAATTATCAGAATTCTCCAGTCCGAATTTTCACAAAATTTTTCGGTTTTCCAGTTTCCACAAATGTTCGACTCGGTCGGAATGAGACACGACCGGTAGACTTGAAGCTAATTCTAGTCCATCTTATTCACTACATACATATACTGTTTTGTCATACTTGTATTCTTTTCGAGAACAAAAATAATTTGATCTTGTTTCGGAAAAGCCCTACTTCGCTACACAAAAAGCAGTGGCTAAAAAACTGACACCTTGTCCCAAACATTAAGTCGTCGCTGAGCCAAATCTTGGATAAAAATGTCGATTTCAAAGTTAAAGTTTCATCTCTGAACATCTACTCACTCCAGCTCCCAGCTCCCGCCTCATTTACATTTCACCAAAAACTTGAGAAAAGCTCCAGCAGTGCGGCTAAAGAATAATGGAAAGTATAGAATAATATCCGTTATCCGGGTGTTGAGAATAATGAATACAGCGCGAAGAAGAGACTAACCGTAGCTCGAAAATAGTAAAAAAACATTTTTTGGTTCCGCTAACTGAATGTTCAGAATAAGTAAGTGCTTTCAAACAGTATCAAGGGTCACAAACTGAAAAGGTACAATTCAAAATCTTCAACAAATTACTGCCAAATTTTGAATGTTTCGCTTTTTATTTGTTTGAACCCCAAAGCCAGGTGGGGACCTCAAAAATCTCTACCGGAAGATAAGAGCTCGTCTCTCGTCTGTCTTACACGGGAAGTTCACATGACCGACTGCGAGAATTAATTACCAAGGCAACAAGTGATTGTGTAGACATTGAACAGTAGTGCTACATGATTGACAGAGACAACAACATCTCAGCAGGTGGATGCAAGAGATTCCCAATTCGGCGAATGCGTTTCTGCGCTGCTGAACACGAATGGCAATTAGAAATTTGGGACGAAATCGAACGATTGGGGCGGGTGGAGGGTGAGGTAAGGTGGTGATAGCGTAAGGAGGCGGAGTTGAGTTTGGTATGGATGTTTTTGTAATAAGTCAATACGTATTTTTGTAAGAAGTGAAACTCCCACGAATCATTCAGCTTGGAAACTGTGGAAATATTACAACCGTAAGCATTTTATCCATGTTTTGGTACAGCTTTGCACAACCACCATCAACATCGCCAACGATCGCATCCATCCAGCCAGCCGTCTGTGTGCACCCCGCCGGCCCCGCGTACGCCGTCCCCCGTCGTAGTGCGCCCGCCGTCCCGCCCCCGTGTTCGGCTACCGTACCCCGCGCGACGACAGGGCGCTGGCTGAGGCACATGTGTGCGCCGCCGTCGGTGACTCCGCCCCGCCCCGGACTCGACAACCACCGCCTGCGCCATCTCCGATCGTCGTCACCGACGTCAACCCATCACCCGAGCCCCTCGTTGACGTTAACTCACTCTCGGAGCTCATCTTGCACACGTGACATCCAATTCACGTAGTGAAGCCGCATTTGATTCGTCGTCTCGACCGCAAGTCGCGCCACACAAACTGAAAAGCCGTCAAGCTGGCGACCGTCTGCATGCGGGGTGGTTTCGAGCGTTTCGAGCTCTCGGGACCATCCGAAGAAGAGTGCCCACTAGATTTTTGGTCGAAGAATAATGGCACGGCAGTTGAAAGCCCTGATAGTAAGTTTAGATGACTCATTCAGCTTTCTTCAAAAGATTTTTATCGTCATTCCAATATTTCCCACGAACACCTTCGCGACAAATCTTCTTCACAAACCATTGCTGGCTGTCCGTAATAGAAAAAATTAAATCCCAAGGAAATTTTTACTGGTTATGCTAATAATTAGTCTGCAACCGCCCCCCCCCCCCCTCTGTTTGTCTACTTTACCTATTGCTGCAACTAGAATATATAACATATACATTTCTATACTTTCGTCCTCAGCTAAGTGAAATTCTGGGTATCCGAATTTCTACGAGAGAAAAAGTGCAGGTTTAGTATTTCAATTCTATAGTTTTTCGTGTCGATTCGTTCCATGGTATTTATTTCATCTGCAAACTCATATCTGCCCAATTTTTGTTCGCCTATACTCATTGTGTTGAGATTTTTGTCCTCTTTTAGCTTATATTCCTTTATGGCCCGAAGCCACAAAGAAAATCTGTAAAGCAACATTTGAAATTCTGAGGATCTTCAGAGCTACTGCATTTTTTTAATAATGAGTGGTTCTGGCCTTTATCCAACAAAGTTTTGGTAAGAATCCCGAGAAGAGGATAAGTCAATCATTTCGTTTTGTGATTCGATGCGTTAGACGAAAAAGTACTAAATTCTTAAAAGTCAGTTTAAAAATGATTGACTTATAAAGTTTAAAAATGAGTTTGCACATTTTTCCAAGCTGCACTACCAAGTCTAGAGCTCCTCAAAGGAAATGGCTAATTGAAATCTTACTTAGTGACGGCTAGCCCCGTCTAAAGAGCTTATCTTACCTGGGGCGAGCTAACTTCAGTACAGCCAGCTTCATCATCTTGCTTGTTCCTTGTCTGCATCATCTCAATGTCACCCTCTGCTGAAGCGTATTCCCCTGATGTACTTCTCACTACACGATGAGTTCTCATTGTTTCGGAATCGATGCGTCTGGTGGAAATCTAAAATGCAAAAAGAGCACATTTTCCAGGATGCACATCGATTCACAGCTCTATTCCAGCACACTAAATGTCTATAATCACTGCAAATACGGGTATTTCCTGTAGTTTTTCACCCGTAGCTTTGCCAAGGGTAGATTTTAAGCCCTAGAAGAAAGTAGCCGAGGAGCAGCTACCGAAATGAAGCAGATTATTCGCGTTCGGCTCTCTCCAAGCCGCGCGCTCAGTTTTTGTCATGGTCCAGCTTTTAGCGAGGCGGTTCGTGAATGAGCCGCTTTCACTAGGTCATTCCGGGGGTCGTTAACTTTGCCGCTAATCATCATTCTTGGCACTGCCTATCATTAGCGCTCCTCGAAACCCATGCTTAACCCCGGAATCAAGCGCGCGAAGCTCATAACTGTTTAGGGAGGACTGCGGGGCACCTGCTTGGCAGTTGCGCTAGTAAAGTTTTTGGTTGTAAAATGGGAAAATATAACTTTTTTTTGAAAATTGATGCAATCTTGAACCTTGGAGTATAATTCGCATTATTCTCTCCAACCAGCTTAACCTGATTGGTTTGAAGGAAGGCTAAAATGTGCTTGTTTTCGCTTCGAACATCATTTTTCCGTAGCATCTCTTTCCCACGCACTTCACGTCAATCCGCTTATCACCAAAAGTGATCAGAAAGCTTCAGGTTGTATTATATGACTATAAAATAGTAGCTCAAGGTAATCAATCTCTGAAGTCAAGTTGAGAACGTCGAGAACCTCGAGAAGTCTTCACATCATAGTGACGTAAAACTTGCTGGATAGAGTCCTCTTAAGGTGATTTAGACGCTTTAGCTCTTACGTTCTATCAGATCATCTTCTACGAAGTAATCATCATGAGCTATATTTGTTCATTATCAGCTATATTTACTGGCGTTAGTCGACTATTCTCGAATATCCTCTTGTATAAAGCTAATGCCAGCAATGATGAAAGCATTACTTATCTCTGTGACGTGGTGGGCATGAGCATCTACGTAAAGAATTAGAATCTTCGGTAATCGTTCACCTGACGTAAATGGTAAAGACTCCTAGGTACTCCCTATCTTTCTTTTTCTGTTGCTACAATAAAGACCTGCTGCGTTTCTTCTAAGCTTCGCCCTTTAAATTGAGTTTTTTCTTGCCTTATAAAACATGGAACACGCGAATTGCTTTTTTTTGGGCATTTACTTTTGGTTGCCTCTCCTTACTCAAGCTATATCAGTCCCTTCTGACCCCGAATGACTTCAAAATCCAACCACTGACGCTTCCGCCATAAAAATTTCTCGCAACGAATTGTCGAGCTCGGCTCGCTTTCCCCAGGAGAAATCACTGCCGTCGTGACGGTAGTTAACCTAAACTTTACGAGCATGTTTGGCGCTGCTCTTACATCCTTCAGTGTCAATAGAATGTGGATTTTCACAAAGTCATTCTAGACTAAGAATTTTCCTATTTTCAGAACATCGATCGATGTCAGTTTGTGCTGCGTGCCATCTGGGTGAGTTCATCCTCCTTTCTGTTTATTTTTGCGAGTTCAAGGACTGAGTTCATGACAAGTGTATGTGTTTAGAAATTGCCGATCGTTTTATTCTGCGAGTTCATCCCAACCTGGAATTTCACGCTTCGTGCCTCAAGGTAGGTAGCAAGCATTCAACTGGAAGTCATCCGGGCCCGCAGTCAAAGGCCACCCGCGCTGGCGGGTAGGTCGCGACGGCGGTGGCCGCCACCCGCATCGGTAGATCAAATTTCACAAATCGAATCTTTTTCGTCACTCTCCGATCAAGCATCGTAGCTGAGCTTTTTGTGATTTTGCGCGACTCGAATCGCAAAGGCTTGAGCCCGATCGCAATAGTGCGCGATTTTCGGCTGCGTGACGTCATTAGCGATTCATCGCCACCTGTGCTGAATGTGTCTCTAAACTGACCAATTGATGAATGAATGATGCGATTTCGTTATTGAGTATATCGCCGCTCAAGCGCGACGATGAGCCGCGATGCTGAGCACGAATTTACCGAGATAAATTTGTGATCTGAACAACGAAAATTCTTGTTTAGTGTGCTGAATGTTGCCGACCATTGGATGAATCGTGCACAGCTTTTGTCCGGAACGGCACCACTTACTGTCGAGAGGATTACGTAAGGTTAGATTTCTTTGGAATTTTTGGTTCCATCTTTACCGCTGGCGAAGCCTGGTCCATCATCTTAAACATGGATGATCCATGTTCTGTCTTTTGTTATAACAAATATCCCTGATATTTTACCATACTGAGTCACAAATGCCACATTTTTTCGTGAAATTTTTTCTGATTGCAGCCTTTCGAGTCTCGTCTTGAATGTAATATTTTATTTTGCTCGGCACAGCTTTGTAACTCAAAGTCCTAGTCCATAATGATTACAAAATCTATATTTAATTCGTTGTATTCAGCTTTCTGTAAACAATGTAATTTTGGACTCTGGTTCTCCCTTCATCTTTCTTTCCTGCAAAATCAACAAAGTTTTGCACCCAGTTTCCTCTCTTTCCTTATTCTACCGTATCCAGCCCGGTTTTATACCTTTTTGCAAACAATTTTACATTGCCGTTACCGGTTCTTGACAGGCGTTCGGCAATGTTTTTGCCGGGTGTTGACCTTTTCAAGCGCGCGTTCCGCTGTGCTCTTCTTCTTCTCGGGGGTTAGGGGTTGTGCACAGAACACACGCGGGGTGACGGGGGAAGTGTCCGAGTCGAGAGGTACTTCTCCTTTTACCTATTCACAACGATCTATTCATGAGCCGCCTTACGTACACATTACGGTTAGGGTAGCCGGAAGCGCTGGTGCGTGCGCGCACCCGAGACGTCAACTTGATTTTCGACACTTGCATCGCGGGTCCCTCCACTTACTTACGGAAAATCCCCGCCAAAATTACACATACTTGAGATTATTGGGAATTACAGGGAGATTACCCGATTCAACACCAACACATCTAACACATTCTCCTCCCCCCAAACTGCATATCCTATTATGTTCTAGAACAGAATATATTACCGAATAGCATTAGTCATTCATTCCTGAGGCTGTTTGCGCGAATAGCTGTGAAGTTTCCCATGTTACCCGTAGGCGTCTTTGTACGTACCGCACGGATAGCGGCACGTGCCTCTGTCCCCGTCAACGAGCTCCCTCACACCATCTCACTACCTATCCCCTAGCCAACTCTAACACCTACTACATGTGTGAATAACAGAGAATTAGTGTACTAGCGGGAGCGTCATGACCACGAGGTCTACTAGAAAAATGAGAAAATAACTGGTACCGGGAGATATACTCACTGTGAGGGAGAATCGGGGTAAATACCATGACTTCTCTTATATGGCAATCAAAGAGAAATGATGAGAGGTTAGAAAGGGTTAAGAAAACATCTCAATAATGCGTCTGCTACAGAACTTATTGATTCCCAGTTTCTAAGATTTATATTCAAATTCAATATCCAGTAACAATTTCTCCTGTTGATTCTTTCGCTTCATCCATTTCCATTTTTACCTACAACACTGCCAAAACGACGAATTTGTGAAAATGGCTAAAACGCAACGCGATGAAATTTTCAAAATTGAGTGAACACAACAGAAATGTATTTTGTTTTTTTATTATTGGGTGCACATCTTGCCAAAAAATGAACAATTCGTTTTGAATAGGTTTAAAAAAGTCTCTAGGCTATAATACTTACTTTTATGACACGAAACAAAGCTAGGGAAGGTTATGGATATCTGAAAACTTTAGTGCGGGACTTACGTAACAGCCTTATGTGGATATATTCTATTTTTAAGCATTTCAAATGAATAGGGAGATTTTGTATTTCTCAAGGTTATTCTGCTTTTAAGTTTTACTTACTGGTTGTCCAAAGATATTTCTTCGTCTGTCTTTGTAACATGTACCTTAGTTAGTAACGGAAAAAATGGCAAAAATAGCGAATTCCAACCAAGATGAGCAAGATTTCCACATAAAAGCGCATGACACATCGTGAAACTCAAGAATTTCACTCAAATATTGATTTACTTTGTATCTGCAGGAAGATAAGATTTTACGGTCATGTAGTAACTTTTCGAAAAACATTTGTAGTGATCGATAGTGTAACAAGGCGAGGCAATTATCCCATTAGCGCCTCTGAGCAAAAATAACGCAACCAGTGTTGAAATCCCTTGGACCAAGTTTTCTTTTTGCAAACCGTATGTGTGACCTTCTCCTCAGCCCAGCTATCCTCAGCAGCGGAAATAATGCGGTAATAACAAGCGCACCTATATACACTGCACATGCGGCTTCCTTTAATAGTGGTGGAAGTGACGTCATCGTTACAGTAACCGGCGCCATGAACGGTGCCGCGCCAGCGGAAAGATGGTCATGCCAGGTCATGCATGGCGCGGAAATTACACAACTAATGGGTAGCTTTCAGACTTTTCGGCACCAAATGCAACCGCTGTGATCTGCCTTTCGATCGGAACGAGCTGGTGATGCGCGCCAGACACGCTGTCTACCATGTGGCCTGCTTCTCGTGTGTTGCTTGTGAGAGGCAGCTGAAGACAGGGGACGAGTTTCAGGTAGGGGACATTGGAATTTCAGGGTCAAATATGGCACTCATTTGTTTATGGGTAGAAGAGCTCGCGCTCAGTCTACGCGTTTGTGGACCCTCGCAACAGCGGTAGCATGTAGAGATGTAGGTTTCGTGGCAGATGTCCGGGAGAGCAAAGCCTATATCAGCATCGTAGCATCCTCATATTCTGGTACATAGAGAAAGTCAAAAATTATTTTATGTGGCATTTTTTGGTTGTGTAAAGTATAAACTCTCTGATTTTTGAATTTCAAAAGCCATTTGGAAGACAGTTTTTTTTCAACTACCCTAATTTTACGCGTACAAGGCGCGGGGGATTTTTTTCCAAAATTGACTAGCCCAAATACGCCAAAGAACTTTGCAACCAAAGGACCCTATGCCGTGCTGTATATTGCTTAAGAGAATTGTACGGCATAGGGATCGCTTTCCGAAATACTTTGGAGCGGCTGAGGGGCTTGATTGAAAAATCGAAAAAGGTGCGCCTTGTACGCGTGAAATTAGGGTACTTTTGTTTTATTTAGTACATCCTAGCTTGCGAGAGGATGTTATGTCGCCCCTAGGGTTCGCGAGCAACTGTTAAGGAAACTATAAAATGTTAAGATACATCATTTGTGACAGAATTCCGCGCGAGAGTGGTGCCTATCAGCCAACGTAACGTCGTCACCTTCTCATCTGCAGTACTTACTCAAAAAGTCGTTCGATACTGGGTTTGAGAACAAAGTTTAATTCCTCTTTAAGGAAATACGCTTTTTATTAAAATTCAACAGCTGTTTGAAACTACCTTTTTTCAAATGATGTGCTTGGAGCGGCAAACAGAACGCTAAAAGGAGTAGAATTGCTCTTATTAAGTACTTAACCGATTAATGGTTGAAAGATTTGATTGCTTGCCTGATTTCCCATGAGATTTCAAATATAAACTGATGGCAATCATTTTGCCGTATCCCGCCTACAGGTTAAGTAAAAACTTCTATTTTTTTCAGTTGCGGATAGAATTTCGATTTACTATAGAATTGACCACTTTGCCAGGCTCACGTAGATAATGTTGTAGAAATGCTAGATACCATATGTCCTTGGCAAATTCAAATTCGACATTTTCATACATGATATGATTGTCATGAATTTTGTTATCATCTAGATGAACTTTTCTTCTTCTTCATTTTGACATACAATTTGCTTTAATAGATTTGTCTGCTTCAAAATGGCCAATCTTAAAAGGAGAAATTGCTCATCTTTGGCAAAAAGGCAAGAAAATTATGATTTTTCAAAATCGGTTTTCAAATTCTCGAAAAACTTTTTGAAATGCTTCAAGCTTTGGGAACGAGCTGTCTTGAGACATACCAAGAGCGATGTCGCTTTGTTTCTTACCTTCTAAAATCAAACGATTCCTCCTCAAAAACAGCTAGTTCAGCATCAATAAATTTATTGAAAGAGACATAACATTATATGCTGAATGAAAGGGGAGGGAAAGATCTCCAGCTGATTTTCATGGTTTTGTTTCAATCCATCGGTAAGAAAAATTTCAAGTTTTGGTTTATTGTCTTAGTTTCTGGCACATGCTACACATGCATGTCGGTACTCCGGCTCTAATTCGAGTGAAAAGTAACGGGCTGACCAACTCAAAAATCTCTTTTTCCTTCCATCTCTAAAACATCTTTTCTTTTTTTCAATTTTTGTGATAATAAATCAATTTTCGCTTGCAATATGTGGGTACTAAATGTACATTAGAGCCACCACAGCTAATCCGAGCAGCTTATACAGCACAGCACGGCGGCTGAGCGGGTGTTATCGCCTCGCAGAACCGGGGAGATGTCGAAACATCGGATGTTTGTGGGAAAAAATCTCTCCAAGCATAAATATATTCATAGTTTTTCACATAGATTTTCTAATGATTTTGTTGCAGATCAAAGGGAATTCCTTGTACTGTCGGGCAGATTGCGAGGCTGGAAATGTTCCCGAGGTGAGTTAGAGAATAATATCGAAAAAGAGTCTGAAACATTAGTGTGATAGTGATATTGTGGCACTATTCGACGATGAAGTGCTATAACAAGTTTTCAAAGATGATTTCGTTATGGGACCATTTTCCTGTACGGTGCGATTTGCTGGATTTCGATGGGTCAAAAAATATATTGTAACACGTTCCATGACTTCTTAGTACAGATTATGCTCAATGAAGTATAACAATGAAAAACTTTTTTCTTATAAAAAAGTAATTTTTGTTTCCAGCAAGAAAGAAGAATTCTTACAGTTTCATTACAGCCTTCGTCAATACCTACACCTTCGATGTTCGCCAATGACGATTCCTGGGAAACTTCCACCATGACATCGTTAGACCCAACAAATAGCCCTCCTCTTTCTGTCCGGTGAGTTGCTTTGGGAAAAATTTAAAAATTGTCATAACTTCCCACTTTTTCCAGCTCACCAAAATCCGACGATATGAGCACTCCGCAACAAAACAACGGTTTTCATAACAGTTCCAGTGGTTCCTCAGGAGGTTCGTCGGGAAAAAAGAAAAAGGACAAACAGGTCGGGGCTAGTGTCTCTCTTTCTTGTCGCTGACATATGAACACCCGCCGGCTAATGTTTATTTTCCAGACGACGAGGGTACGAACGGTGTTGAATGAACACCAGCTATCGATACTAAAGAAGTGTTATGCGTTGAATTCAAGGCCAGATGCATTGCTCAAAGAACAACTTGTGGAAATGACTGGTAGGAGAAGGTCCATTTCGGAGAGGATTGAGGAAATTTTGGAGTTCTAGCGCTAAACGCAAGAGTTATTCGAGTGTGGTTTCAAAATAAACGATGCAAGGATAAGAAGCGACAAATCCAAATGAGAGACATGGCGGCGAACGCCGAGAAGGTACTTTTCACGACTTTTTTGAAAGTTTTGTTTCTTCGCTGTCTGAAAGTTTTCCTTCTTAACTCAACACGGTTCTCCTGGCTCTTTTACGGAACTCATTGAAAATAAGCAGTTTCCTAGGGAACATTTATTTAAACAACGCAAGGTATTCAATCCATATAAACATTCCTTCAACGAAAAAATTCCGGAAGTTTGGAAGTTATTTTTCTACTCTTTGCGGTTTCCTGTCTTGGGGGAACTCTTCAAGACAATAAAATGATTTTCACTCGGGTACCATTCGTCAAACGGAACTTTGAGTGTAAGAGCCATATAAAATTCTTGAGCCAAAGAATCGTTCAAAATCTCAGCTATCCTCGAGTGTTTGATCGCCCTAATGACTTCTAATACCCCTAATCCATTCGATATTGTTCATTGCGTCATCTACATACTTTATTTAGTAGCATTCGGTAATTATTCACACTTGTGTAAACGGTCCGCAATCACACTATTTGCCCAGCTACTCCTTGCAAACCTCTAGGAAGTATCCTTCGGTCTATATTTACCTTTCATAGTCTTACAAAATAGCTCAGAAACTCAATGTACCATCTCCATTTTGAAGCTGTTAGTCTCAAAACCGCTTCGCACACATCGCCTAAACATGTTTGAACTTGTTTTTTCCTGTTTCAAAATCGTGAACAAAGCTAGATGAGATAGATTACATGTACGAACTTGTTAAGCATACTGTCAAAACTTGTCTAAATTATGCGTTCAAAGCGGTTTCGAGTCCCTTAGTCGCAAAATAATTGGTGTGCATTCTACATGAGAATTTGAAGAATTTTACGGTCGTTTGATCTACCTTTGCATACATCCTGAGACTCCATGTATGTGCAGTGAAGCGTATCACTGGCGTATTGTTGCGCGCTTAGCGAGGCAAAAGCGCGCGAAATTCAAAACAAAACACTCGTTGAACCGTGGGAAATTTCCGCATACACTACTGTAGTGAAGAGCGAAAACAAAAAGATTTTCTTCTCATATGCGCACACATAGCCGCTGGTTGAGGGATTTGCTGGCTATAGCTCATTGGTTATTCAGAGAATTCTCGCGTCTAGAAATTTCTTGATTTTCGTTGGCGTACGAACCGTGACCTTAACCAGATGCGAATCCACCTCCAATTAGCCTCATTTTTCTGCGGTAACAAGAAAAACAAGGCGCTCTGCCTGCGACTATAATCTAATAACACACCGTAACTAGTCCCGTGCTGTTTTGCGTCGCTTCTCTTTACTGTGTGCGTGTTTACGACCTTCACGAAATACCGTATACAGTAGTCAGGGTGTTGCGAGCGCTCCTTCCAAACCAGAGATACCGTACCCCACTAATTAGTTTTCTATCACGGGTCTTCTGAGAGCGCGCAGAGGACTCGCTCACTGTTAATTCGATCAGCAATTACAAGTGTCTGGGTATCCGTGTTTGGAAGGCTCTATCGGATGTGACTGCACTGCGGCCACTATCAGCGATGGTTGGATCTAATTTGTAGGTTCTGCGCTGAGGAGGGAGCAGGGAAGAGCTATGTACGGGGATGGGGAATTCAACCTTGCCGGGATCGATTTGAGGACTAGACTGGAGTTAGCGCACTTTAACATTTTAAGCAAAATCTCAAAGTAAAGCCAGCCTCACAGGCTTGGCTCCTTGCCAAGAGCTGTGTGAGCCGTGGTATTATCGACGGATAAAGTAGGTGTCTGCTATCAATGTGCTGTCTAAGTCACCCATTCCCTCTTACAAGCTAAACCGGGGAGCAGACGCTAGATTATTGCAACAAGATAATTTTACCATCTCTACCATAAAACCATTCGTACTCAACGATCCTTCCGACAAACATCTGCATGCGCCTATGATCTGTTCGTCAATTTTAAACGGTCAAAAAAAAACCAAAACCACCCAACCCGAATTGAAATCGGCAACAGTTTTTTCTCGAAGCGGCAAGACGGCAAACGTCTCAACCACCTGGCAGCCGGTCTCCTCAATTTATGACGGCGCGAAATTGTCGCTCATTTCGGCCGGACGTCATTTCTGCAAATGCACGACCGGTCGTGTTCTATTTTCTCAAAAACGTTGCAGTTTTATTGGTTCTGCGGAGATAATTAGCTACTGAATCATTACTGAATGATTTTGAATGTGTTTCTTTAAGCAAACTGAATTGATGATACCTATTACTCAAATTGAAGTGTTTGATCTCAATATCACTATCAGGTAAAAGGCTGATTTATGAATAATTATCCCCTAAAAATAAGCCATAACATCAAATGAAAGTTTCGGCGCCATGTTAAGAATGTCGGAGACTATGTTGTTGGAAAACTTTCTATTTTCATTCTTGTGAAGTAAGCTATTGGGCTTTTATGACCGACTGGTTTGAATTTTGTTGTTACGCCTCCTCGCTATCAGGCTGCTAAAAAACGATTTCATTTTGGCAAAATAAACTTTATGAAAATTAGAGGCGCTTCCTGCAGCCGCAAAGGGATCATTTATCAGCAAATCTAAGGACCGTCTAACAGAATGCCATCTCATAATATTATAGGATGCTGAATTGTGCCCATTATTGGTCACTTGTTCTATTCTATTGTTCTAGAATCCAAGAGAATCAAAAAAATTCTAAAGCGAAGCATTCTGTAGACAACATGAGTGATTTCCTTTTCTTAGGTGATTTTCAGACTTGTTTTAATCTGCGCCAAACAAATTAAACCACTGCTTGTGTAAAGATGAATTAAGCGACTATTTGACAAAAAAGATATTTGCAAAAAGTACAGCAATATCTTTCTTAGTTTCCATCAACTTGAGGGCATCTAGACCCGAAGCTATCTTAAATTGATCGGCTTTTACAGAAGGCTTTCGCCAGTGATTGTGTTCAATGATGTCTTGAAATTTGAAAAAACTATCGAGAACTTTGAAAGGGCCTCCAATTACTGGTGATAATCTCACTTTTTTAAGCTTGTGATCTTTTCGTTGCAATTCTACCGTAATCTCTCTAACATAGGTTTTAAAATTCCTCGAATCATTCAAACTTCTGAACTCATTCACCTCTTTTACACAACCTTCGCCAAATTTGGAATTCAGTACAGATTCCAACTACCGTCGCTCCTATCCCATTCCACTGCAGCCCACAGTGGCATTGAAAACGATATGTTTACCCACACCGTTCCTGTTCCGATGGCACAATCTGGTGCATGTGCTGCCAGCTTGCGCTTCTCAGGTTCAAGTACCTCTTCCGCAGTGGGGAATAGTCTACTGTGGGTGGTTGAGCCGGGGGGCCGAGCGCGCATATGGTGCGCTTTGAGGGCAAGTGTAGTGTTTATGCTGAATAGCTGCTGTCGTGCAGTCTCTGACCACGATGAACTGGGCTCCGACGGGACAGAATGTAGACCACCTTTCCCAATTTGAGACATGAGATCTGGGGGAGAGGGAGGAGGAGGGAGATTACTTCGATATTACTGACTCTGCTGTAGCATTAGGCTTAGTGCCCCCTAATCCTTCCTCCAGTGTTACCCGATACGGGTGCATCCCTTACATCATCAAGTAGTGCTTTGACCGGATCATCACCGGATGTACTTACAAGTCATGCGGCCACTGGGTAATCGCTTGTTCAAATAGGGTATAGGTAAAGTATATGACAGGGTTCATGCCGATGTTTGCACAGCGGTATGCAAGGTTTTTTCTTCTTCCCTGTGACTCCTCAGTTATCCAGGAAATCCTATATCTCGGCGTATTCGAAAGTCTCAAATTACTAGAAAATTTATCTTTTGTAATGCTTACCAAGAGAAATTATGGTTTGGAGTAGTTTATCCGACAATAGTCAATCTTACCGAAATAAGATTTTTTCTGAGGAAACCTTTTTATGTGCATAATTTTACTGCCAATCAACGTTCGTTGATGAGAAGCTTCTATTGTAAAACCTAATGAGGTGACTGACTCTTTAATTTGTACTCATAACAATAAAGTACACTTGATGAGTTAACGCCTACGTCAAATTGAACAGATTTGAAGGACTGTTCCAATAAAAAGTTTACCATTTGTTTTTTGAACTCCCATGAGTCCCAAAAATTACATTGACAAAACTCAACTGAAAATTGTGTTGGTTATATCAAGATGTTCAAAAAAAGTTCAGTGTTATTAGAAAGGTTCTTTTTCCTTTTTGATCGGCATATAACTTTTCGTTCAACAAAAAGACTCTGAGCTCCAGACTCACCTGATTGCAACGTGCTGGATTATTTTGTTTGACGATGCAGCGGGATTGACAGCATGTTGTGAGCCCATTGCTGAGTAAAAATTGTCTTCGGTAAAAACTTGGAAATTCAATAAAATTCCGCAAGACACGATCCGGAAGCAATCGATCGGTTTCCGAAGAAAAAAACTGCATAAATGTATTGCTGGAAAGGAGCTCATTTTAAATAGTTACTAACAAAAATTATACATTGTTTGAAAGAGAAGATCAAGCTACAACATTTTTTCTATTACACCACAAGTGCAAGACATCATGGCGCCTTTGTATTTTTTACTAATAAATTTAAATTCGAATTATATCAACGTGATTTTGGGGCGCATGGTACTCTTGAAGAGCCAGTTGTTCTATTTTGGTTATAACTCGACTTTTTCGATTGTACGCATATAGTACTGCAAAAGATCTAGAAGCGAGACTTTCCAAACTTTTTGCGAGCACGAATTTTGCAATTTCGCCAAAGCCGCGCGTCAACCTGTCCTTGACCGTACCTTTGCACAGAAACTCGTCTTGATACCGTAACCCGCTCGGTGCAGTCGACAATGCTCGGTGTGTGAGTGTGTGTGTGAGGGGGATGGAGCAAGAGAGGGGTGGTATGACGCAATCCGACCCTCTATTGACTGCCTTCGATTTAGGCGAAATGTTTGCTTAGCCACCTTCTCGTTTTGGCGAAACGACACGCGAGATTATAACGCTCGCGTTCATGTCGTCCACTTCAGATGTGCGGGGATTCAGATGCCCTCACGGGGACACTTTAGAGGGGATACAGTCAGAACTTAAGATGCTTCCCATCACAGCTCTCCTATGTATAAAGGATGCCCAGACTGGTAATTAGGTGTATCTAGTTAATTAGTGATGATTAGAGAGCGCCGGATGACTTCATTCAGCGCGTGTCGGCAAACCAAAGGCCGGACATGGTACGGTTCCTCGGTTCGACGATGCGGTAATTGTGTAATTGCACCAGTGACACCGAACTGTACACAAGACCTGAGCAGTGTATCTTTGGCGGTAAATTGAAGGTTACGGCGCAGAATATGGAACTCATAATGCTTTGGTGATTCTGAATAGAAAGGCCGAAATGGATGAATGCGCAGAATCTCGAAAACTCGACATTGCAGTGTTTTATAAAGTGGAAAAATAGATATTTTTGTCAATGGACAGTGCTTGGTTGCTTAGGCTCCGAAAATCCTTAGCTAGATAGCAGAAGGCTGCTGAAACGTAAAATTTACTTAAACTCGTTACTACAGTACTCCTGAGTACTGTAAAAGTCCTTATCCAGCACTGTCATGGACTTCTTCCATCTACGCAAATATTATTTGGCTATGACTAAGGGTACAGTTGTCCATAAAAGATATATGCACTGTACAAAGTTTACCATATTTTTGACAAATATCTTTTTAGGAACGTGCATTAAATGGAGTTCGAATGGCCGGAGTGGGACCAATGATAGCTGGAGCACCCACCAATCATGTCGATCAATTATCGATTGGACAACCTATCGATATCACTCATTATGCTCAGTGGGGACAATCGATGGATGCACCCATGGTTGATCCGAATTCATATGGTCCACCACCTCCTTCTATGGTGAGTATCTGTACTCTAAACTCACTTACGTCCAGATTTATGTTTATGACAGTCTTTTTTGTCGAGTACGGTATTCAAATTAGGTTACCGTACCCGCGCTCATTAGAACGACTTGATAGCCGCAATTTTCTCGAGCCAGAAAAACGAGAGCTGCAAAAAGTGCAAATCTTGGCCATAATCCGAGCAAATTACCAGTATCCATTAGGATCGAATTTTAATTACACCCGATGCATCATGACGTCCTATATATTCCCGGAATCGCGTCTTTTACGCATAAATTTCCGCTCACTCCTTTCTAAGGTCTGGATTAGGTACTGTAAAAGAGGTTTTTGTGCAGATGGCGACTCGTACCAAAAGCTTCTTCCATGGCGAGTCAAGAGATATTTGATACACACATCTAGTACGCAAGAGAGTAGGTAGGCGCTGGCAAACAGCGCACCTGCCGGACATCTCGTCTCTATCTGGCGGCTCTATCAGATGATCCAGCCGACAGCTGCATAAATAAGCGACACCTTAGGGGCCTTCGAGGGCCGAGAGGTTAAAGGACCTTCGGGTGCAGTTATCTTTTGCTTGGATAATCTTCAGAGCTGTTCTCGCTACAGTAAGGGTTTGAATGGCGCAATAGTACTTACGGTAGACAGTGCGGGATAAAGGTGTCGAAGCCGAAAAGCAAACTTGCTACTGTGACCTTAACAGTATACTAATACACTATTCTCCATTCTTCATTTGCCCCTAGTAGCGTATCGAGAGAGCCCTCCCCGCCCCCTCCCCCCAAATTTGTTGTTGAAAGCAGCCTACATGAGTTGCAAAATTGGGAGAGTGACTTGTTTTGACTAATAGATAAGCAGAGATTTCCGAATAATCAAAATCCTTGTAAAAGGAGCTTTTTACTTTTTCCTAAATTTTCTTGAGGGTCCGCCGAAATTTTGGAAAGAGCCTCAAACAAATTTTTAAAAAAGACGGATTCCTTTCTCTCGCCTCCTTCCTCCCCTTTGAAAAATTTTCTTAGCAGAGAGCCAATGTTCTCTCTGTCTAACAGAGGTGAAAAAATTTATTTTTTCGTAAATTTCGGTGTGACATAATTGAGCAATGTTTTGCTAGTTGTTAAAGCCTGAGTTTTGCCCAGCAGATCATTAGCAAAATGATTGTTTGGCGCAATTTACGAAAAGTTTCACCACTTTACATTGCAAGCATACACCAACGCTAGATGAGGAAATACGTGCTATACGATCGTTGCTAACCTGAATAGAGCATCAAATAAAAAAATCAACTAAACTTTAAAAATCAACTTATTTTAGGGCTACACCGATATCGTCCCGCCACCAGATCTGGGCGGTTACGGTATGGTCCCGCAAACGGGCGCATTCCACGAGTTCTCTCCACATCTTCACGCATCCGACTTATCGTCGCCGAGTTGCAGTGAATGAGACCAAGAAAACTCGTCCTCTGTGTGACAATGAGCACATCGTCAAATTTAGCCGCATTGCCTTGCCTCAATCGATATTTATCACAACGCCGATCGATATATCGATTTTTATGATGTAACTTTTCGTATCAGAAATCACTTACATGGCGCTGTAAAATTGTCTCTTGAGGAACCACTCTCGCTCACTTCCAGTCCAGTCTTCTCTTTGTCGATTTGTAACTTTTATTATTTATGAGTTTGCGTAAGGAAATTTAGGATGTCGCCCCCTTTCCCCTCCTTCCCCTCCCCCCCCCTCTCCGATTGTGGACCAAAATTTTCATTGCATTCTTGCTTGTGATATTTGCATGTGAACCCGTTTTTCCCTACATATTTGTAGCGTATAGGTTGTGAAATCGCAAAAATCAAACATTCTATCATAATTTATGTTTCGTTCGCGTACAGAGCTTATCTTTCCTGGTTTCACGTTTGTGCTCTCCTCTTTGTTCGTTAAGCTAATTTGCCCGGATTTTCCCACTTCTCTTTTCAGTGTTTCCTTCTGGTCACTTATTATTTTGGGAAGTGTTGGACAGCTTAAAGCCATAATAATATTCATGAACTGCAGTATCTGTATGGTTTCATGTCAATAAAGTCTATTTATTTCTGTTGGTATACTGCAAAATTCATCCAATTCAGCCATATACTTTGGCGGACATCTTGAAAGTAAGGGTGAATCACGTCTGAGGGTTGAGTAGCTTTGAGTAGTTCGGAATTCGTTGCATTAGAGATTACTCACAAAACTTCTCTAAATCTGCAGAGCTATTTTGGGAAGAGTTATGACATTTTTCAAAACCTGACCCGCACTCGACAATTTATCGCTAGCAGATTCGAGTAGATGCTTTGCCAATGTGTGCAGTTACACACTTTTTAAGATAGAAATGAGACTCAAGTTTCCCACTTAAAAAGTGTATGTAATGTAATCGTTCTAAATTCTTCAAAAATTGTTTTCTGTGCAACCAAGGTGAGATTCGTGAAAAACCATATCTGGTCCCGTTAATCTATCCCATTCCTGAAAATTCTGCAACTACACATGCTAGCGAAAAATCTATTCGACGGTACATCTTGCAATCTCTCTAAAAAACGAATCTTTTTAAGTTGGTAGTGTCAAATTTTTTGCTCCCAATAGTTCGCAAATTATCTGCGCAAATAAAAATTAACATGCACAACAATGTTTCGCAAATACAAAAGTAGTTGTTAGTCTCGTTTATCTACCTGGTTTAGTTGATCACCCATCACCTTTCTACACATTTCTTCCATTCCTAGTAAGTAATCCTTGTCAAAGTTTGGGAATCTTTGCAAAAACTAATACATGGCACTAGTCAATGTTCCAAAAATACTCAATCGCAGTTACCATTCAGTTGAGAAGCAACGAGCTATGCTTATTTTTCCTACTTTTATGTAGGAAGAATCACATTAACAATAAACAGATTGGATACAGTGAACATAGAAAAATCAAAAACTGCTCGCCTAGTACCAAAACTCTTGGACTCCTCGGTTCATTCAACATGAATAAAAAGGAGTACCCTCTTCTGCACGTAAACTTCACCAAAAAATGGAGGTAAAACCTGCATTGTTTCACAGACTGAAGTTGAAATCATCTTCTGTAATTTGTTGTTCCAGAAAAATTCCGTGTAGATTTGGTGGATATGATTTTTCTATTAAAGAGTGGTACGGATGAACTGATATGAAATATTACCGATTGGAGAATTACACATCACCACTACTCAATTAGAATCTTCTGCACAGAAACTTTCCAGAAGTTTTTGACATTACAGTCAAGCTTTTGGCCACCTCCAAGGCCGGCTTCCTCAATCATTCGTCACCCGTGTGACAACTAGCGGCATTCTACAAAGGTAGTGTAAGACAAATGGTCTAGGTTCTCAACACTAATAGATATCCGGTATAGAGGGAAGTAGTTACTCTAATAAAATGAGAAATTCCTCTGAGCACTTTTCTGCTTCGAAGACATCGACCATACATTACCTTCGCATTATCTTCGACTACAGTGGACCTCCACGAAAAGATTCTGAGCAGTGATAAAGTTTATGAAACGTAAACTCGGCCGCAAAAAAGCAGACAAACGTTTGGTTTTTCAAAAAGCCAAACCCATTAGGTTAGCAATTTCGGCTGAATTATCACTGTCATTTCAGTTTCACCTCGATTTTTTTGCGACATTCATACAAACAGCTGCCTCTCGGCACAAGCTTTGATAAATGTGCAAAAGAATTGTCTGAAAAGGAGATCCAGGGGCTTATGAGTAATTGGGGACTGATGCTGCAATTCATGCATTGGCAAGACATAGTATTCTCAGTGAATGGAAGTGATAATCCATCTTATTCAGGTAGCAAGTAATATGAACAGATTACCGAGATTAGCAATGGTACGAAGTGATACATTAGCACTGTGATTACGTTTCGGCAAAAATTGATATTTTACTGCAAAAAACCTCCCTCCAGAGTGATAACCAGAATCAAACACAACTTTGGAGTCGTACCAATATTTTCGTGTCACCACCTTATGGACATCTCGCCTATTCGTACCTGAAAGTTTAATTTACACTACATCACAACGTAAATTCACTTCTGCGATATCACAGAAGACAAACTTCGTAATTTCGTTTGCGATCCCGGTTGTTCTTCTCATTGTTTCACTCAGACAATTCACCGGAGCTTCCGCAGGACAAGCAAAATTTGCAGCGGTTTTGCAGTATTTTGCTTGTTATTGTAAAAGTGGAAACGTTGAAAATGGGAACTTCCGCAGGACTTTCACGTCATGCTATAATGAAATCTCCCAAACATCAATTAGATAGTGTTTTCTGTGTATGAGAGATGTTCTTTCGGATAAAGGGGTGTGGTGCGGAAGGCGAAAATCCCCAATTTTGTGCCTATCAAAAAACTCTCCGGTATCAAAGTGACACCCCGGGGGACTACGGGGTTGGGGGTGGGGGCAGATACATTACTCAATGCCACAAGTAGAAATCCTTGAAAGTCATTGAGACGGATGATACACAACCTTCATTTTCCGCCGATTGTCGCCTTCCGCGTGCTCTCCCCCCCCCCCCCCCCCGGATAAAGAGATGACACGAGGTAGTCTATAGATGATGGACTTGCAGCTTATAAAATTACCTGGTTGATATTTAACTTATCATTGTTTATCATATGAAATTCTGAGAAATGAGTGCAGGCGATAGCGACATATCTGCGTTTTTTTTTTCGGAAGTATTTGCTGAGAAGGTCTAAATGAAGAAAGAGTTGGGATCTGAAGCGAGAAAAATGTGTCACTCCCGAGACGGCTCATATCTAGGCTTTACTTTTTCCGTACTCTTATCTTGAATCTCGTCCAACTGAAAATCGCACAACTTCTGTGATTTTGGTCTTACTTCACAATCACCAGAGAAGGAGATACTCTGAATCTAGTTTACCTCTGCAAAATAATAATTTATGAAAGAGTTTTGGACGAAAGTTATGAAACAGGAGGAAGGAAGAATTGTGGGGACATTACGACGATAAGTAAATAATATAAGTTGGTTATTACCTTAAGTGATATTTTCTCTTTCTGATTCTAAACATGTTAATTGATCAGAAAAGTTAGTGATTGTCAAATAGACAATCCGCAAAAGAACTCCGTCGAGCCGGATTCGAACCAGCGACCTAAGGATAGCTGCTACTCTACAGTCCTCCGCTCTACCAACTGAGCTATCGACGGGTAACATCATGTGATCTTTGCTTCGATGATAAGGAATTTAACATCTTGGAAATGACGTGACCCTCTATTGACTTGACGAAAACCAAAAAAATTCTCGTTTGACTAGAAATTTCAACTCTATTTCCGAGTTTCATGGCATGCGGTTTTTTGCGATTTTACTCGCAATCTCTAAAGTGATGTGAGCACTGTTAAGAGTAAATGTATAAATAATTGAACGTTATTAAATACACAATGTCACACGAAACAATAGTTATATTCAGCGCTAGATGGACTGACTATGCTTCTTATTCTTACACAATCGCCGAAAAAGTACGCTCCATACATAAAACTTTACAGTTTTTTTTTGTTATGCAGTGCTAAAGACGACAGTGCAGCGCAAAAGTGTCCAAACACCAAATTTTGCGCAAACGATGTTTTTACACAAACACCCAGACCACAGTCGCAGGTCACCTGTCGAAGGTGAAAGATTTACAGCTACTAATAAGAAACTTTTGCGTCCAATACATCATTTCGTTTACACGTGTGAGGGATGGAAATAGCTGGAAAACCAGGCCAAATTTTGCGAATCCTGAACATGATCGGGTTTACAACACAACAAAAAAGCTGCACTTTCACAGCACCAGAAGCGACTTTTTGAAACTTCTCTTTTTAAGTGTTCTGTATAATTAAAAATGTTCTCTTCAAAGTTATAATGTCTGGAGGGATGAGGGCAGGAGCAGGATTTGAATCTAACGAAAAGAACCACTGCAGAACGTTATGGCAATCCCGTCGAGAAAAAAAGGGGGGGGGGGACAATTTAACAAAAAAGGCAATTCTACGTTGGAGCTACTTCAAAAGACAGAGCCACTGTAGAAGGTGCTTTACAGTATTCTAGGCTCTCTCACTCGCGAAGAAAAAATTCATTTGTGTAGATGTTTCGATTATGCTACAGGATGACAGATATCTTTACTTCAACTTCTAACATATCAATCGTATTTGGACCATTAATCTCAATCAATTTCTACAAGTTTCATTTAAATTCAATACACGACATCTAGAAAAACAGCGATTCATTCATACGCTAGACATGTGCTTTTCTACTACTTTTTTTTCAACCTCTCTTCTTGTTCAGAAAAAATGCACCATCTAATCTAACCTGATATAATAATAATATAATATAAATAATATTATAATATATATTATAATATTATATATATTATAATATATATTATAATATTATCTATATTATAATATATAATATATAATATTAGGTTGACACATAAGTTTTGCAGCTTTGTCCATACCTTCTTCATGAGATGCATTCAAATTTTGGCTACGTAGATCCGAAAGTGGGCTATAAACCCGCGCAAACTGTTTATATTTTTATAACAAAACTAGTGAACCAGCATTTGAAGGTGCTAGTAGCATGCGCGCGCTACGGGACCGCCACGTCGTTTCCCGCTATGTGCACATTTTTGAATTGCCCTGATTCTTTATATATTAGATGTAAAATCAAGGTTTTAGGCAGCAAAAGAAGACTTTCAGAAAATGAATTGACCAGACTCAGCCGGAACGCAAAAATCGCACAGATTGGCTACTAGGCCCAGCGAAAAAAGAACTGTAGGTTAAGATCAAATCAAATCTGGCGATGTGAACTTGAATTAGTCGAATGCGTCAAAGCGGCCTCGGAATTTCAGCATTCCAGAAGACGGGGCCGTCAGATTTTGCGAACTTTGCACGATGAGGTATTCTGACATGCTGAACCGAATACCATTGGGCCAGTGACTTTTCGAAGCTTAGCTTTGTTGTAGCAAAGCTTTTTATGCAAAATGAATGTCATTTTCGTAAGCAGGATGTCGCAATCCCCTACGCCAAGTTTCATCCGAATCTGTGGCGAGTCCCTTTTCTCGCCCATTGAAAAGTTGCCTTAGCGTAACGTTCAAATGCGTTGATAGAATTCGGCAGAAACAATTGCATTTGTTGCTCACACGATAATCATTATATGTAATATCAAAAAATGAAAGTGTCCACTCAAAAAGACAAAAGTCGTATAAGAAAGTTGCAAAACTTTCGTGCTATCTAATACTAGGAGACTCAAAATCGTTTTGCTTACATTGGCTGAATAAGTTTCAACTTGTTCGTTCCTGATCGCAAGAGTAGACAATCCTAGGTCAGACAGATCAGAAGCATAACCTTGTTAACAACTTTCGAGGTTGTTAGGGTCGGGCATACTTCACGCGATTTCAGTCGCGACGCGATTTGGCAATTCGCCAGGTCTTCACATCCAACAGTAGCAAGCTGCACATACATAGTATGTATAGCTTTGAATTAATGAAATGCCCTATCTTCTGTACATTTAAAATGTGTTTACAATGAGTTATGGACCGTTGGAATACTGCCAAATCGCGTCGCGACTGAAATCGCGTGAAGTATGCCCGGCCCTTTAGGCAATGTGAGCGATACAACTCGAAGTCACAATGATACTCAACTTTTACTTCTGCCTCTTGGAAAGAAAACCTTGTGAAGGGGATACATATGTTACTGATACGATATGTAGCTTCCCTCGACACGGTTGAATTTTTCAGCTTCAGGAACTTTTGCGTTCATCTCAGCGTCCTCCTTACAATGAACATCTTTTCCTTTTTCTTTCTCAAACTAGTACATGCTAGTCGCGCAAAAATCGTGACTTATAATAACGGGCTAAGGGTTGTTTACGTCTTTTTGTGTGTCTGTGTGTCTGTCCGTTACGAAATTCGTAGAACATGTTCCAGCCAACCTCCTGAGCCCAAATTTTGCATGGCGCATGCTAGCAGCATGAAAGTCCAATATACAAAAGCGCGAGCAAATCCGTCGAGTGGATCCGTTAAAAATTGTGCGCCAAACGGGTCCACCTGGCTTCTGTACCGCAAAATTCGGTCCGTATCACCACTTTTTGCAGAGTCGTGGATGAGTTTGGTAAGCAAATGTGCAAGCGATGGAGTTTAGCCAGAAAAGTGGTCGAAAGTTTACTACATAACGAAAACGGCGCCAAAATAATTGGTTGTGTAAATGGTCAACTTGCCAAGGTTCTAGCCAAGCGTTTGAGAAGATTTTCGCACAGAGATGTAGCTCACGGTTATCATTACCTTTATGGTGACTACCAAGCCATGACAAATCCAAAAACCTATTCAAATTTGCGTTTGTCTTCCTGCGAAAAGTTTCATCCACTCGAAATCACCGATCTCACGTGAAAAGACTTTCTAAATGAGTGGTTGTTTACATTTTATTCGTGGTAGTCGGCATAGCGCGGTGAGTTCCAGTGCCACGATTTTACGAGAATGAGTAAGGCACATAGATAGTAGAGCCAGTGCGAACCTCTGCGAAGCAGAGGTGACGCACTGGTTCTATATATATGATTTCTCGCAAAGTCTACCTGTCTATACAAAGAGATCGAGCGTCTCCGAGATTTGATAGTTTACAAAAATCTACAGTTTATTTGATTGAAGAATCCAATATAGTTTTTCTAATCTCTTCTGCGAATATAGAACTGTTTCACCGTCCCCATAAGAACAACTTCTTCGAATTGGTGCAAAACTTGCATAATGTTCACGTTCTCTGTAAATTTTAGCATCCTGGAGTTCCTCTGTAATATGTGACTTTGGCGTATCAGTAATCGAGCATAGAACAGACCGCTCAACAGAGTTATTAATGACATTATGAACTCATAGAATTTATTCATTGAAGTCTGTCGTGCCCAAACTGCGAACCAGTGGAAGTGATATGATAGTTGTCGAAAAGTTCATTGGAGGTGTGAGCCATTCTACAAGTAACAGTCACTATGCAAGTCCTCTCTGAGGTTCGTCATATCTCCATATCAGCTCCAATTAAAAAAGAAGATCGTCTGTTCGCACCGTTGTCCTCCGCCGACACTGTCGAATTGATTAACGCTTTTTAAAATGATTTTGTTCTGAACCTAAGCGACTATGCCGCCAGCTATGGATAGATGATGACACAAATGGGGACGACAAGCTCTAAAAACAATAATTCTGCCTACAGCATGCTCGATACTTTGAAGTGCTCTCAACCCTTCTATTCCACCTGAATGTTTCTAAAGTCCTATATTAGTTGAAGATATTCTAAATTTAATCTGAAGAACATATTTTCATTTACAAAAGCATTGGTAACTAAACGCAGCTTCACTAAGAAATGTAAAGCTTTAATAAGAGGTTAGTCGTGGGCAAGGCGGACACTATATGGGGAAAGCGCTTGCGAACGTGGCAAGCCCGAACCCTTTCGTGTGCATCTCAGGCCTCGGACAGACTTCACGCGATTTGGTCGTCGCAATTCAATCGCCGCGATTTCCATTCATTTTCATTTTACATTCAAAAATTTCGGGCTGGAAAAGTATCACAACCGCAATGCAAGCTGGTCGGCATGCAATGCACTCGTAACAGTTGTCTTGTCGCGACTGAATCGCGACGATCGAATCGCGTGAACTCGTCCGAAGCCTCAAGTGGTGGGAGGGGGACTGTATGTCGCCCAATGGAGGTGTTCCCACGTGGACATCCGCAGCAAAAAACGCAGTTCCACATATTCCACACATTGTAGAATTGTACTGATAGTAAAACACAGACCATGTTAGCTTTGAAAACCGAAGCGCGGGAGGCTGGAGACGCTAGGTCCAGAAGCGCTTAGAAGGCTTGTTACAAGCGGAGCGCTGGCCGACATATTCTTATAGACTTTCAAAAGAAGTATTGCAAACATACTCTGCTATGTTGAAAACAACATGAAAATGGGCGAAAAAGTTCTTGAGTATAAGGGAACATCCACAGCCCCTCGCATAAGCGCTCCGACAACGCTCGCTCATACTGGCGTGTCAAGCATGGTGCAGGCAGTTAGGTCTCACAAGTCCTACAAATTCTTGATGAACCTCTTTCGAAAATGCAGCGTTATGAGATACGACAATTTCTAGCCATTCATCTATCATTCAGAGAATGTGCATCTACCTTAATTTTAACCAAAGATTTAGTTTGGATTTGTCCCGTATCAGCTTGCCTTTCAAGTGAAATCATTCAGAGTGACAAAGAAGAACTTTCTCATGCGCAAGAGAAAATCCGTGCACTAACAACGGAACTGGCAATGCATGACGATGCGCTTGTTCAAGTAAGCTGTTACAAATTATTGAGTATAGATCTAAACGACTGATATCAATAAGTATAAGTAGCTGGTAGAGAGATGCTAGAAGGCGTAACGAAGGTGCAACAACTTCTTGGTCTGGCTTAGATCGAAATTTGACAGAATTGGAGAAATCCTTAATCTTGAATATAGTTCTCTAAAGCCCACACGTCCCCTAAAATTGAGGTAGAACTTAAACACTAGAGTGGGACTCTCAACAAGTATAACCTGGAGACATGTAAAATCTGGAGTGTAACCTCAAAAAATCATTCTCCATTCCTCAATCTCATTCACGCTATAGTCTGAAAGTTGCCTCAGTACTCAGGAGGAGATGTATTGTCAATTGAAGAAAAAGTGTAGCCTATGCGACCTACAATATCGCTCACAGAATGTGCATAATTTCCATGAATGTCGCGGAATTCCGCGGAATCCCTGGTATTCCGCGACATTCACGACTTCACGGAAACTTTGCACATTCTGTGAGCGGTATTGTATAATGGCTTTCCTATGGACGTAAAACGGATTTGTTGAAATGATTTTTTCTGTCCAAGGCCTCAACCAGAGTAAATATTTGCAAACGACAAGGTGCTACCCATTTTGTCACCTATTTTTCTCGGTTATTCTTTGTGCACAGGCTTCTGCACAAATAATCAGTTGAGCAAAATTCTACATCTGGGACCAACTATAACAACTTCGGATCGTTTCAGGTTGCAGTTCTACGCAAGAAAATAGCTGCAAGCAAAGAAAGAGCTCAAGCTTTGGTCAATATGGTTAGTCTTGCTTGAGTACTTAAAATCTTTGAAAGACTTCTCACCTCAATCGGAAAAGGAGAAGACTTCAGTAACCCAAAACTGATAGTCTTCATTTTCATTGAAAGTAATGTTCAGAACTCGTTACATGACTTGGGAGATCAGGGGTAAATATGATACTTATCTGAATTTTTGCAGATTGATAGACGCATCACTTATCTCTGCAAACTCTGGGATGAATACATGGCTAAGGAGGATGACAATGAGATTGTTGAGCTTGCAAAAACAGCAGTGAACGATCCATTAAGGTAATTTATTACTTCTTCCGTAGAAATGAAGGAACATCAAGGTAGATAAATGTAATTATGAATTAAGCGAAGACTGAGCAAACATCTTGATTTTCAATTCTAATCGCGCTTTAGAATAGATAGCAGTAAAATAGAAATCCTCTTCTCTGTATTAATAATTTGGTATTGAAGCTGAAGTTCATATTTCCAGAATTAGCATTAACGGAGCAGACGAGGCAAGATTTACGGAAAGGGTTAATTTGTTGAAGGATAAGGTAAGTACTACCTATGTTTTTATTCTAATTCTCTCATTGATAAATTGCACATCTTGCTTTGAAATGCACAAAATTAATAACTAGAATAATGTAAAGCAAGACCTTGCGGGTTCTATAAACCTTCATACAAAAACATTTTCATGCTTTTTTTTCTATAATGAATGAAAACTGTGATCAATCTATTACAGGTTGCTGAATTAATGTTGCTTGATGAACAAGCCGCTGAAGCACATAAGAGAGCAGCAGAGGATAATAAAACACTGGCTATGGCTGCTAGAAGGGTAAATTCAGTTTTCTATGGAAGATACTCACTCGAAGTGACTAGAGATCTTCGTAAATTATCGGATGTAGCCTGGAACTGACCAGACGATTTTTGAAAGCAGCACAACTTGACTAGCATTCTAGGCCATCACCAATGGCGGTTACATAGACTTCATGTATTTCCAAGGAGTTTTTAACGCGTTGCTGAAGGAGAAAGTGAAAAAGAGAGGGTGAGAGGGGGAGCACAGAAGCCTCGTGCAGATAAACGTGTTGCCCATTCCCTCCAAAAAAATCTTAGAAGGGCCATGAACTTACTAAATTCAAAAAAAATTCGAAGAGGTTCCTAGAAAGCGATTTTATACAAACCATCAACAATTGAAATTAAATTGTTTTCGCAAGTTTCTCATACAAATTACTTCGCAACTTTCGCGATGCCTTTTTGAAAAGGTGGGAAAAAATAGCACCAACGTTTGAGTCGATGTGCTTTGCATCTGCATCACTTGATTCTCTTCCCATTTTTCGGACGGAATGCACCCTTTCTAGAAGTATTACGGCGAAGAAACTGCTTCTAGCTGAATATATGGGCAAATCACGTTTTTATGCAATGTAATACATATGCATATGCATATGCATATGTACATATGCAATCTACATGTCTACTCGATCCACCATTTTGACGATGATGTACGATCAAGTAGACATTATTTAAGAACAGCCCCTTTTTTCAAAACACTTTATAGCCAAGTAATCTTCAAGTATCGTCTTTACGTCGGCATCGTGTATACCTTTGATTTACTTTTTTACCAGACAGGGTTGGTAAGCGGCCTTTGATATGATACTGGTGTTACGGCTTTTAAGGAAGACGAATACGTCGAAATTGTTTCATTAGCTGACGATCACTACCTGATCTCTCTGTTACAGAAGTAAATCAAACTTATGTTATCCTTTCAAATTCAGCTGAATGAGACGGAGGAACATCACAAGGCTCTGCTCGCAAACAACAGAAATCAGCAGTCAGAGGACTACACTGTATGCTAGCATGCCACTCCTACCTCCTATGTTCACTCCTTACTTTAGGCTTTGATTTCATTGCAAAAAGCTATCACTGCACTTGTGGAGAGAGGATCGGCAGCCAATGTAAGCGCCGAGGAAAAGTCAGACTCGGCAATTCTAGTCGAGAAGCTCCACGAATATGTAGCCAAGTTGCCCATCAAGGTAGCTAGATATTTCCCACGCAAGAAACTTCCTTTAACGAATTGGCTAAACCTGAGTTAAATTTTTACGTATGCAGCTAAAATACAGTAGGAATGAAGAAAATTTCAGCCTATCGAATCTTACGGTGAGACCTCTGCCACGCCTGGACCAAACTCTAGAACTTCTACTGGAATCGGTGGAGTTACGGCTAGCTCGAGTGGAATCAGTGGAACCACCGTCCCAACTGATGAGGTCTCTCTAGTACCTCAGTTTCTGATATCGGCGACTATGCCTCATAAGGTAGCTCCATGGTACTTTCAGTCATCAAGTTTCTTCACAACTTCGTCACTGCCAACAACTTCCATGAAGAATGCTCGACAGGATCGTAAATGGCGGGCTTGTGCCGAGGTCAGTCACATTTGAAATTTTACGAATGCAAAGAATGATTCTTTGCACTTCTTATGAGAGTGACACTGTCCGCGTTTGGATAAATAGTCAAATGCGAATTACTTGAAAATCCTCTCCTATGATATAAATCCGATCACAAAAAACGAGACGGCGAGGATGGTCCGCCCACATGTATGCTTCAACGGGGGGGGGGGGGGCGCTCGTTACGTGCGGGCTGCCAAATGGAGAACGTCGCAATGCGGCTTTACTGTAACCGCGCGCGGGAAGCAGCAGTGCAGAAAACTTGTCAGATCTATACCACTAGATTACCAATGCTTCTTCTATATTGCTAGCTTTTATCTTCTTCAATTTGTGTCTTTTTTGTCCTTTGAAAAGCTCATTTTACGACTTTTGTGGCAAAACTTCAAATAATTAAGCAAAACTAATATGAGAATAGTCTGTAAACCTCAACAAAGGATGAGAAACTGAAAAACTATGTGCTGCGGATCATGCTGGCTGAATTCCCCGAGTCTGGCCACTGAGAGCCTGTCGCGCGCGACGTTTTCCAGTTGGAAGCCCGCACGTAACGATACGCCCCCTTCAACGGGTGTTTGAATAAACGCCAGTTGCCGAACGGGGCCTTAGTGTAGAGACGCGACGGTGCGATCATGAGGTCAAGAGGACGCAGAGGTCCTAGCGCGAACGAGAGGTCGCGACACGCAGAGTACGTGCTGCTGCAATGGGTGTGTTGAAAGACGCAAGCGCGTGCCAAGGGTGTTGAAATTGCGTGCTGATCATTGTTGCATAGTTAGTTATAGAAGCATACCATTTGATCCGCTCACATCCGATCTCAGTATTCACTTTGCTTCCACTTTTCCGCCAAATTCTGAGAAAATCTTCGAAAATCTCGCTTTTGCGTGCTTTTGCTCTAGGTGAATTCGATTTTTCTCTCCAGATTATAAGCGTGAGTGCGAGAGTGACATTGCGAAAGGAAGCTGTACAGCGATGCCTGGGGCAAAACAAAATTTTAGCACGATATGATCCACTTTTCCGGCAAATTTTGAGAAAATCTTTGAAAATCTCGCATTTGGGAGCTTTTGCTCTGTGTGAATTCGATTTTTCTCTCCAGATTATAAGCGTGAGTTCGAGAGTGACATTGCGAAAGGAAGCTGTACAGCGATGACTGGTAAAAACAATGTTTTAGTACGATGTGATCCACTTTTCCGGCAAATTTTGAGAAAAACTTCGGAAATCTCGCTTTTGGGAGCTTTTGCTCTGGGTGGAATTTTTCTCTCCAGATTATAAGCGTGAGTGCGAGAGTGACTAGGGCAAAACAAACGCCTGTAGTAAACCCCCCATCAGGGCATCTTTCTCGACGTGGACCGGAGTATCTCATCTTATGATGGTTTTCTTCCCGTTTGCAATATCAGTGCGCGCAGGTGCGCTTTAAATTACGAAAGGATTGCTGTTTTTAGCGATCTTAACCGCATTTAAAAATATGAAAATTGAATGAAGTTTCCACCTTCCAAAGTGAAAATTCGCAAAACGGCCATTATTTTTGCAACAGCCTAATATACAGATAAATTTAAAATTCACTTGAAAAAATTATAGGTATGAAACACGTTTATTTATGGGTGTGCTCTACCCGATTGCTAGCGACCCGTAGGGTCGCTAGTCTTATATATAAAGCTGAATGTCTGTTTGTAACCTCGAGTCATTTGTAACTTAATATGTGAGATTGCACACTAAGCCCTGTTAGCGACGGCACTCTTGCTGGTAACTTTCCAGTGAAACATTTTTAGCCCAATAAAGTTGACTTGAGTTCTACTGACTATTATGTAATCAACAAAAACAAAAGAGACAAGGAAACAATCATAAATTACTAGAAAAGAGCAGGCTCTAATTTTGCTGTTCGTCAGTTAACGTGTTTAGTGTGCACTACGCATATTAAGTTACGAATGACTCAACGATATGTCTGTCTGTATGTACGTATGTTCCGAATAGAAAATTCCATTTCTGAACCGATCGGGACCAAACTTGGCACACATACACTTCGGGCCCCGGCGGGTGTCATAGGCTACTTTTCGTATCGATCGATATCGATTTTATGGATTTTTTGCAAAATTTGAGCTACGAGGCTGGGAGTTGGCACAGGGGGGTAAGTGAGCATGGGGATTCCGAATACACTATTAGTTTTTAAAATCGTGCATTACTTTTATCGATTTTATCGATTTTTTGCAAAGTTTGAGCTAGGGGGCTGGGATTTGGCAGGGGGTGTAATCGAGCATGCTGATCACCCCCACGGGGCTCAAATTTTGCAAAAAATCGATAAAATCGACATCAATCGATAACGAAAAGTGGACTGTGACACCCGCCGGGGCCCGAAGTGTATGTGTGCCAAGTTTGGTTCGGATCGGTTAAGAAATGGAATTTTCTATTCGGAACATACGGCGGAGCCGGGTATGCCAGCTAGTTGTATATATTCATATGTGGAAGCCAGTTTTCAAATGAAATATTGAACAGCGAACTATGAATTTCGAAATTGTTCGACAGTCGGGTACTCAAATTTTTCGATTTTCGAATATCTCGACAGCAAATATTCAGGAAAAGCATCGAGTTTGCTCAAATTCTACTTGCGCTTTGTTCTAAGTTAGACCACAGATATAGGCGAACAAAAAGATCATAGATAGGTGCTTCGTGATACCAACTACACTCATACGTTCCCGATGATAGGTAATGAAAGGAATATTTTGATCAGAAGCACTATACAGTTGAGCTGTTACATAAGACTTGTTATACTTTGACTTCTTACGGTAATAGATCATATCTCCTTATTTACAATTAGGCCTAAGGAGCAAGCTCTACAAGACAATGTCAAAAGCACGCACCAGATCGATCCACGGCAAATCATGCCCTAAGAAGCTTTGAATGCTCAAAAATAAAAAAATCTGTACATTTATTAAAATCCTGCGATCTGTCACACGTTCACACATATACATTCCACATCAGACACTCATATGTACCATTGCTGTATTTATTCTTCGCCTAGAAACTGAGGAAAAGATAATTTTCATGATCGTACAAAAGCGAACCTATGCAGTTCTCACGTAAGTGGTATACTACAAGCTTCCGGAACAGGGCTCGGCACGAGGTGGCTAGATGAAAATGGAAAAAACGAAGTCCCCCTTGACTTTTGGGAATTTTTACGAAGTCCCCTTTGACCCTCAACCAAATTTCCTCTAAAAACCTGAAAAATTCCCCAAAATCCCCCAAAAAACGAAACGTCGACTAAAAAAAAGGTCGCCGTCGCCAATTTTCCGTGTCTCTTTGGTCACAAAAACGAAACCCCCTTTGCTTTTCGTCCCAAAAACGATATCCAGCTTGCTTGTAAGCCACCTCGTGCCGAGCCCTGTTCCGGAATTACATCTGCAAATTTTCTGCTTTCCACAACCTAGTTCTAGACAATTATTGATTTAAGCATGCACATTCGAATGAGGATCTAAATTCGATAATTGTCGACGAACAGCGCTTGCGGAAAGCTGGAAATTTACCGTTGTACAGGCTGCTGCATGAAGAAGGCGCAATATTTTCGGGCGCGAACGCGGCTTTGTTAGCAGAGATGAGGCGCAAGATTTGCAACGGTGAAAACGTGCGCGCGTCGCTTCGGCCCGTTCAATAAAGCTGCCTCTGCGCCTACAGTAAGTTTCAACCCTGTTTATGCGGAAATTAAACTGGCGGGAGTCCGCTTCGCAACGGCTCGCGTCGTTCCGCAATCTGCGTCTCTTCATTTGAATCTATCTCGCTGAGTCAGTGGCGGTGCGGGGACGCGCTGCTCCACTTGAAATGCTCGCCTACTCCGGGTTGAAAAAGACTGTACGTTATGCAGTAGCCCTTACGACTTGTGTGTGAGCAGCATATCTTCATGCTACTAACATGGAAATTTCTGTTTTCTTGATTTTCAGCCGAAGAAAAATACAGCAGTGGTATACGCTACTGCATGACGAAGGCGCAATATCTTTGGGCGCGAACGCAGCTTTATAAGCCGCAGAGCGCATGAAGCGCAGGATTTATAACGGTGAGGATACGCGCGCGCCGCGTTCGCGCCCGCTTAACTAATACTGCTTCTGCGCCTTCGTCATGCAGTAGTCTTTAGGTACATATGTGTTTCTGATGTGGAGTATATACATGTGAGCGAAGATGAGATCCGTAAAATTTTTGTGGAGAATAAAGAGATTTTTGGTATCTTGGGGATGCAGAACTCCTCAAAATTAGCATCAAGCTTGAGTGGATTGAAACTGATGGCTGCAGACCTCTTACCACATGTAGAGCTTGCTTTGCTCTGTCGGTAGCCTGAAGCCCTATCAAAAACGAAAATATATGACTTACTGCGGTAAAAAACCCTTAAAGTGTTTAAAGCAACAACCTAACAGAAAAATCTCCGAGCGAAATATATTCCCACTAATAAACAATTGCAATCTTTACGATTCTTTGTCAGAAGCTACATCTGTTTTGGTATATGTGACGCTTGCAAAAATGCTTTCACTTGACAGGATAAAGTCCAAATAGTTTTTTTAATTCAAGGTGAAAGAGATAACCGCTAGAAGTAAAAGTTCCCGATCTTCATCAGCTGCCAAAAAGACCTCAACGACAGGAATTTGAAAACAAGCATTGCATTCTATCTGAAATTATTTTTGATCAGACAACAACTTCAAAAGGCGAAATAAACTTGCAATCGCTTATGTGTGCTACAAAAATTGAAACTCAAGTTTAGATGTTAATATGAAAGACCTCGAGTTAAGAACATTAAAATTTTGACAGTGGGAACAACATACACAACCTTTCAACCTTGGTCTGTCAGTAACTCCAAAAATTATCACAAAACAGGAGATCATATAGAATATCACAGAAGAAACAAGGACCAAAAACACACATTGATACAATCTTTGCAAGATATAAAACACTGTAAACTGAAGCAGATTATTCGTTCGCCTAGCAAACTTGAGCCTTAAATAGATACACCCATTGATTTCTTATGCTTGAGTCAAAAAACCGATGGATATGCTGTAAATGCTGGATTCTCCACTGCAGAAAAATAATCGTCAAGTGTTACGAACGACTTCTGATAGAACTTAAGCGAGGACTTCGACACTTCAGGCATGCAAGTCTAAAATGAAGGTAAGATTCAGAAAAGAAAGGAGCAATCTGTAAGAAACCGACCATGAAAACATCATCAGTTGTAAATATTGCTGGACGTGCTGCTAAGTCCTGAGTTGGAGATGGTATATTGAGATCCGTCAACAGTGTAGGCTTATGATTAAGCCAATCCTAGAAAAAGCTCACTAACAACTGCTTCTCTGTTTCTTCTGAAAGCATACCTTAGCATTAAACTTGAATCCTCCTGAATTCACATACTTTCTATAGAAAGTGCGGGTTTCTTGTGAAGGTCCGAGCTTTTCCAATCCATAAATGTCCTTTGCAAATTTTAGGCCCGCCGCCAGAATGGGCTGTTCTATACAAGGACATACGTTTTGCACTGCAAAGACTTCGAAATAAAAAGATCCGCTCACCATTCTGACCACTGGATTCCAGACTATTAGCAGCTTTCAAGCTTCGGTGCAACTTTTCATCGATGTTGGCCGTATTGGTCAAACGCAACCAAGCAGACTCATATTCTACCACCGCATCATCAGCTTGCTCTTCCTCCAAAGTGTCATCATCTTCATCGTCAGTTTCAGTGTTTTTAGACTTCTTGGATTTTTCTTTGGGTTCCTGCAAAATATTACACTTCGTTACTTTTCTAAGATCGTATCCACACACATCAAAATCGCAAGAACTCACGCTCTTGAATAACTTCATAAACTGTCCGCTAGATGAGTTATCTTGATTTATTCCCTGGATAGCCAATGCACGGGTATCTGCTATTATCTAGAAAGTCATCACTAGAGCGCAATTTGAGAACAAAATAAAGTCACTCCAACATAATAGCACCAAGGCTCAGGTCTCAGCACATCTTGTCATGGAAACGCATAGAAAAGGAGAGCAATAGAAAGCAACAAACCTGAGCTTTGACCCGATTTTCTAGAGTTGTCATTTCGAAGGTTCTATAGAAGTTCCGGAAATCATCAGTGGATGATAATTTGATCGATATACGCAAAACAAGGGTATCGCAACCTAAATGTGGGTAAAAAAAGATAAGCAGACAATGGTTTCCGATAATTAAACAGGAAATCTAAACCAAAAAACAAGAGCGGATACAAGCACATGAATGGGTGTAGGGATAGCATTCGTGGAACAAGTTCTAGATGTATGCATGAACAGGGCTCGCCACGAGGTGGCTAAATGAAAATGCAAAAAACAAAGTCCCCCTTGACTTTTGCGAATTTTACGAAAACCCCTCTGACCCGATCATAATCCCCAAAAGATTTCTAAAAACGAAACGCGACCAAAAAAAAACGTCGCAATTCATATAACAATAGACGGCCCTCACACCGGAATGACACTTAGCAAACTAGTAATAACAACCGCAGCCCAAAAATACAGTAGAAATAATAAAACTTAACAAATTCGCAAATTTTGTGTCTTTTCGGCCACAAAAACGAAAACCCCTTTGCATTTTGTCCCAAAACGATATCCAGCTTGCTTATAAGCCACCTGTGCCGAGCCCTGTACATGACTATAGCTCCTTAACCATCCCTAACTTCGAAGCTCTCTTCACTGACTGTACTTGAAAAAAGTTGTTCAAAAACATTATTCACCATTTTTTGAAGGCCGGTGTAGAACTAGATGGCGTACTCTCACAAAGGAGGAAGACACTTTAGGCACCCGCCATACTTACCCCTCTTGATCCGCTTGATCCGCTTGATCCGCTTGATCCGCTTGCTCCGCTTCTTGCAAGACGCGTGCAAAACGCGCGCACACAGCAGTCTGTCATTTGGCGTCACGTACAGCGAATTTGCCCAACCACCGAGATTGCTTTTTACCTACGCAGCGCCAAATGACAGACTGCTGAGTGCGCGCGTTTTACACGCGTCCTGCAAGAAGCGGAGCAAGCGGATCAAGCGGATCAAGCGGATTGAGCGGATCAAGCGGATCAAGAGGGGTAAGTATGGCGGGTGCCTTACTGAAAACATGGGTCCGGTGGAGGGGGGGGGGGGAGAGCAGGATGAAGGGGAGGAGGGGAGAGCTTGATTAACACAAACAACATCGACAAGTAATGGTGATCAGTGCAAAGCAGATAGCAGGAGAAATGTTTGGAAGAATATCTCGAATCAAGAAACAGCAAAAAACGTTCGAAAAAAAATTGAATTTTATGACACTCTTACGTTGCTTGGCATCTGTGCTCTCTTCTTTTATTTCATCTATCACAGTCTTCTCAGTAGCCTCTATAGCCAGCTTCACGGCTTTTTCTAGTTCATCCTCATCGTACATCCACGCGCAGTAGTCAGTATTTACCTGCAAAAAGAAAAGCATAGCAAGTTTCGAAAGGGAAAAAAGTTGTAAATTTTATGCCTTTATGTAAGTTGGAAAATGAAGGTAGTAATCGGTACCGAGGTCCCACAGTGCTACATCAGTGCTAATCTGTGGCCTACGAAAGACAATAAATTAGCAATTTGGACAAGACCAAAGAAAAATAAACACGAGGAACACAATGAAGCAAACACGAGGGATAAAATAACAAGGACCAAAGAATAACAAAATAATAAGTAGCTTACCTGAACACACCCAGGAAAAGATTGATGGCAGCCTGCTTGTCATAATCACCAAAGGTATTACTGTAGTAACGCGATAACGTCTGAATTACGTCTCTACTGCGCTCCTGAAATCAACTAACTCTGTTCCATCAGTTCACCCACAATAAAATGTCATACTTGCAACGCAGACATTTTCTTGTAAGTTTTGATTGAGTGCACAAGCTGACTGCCGGCATACTGCCACGCCAGAGTATCACCATGATCATCGAAAATGTCTTCAAATGCACGGCAAAGCTAGAATAGATTGCTTAATATACATGTCCAAGCCTGAGAAAGATGGTGATCTTGATGGTGCTTACATCACTATTCAAAGACAGATTCGGATAATCTAATACTCCCATAGAATACAACTGACATGCCAGAGCTACCCTGCCTAAACATCTGACAATTCGATTCAGGAGTGAACAACGGTCAACAAAGGTAAAATAAGAGAACACATGACATTAGACGGTACTCAAAGAACGCACCAATACCAAACTGAGCCACATTAGTTCGATCCAAGCAGTCCACACAGTTTGTCCTGCTTATGCCATGTTGGAGCAAGAAGTGTCCGTCTGCGGAATGTACTGGTTTAAAATCTGGCAAAGCTAACCGATGTTCCATTGTGCGAGTGTATGGCATAGGAAATGACTGCAAAATGGGTCATTTGATAGAAGTGATTCAATCGAGGATCTGTTCATATTTTTGTACAACTAAAGAAAACACCTGATCAAAACAGATGTACAGGGGCTAAAGGAAAAACAGTAAGGCTAACCTGGAACCATCCGTGCGCCTGTGCAGCCTTGAGAGCAATTTCTTCCATTTTAGTTAGCACATTGGCAGTTACACTTGATGCCTTATTGCAGCGGGCAACGTCGAAGCTTATGTAAGCGATATGCTCAGATTGTGGAAGGAATTGATTCAGATAGTTAACTGCCTGATGAGAAACATTGAGCCTGTATATCGGGAATATACCAGTCAAAGTACCTTGAGAAACTGCTCGTGTAGCAGACTCTCATGTCTGCGCTTTTCTCTCCTTTTAACTAAGTTCATGACTATTATCGGGTTTCCATACTTATTTCGCAAGTCCCTGAATCTCAGCATTATTTAGGCTGGGTTCATACTGAGCCGCACAAAGCGGCACAGTTCCAGCTTCAAGCACAGTTCGAGCGCTGTGCTGGAACTGTGCCGCTTTGTGCGGCTCAGTATGAACCCAGCCTTACATGAACGCCGATTGAGACTCTAAGGCTCAAAAACAAAAAGAAACGATGTTAGTATGAAGATTTAAAAGAAATAGGAAAAAAGGAACTGTTAGGTCACCTTTTCGCTTCCTTGAATAATCAGAAAGATTTTATATATATCAACTCTATAAACATATAGAACATATATATTTGATGCTGACGTACCTAAAATGTGCAGCCGCCGTCTGTGCATGGGGCTCATGGATGTCAATAAGTATAAGGGGTTTGCCAACCACACCCCTTGTTGCTGGATCTTGTGACCATCTAAAATTATTTTCAGTTGCAATGAGATTGAAGCCTATGCAGCATGACTAGTCAGTAATATCAATCATCAAGAGCTAGCCAGAACAGGGTAGCAGCAGCGGATAGCAGTACCTATTCTGATGCACTCAATTCATCGGTCAACCAGGTTACACAAACCTACCTTAGTGGTACTGATCCGCGCCGTTGAACAAAAGAGGAGAAGCGTCCGAGTTTGAAATTTGGTGATGATGACACATCCCAAAGCACTTGTTCTGTTTCTACATCATTTGCCACGCACCCTTAAGGGATCGTTCATACCGCGCACAAAGGCGGACGAAGGCGGACGAAGCCGGACGAAGGCGGACGAAGCCGGACAAAGCCGGACGAAGGCGCGGCCTCGTCTCGTCTCGTTTCTCTCGACAGCACACACACACACTCACACGCGCCTTCGTCCGCCTTTGTCCGGCTTCGTCCGGCTTTCCGCCTTCGTCCGCCTTTGTGCGCGGTATGAACGATCCCTAACACATACGAATATGAAAACGAAAGATAGAGCAAACATGAACAAACCTTGCAGATTAGCTCCTCGTTTCAAAAACCGCGTTCCCGCATACTGCGACGAGCGCCGACCAATCAGTGTTAAAGAAAGTTTGGTGAAAGGCAAATTGATGAGCTGTTGCCCTTAAGTGCTTTAATCAAAACTAAAACACGATCGCAGAATCGCTTACCTACATATCCGTGAACTATCTCCACAAACCATCGCTCGCTGACTAAGTTGTTGCGAAGAGGTTCAAGGAGAAAGCTGTTCCATACAAACTTCTCATCCGAGCTTAGTAAACGTTGCCCGTCATGATTCCATTCCGCTGACAGAACGTTCTCTTGTAGTGATCGACTAAGATCATACGTGTAGGAGAAGTAAAAATCCGTCGACAGATCAACAGACTGCAAAGAATTGCTTTTCTATTTATACAACCGCTTTTTTTGACATGTATAAGATGCATGTTCTGCAGAGGCGCAAAAACCAGGATGGACAGATTTCATAAACTTAGGGCCATTGCAGATGATAGAATGATGGTGCCGTTAGCGTGTTTCACAAAGAAGGGATTTACTCACAGAGCAGCTATAAATGAATTGAGTACTTAAGTAGCAACAAACCTGAAAAATTCTAACATATCGCTGTTCTTCATTTGAGGCTGATAAGCCATCCATAGCTATTGAGATCATCGCAACTTCGGCAATTTTGTAGATAGAATGATAGCCAAAGCTGGCGATAATATTCGCTTTGGTTACTACCTGTAATATAAATGTGAACCAGTGTTGATAGAAAGCCTAGAATTGCAGTTCTCAAATCACAGCTATATCACATAACGGCTTATATTCCATGAATAGATGCGAAAAAGGACAACACACAACGCTAGGATTACCTGCCGTATGAAAGTGATCAAAAATTAGATAACTAGAAATAAAGATGCTTACGAAAAAAAGAAAACTCAAAAGATAAAAGTACAGGAGTGATAAAAGTACTCACTATAAGGTAATAACCTTCAAGAAAACGCACGACACCCAGAAGACCAAAAGCATTGCTTATCCTTTCGATGAGACCCGCAGAACTTTTCTTGTTTGACTTCCCATTCAGGCTAGGAGAGGATCTGTAGACCACTGCAACAGCCATTTTTCAATAGAATTTTACCATTAAGCTTGCTACCTGAACTTCCTTCAGTGATGGTTGCAAGAAGCTCTAAAATTTCTTCTTTTGAGTAGTCACATTCTGGTTCACCCGTAAGTAGCGCTTTGGAGTCGATGCGATCAATTTTTAAGACTTTGAATCGGGTGCCGGATGCGTCACATCCTACCAGATAGAACCTTCCAGGAGTTTCATATACGGTTATCCTTCGCAGTCGCCCGAGCATAAATCTGAAATGTCACAATTAGACAACTAAAAACATAAACGAAAAGACGAGAAGGGAATTTACAAAGCATGGTGTCACAATTCGAATATAAGCAATACAAGCTGACAAGGACTGCAGGCTTCATGGCTATTCTTAGAATTCCATCTTCCGATGCGAAAATAAAAATTCCGATACCAAATACGCCTCATTTGCTGTACCGTATTATGCTGCTTTCCGATACGTGCTGTGTTCTGTTTTCTTTTTAAAGCCAAAACTCAGATGCACGGTTAGCACAGAACTATCACGTAGTCCCAGACGCGACAACAAGTGTGCCAAAGGTCTTCAGGCGTGAAGGATGCACGTACGTGACGTAGCCACACATTTGGTAAAAGAACACCTCGAAGATTTTGTACCATTTGATTCACCTGGCTTGGCATCGGCAAAGGCGGGGCTTCGTGACCTAATTAAGGCTAGGTCATGATCAGAGAGCATTCGCGCGAGAGAGACGCAGGTGCGTCGCGGGCGCGAGCGGCCTCAATTAGATCACAAAACCCCGCCCTAATGGTGCCAAGCCAGTTGAATCAAATGTTATGGGAGTTGCCATTCTGAGAGACCTTCAGTCTATCGCTGTGCTCAAAATAAATCTGCTTTCAAGAAAGCACGGAGATCAGGATGTCGATCTGACTGCAGTGTTTCGATCCAGGGTCAAGCGTGTTGATGCGATCCTAGACCCTCTTCTACGACCCCCCCCCCCCCTCCTGAAGGTGTACCTATCCGTACGACCATCCTCCTCACCTACCCCCCCCCCCTCCCCACACCTACCCCTACCCCTCCCACTTACCCCTCTCACTTTCTTTTGCGGTAACCTGCCTAAATGAATGTCAATCTCAAAAGATGCCTGCCAATGGACCTCAATCAAAATATAGATCAAAAATAGATAACTACGTACAAACTGAGAAATAATGCAAGTAATGCTTCACCATTCAAAAACCAACCCAAACAAATAATTCTGCGCAGATTAAGTAGTAAAATTCCACGAAGATTGGCGCTATATTTATTGTGGTTGGGAAAATATGAATGGAAAGGACACTATGTGACAAAGCAGAACATCAATTCCTATCTGAATAATAAATAAGCTTAACTTTAAGATTTACAAATTAATGACGGTAACCGCTGGCAAAGATATTGGATTTTGTCGAGTGTGTAACTACAGGTAATAAAGCTTTCTGGTAAAACTTTTTTGAAAATGGCTGTTGCAGTAATCTGCACATGCTCTCCCAGCCTCAACGGGAAAAACAAGAAAAGGTCTGCGGACATCATCACGATAAGCAGTGCACTCCTCCGGGTCGGCCCAGCGCTGCACTGTTGCATTGCCCACCCGCTCGCCACGGGAGTGAATAAGAAACCAAAGGGAAAAAAAGAAAAACCATCAAGGATGCAGTCCATCATAAATCAGTTGCTAATTTTACAAGACGCAAGCATGCAATTCTGTGGACGTGGGACAAACTTGCCGGTGGGATTCAGCGGGAAGAGCCTGTCAGTAACGTAACCTTCTGGCGGAACCACGTTCTGTATTTATAATCGAGCACCATGTCCTGAATTAGCTTTCCACAGAAGTTGTGGGTTGGAATTTCTGTCCTGATCGAGATAAACCCTCAGTCTCCATTGTTGGGCTCACCGGACAAATTTGCTTTTAAAGTCAAAGCATCAAAGTCGGCTTGACGTCAGAGCTTTCGATATGAGTAGCGAGCAGGGTGCAGCGGGTGAGGGAACTTAGGAACCCGAGCCTAATTTGCTCGATTCGTGGAGTGCCTGCAGGTTACAGTCGTGCTCGCTGTCTCTCATTACTCACTAGGATATAGCAACAATCTAAGCCCTGCCCCCGTGACTGCTTGTTTGGGACCTAGCTAAGGGTTCCTTCATACTACGCCGCGCGCGCAGCGTACGCGGCATACGCGGCGTACGCGGCGTACGTGGCGTACGCCGCGCGCGCAGCGTAGTATGAAGGAACCCTAAGGAATGCTCAATTGAATTTCAGGGCTGGCTCTAAGCCAAAAACCGTCAAAGTGATCGTACGAAGGTGAAATCAGGCTCAAACGAAAAAGAAAAACCGTGCCATCGTCATAAAGTATCTACTGTTTTAAACTGATTGAACACAACATTACTTTGGTTCAGAATTTATTTAAGTGTTAAATTACTGAGAAATTATTCAAAAAACCGTCAAGTTTTTCAAAAAAAATTTATTTGAGTGCTAAATCTAGCAAAAGACTAGTAAGAGAAATGACAGTTCAAGACCTTCCCAAGATTAATAGTTATTTAAATGCTGAAATTTAGGCGAAAGACTAGAAAATCAATCGCGAAACGACAGTTTATGAAATTCTCAAAAATAAAAGTTTGTCTGTGTGCGGAAGTGTAGGCAAAAGACTAGAATATCAAGAAGTGACAGTTCAAAAACTTTACTAGTGATAGTGCCGAGTCTGTCAACGACAGACGATTCTGATGTGCGAAGAACATCCAGAAACCATTATCCGTCGGAATCCGGCGCTGACCTTAGCTACAGTATTAGGTTGTTCCGAAAGTTTTGTCGGTTTTTTCAAATCGCTATAAAACCACGTTCTTATGGTTGCATTTTCTAGCCATAATCCTGCATTCTTTTTCTGATAATTGCTAAAATTTTTCACCCGTCATTTTTATCTGCTCAAAATTCGGCTAATTTTCACAAATTTCATTCCAAACTTCCGGAAACGTTTAAGTATGGAACAGATAAAGCAGTTCTTAAACTACATGGCAATGTATTTAGATTCTCCTAATCTGCTGTTCTTAGCTTGAAATAATCATTTCTTCCAAGGTCTCGATTTTTGGCAAAGTCATGAAACACGCAACTGCAGCAAAAACATGGAAGTTTCAAAAATTTTTGCGAATTGGTACTTGTTTGTTATTAAACATTATTTATGCAACCTATCCAAGTATGATCTGCTTTGAAAAATCACTTTTTGAAGTTTCGGTAGTTTTACGTGTTGAACGTAATCAAAATGCCTTGGTTTTTCTTAAATAAATTACTATTAGGGACTTGTTAAATGCGCCCCATGTAATCCAAAATATACACGTGTAGCCAAAGGTTTGCTCTACTTAACAGTCACCAGCGCTCTTTAGAAATATCAAAATGAAAATTCTCAAAGTTCATGAAGGGTTTAACAATTAAAGCTGCTCGAAAAGCCATGACGATAACATCGCAAAGGCAGAGTAGATCAGAGAGCAAATATATGTACCTGTAAGAAAGAGGATAAAAATATGAATTAAAGGATACCTAAATCGTCCATGGATTGATGTTCTGTGGATTTTAGTGAGCGATGAAAGAAACCGACAAAACTTTCGGGACAACCTAATATATAGCTAACGCGACCATGAAAGGCGACCCCGCTGCCTCTTATTTTTTTACCAGACCAAAGTGCCGCTTCGCGGCACTTTGGTCTGGCCGTGTGTGAAGTGGGATATGCGCAGAAGTTTGGCAAAGTGCCTCTTCTAGTTAGTCAAAAAGTGGGTGTCTGCAAACATCTCCTAATAGCGAAAACGGGAAGTAAGTGAAATTTCTATAGGTTTTACATGTTGATTTGAATGAAATATACAGCAAAGCTTTTCTTAGCTTCCCAAATGTTTGGCATAGAAGATTTACAACTGTTTGCAAAACATTAGCTTGCTGGGTCTAGCCAAATATGCTGAGATTGTGCAAATTGGACTGATAGTATGCCATTTAAGTCATTTGAAAACTTCTTGGAAGAAATTGAAAGCTCTTCTGCCACATTGCGCAGCAACCCCCCCCCCCTCCCCTCCCTGTTTTCAACCTCCCTCCCCCTTTGCCTGAAGGCTTATAATCATAAGCATACTTTGTTTTCTTTCCGAAAAGTCTCCTTCAAAAAATACCCACATTTTCTTAGTTCCTTATTTCTTTGAAATTGTGCCACACTAATCATACTCTTAAGGTTTTCAGATTAGTTTATCAAAAATTATGCATACCCAGCGAGAATAATCTCAACCTTCCAACCCACTTTCCGTTTTTCTATTACTTATTTTCCCCCAAATGAATGTTTATCGAAAAACCGTGCGGAGACGTCCCCAGCCCCTTTGAGATCAGGGGAAAATCTGACACTCATTCCTTTCACTGAAAATGTCTGAATGTTTGTAAATTTATCAATATGTTTTAGCAACATCAAAGTGTTTGCACCATATTCTGCTAGTTTTCGTCTACCTTTCAAGTACATACCGAAAACTACTCTTGAGCTTCTCCTGTCACGACCGCTCAAAGCTTTGATCTGATTTGCTTGGAAACGCGCTTATATCTTTGCCTGTGCTGGAGTCAAGGTGCAAATCTCCCCAAGTTTTCCCACTCCCCACTCAAACCATATTTTTGGTACTTCCAACATTGGACCTCCATCTTGCTTTCCTACAGTTCACAATGATTTTTGTACCTCATCCAATATGCTTTCTATATTTTAACTAACGTTTTCTGACACTCCAAAATCTTGCTAGCGGAAGCTATTCGGGCTCGCGTTGCTGCTCGCTAATCCGATATAGTAATCTAATGCATAACGAAAGGACCAAGTAACTTTCCCTTCCCATCGTTTAACTTGTCCAGCAAGTACACTTTGCTGGTTGGCTTCTTGATCAACATCATCTAAGACAGGTGCCACTACCATCATGAGCCACAGCTCGGTGCATCTGCACCGGCACATAACGACAAAGTTGTTGACACCCGAATCGCGACCACGAAGGGGGGGGGGGTATCTTACATGCATGAGTCATCTCTAGCGCTTTATTATAGAGAGATTTTTTTATTGATCTTACTTAATCAGATCATAGAGTGGTCCTGCATTTGATATGATGTGCTGTTTATTCTCTGGGTTGTATATATAACTAATCATTTCGCTATCGTATTCGGATAATGAATGGGGACCTGAGTTTGCTCATAACTAATGTTGATGGATGACGTAGAAGTACCATTTACAAAATCTTTTTGTTGTTACGGATTTCAAAACAAGCTGTCATTGGTAACGTTGACTTCATCTCCCTGAACAATGTACACGTAGACAGAGATTCTTCTAACCTCATCAAATGAAATTCCTTTATATTCTGGAGAAAAGTTATTGGGATATCTCGATAATGATAAATTCCATGAGATATCCTAAAGAAACATCAGTTCCTTAGTATTTGCACGTTATGGTATATTGAGAGAGTATCCAAGATGAGGAGAATTTTCAGTACCGTGGCAAGGTCAGAGAGTAAACAAGACAAATGATAGTTTCACGATGACCTAATGATGTGGTAAGTAAGATTTATCTTTATCTTTATTGATACGTGTTATAACACTTGAGGTAAACATCCAAAAGAAAGATGAACCTGAGCAGTACGAGTATCTGCTGAAGGAAAATGTAAAGCAGAGAACATCAAACAAAAACAAAAAACATATAGAAAAACGATAAGCTAAAAAACAAAAACAAAGAAAGGAAACAGAAGATGAAACAGAAGAAGAAACGGAAAATAAACAATGACAACAAGTATGTAGAAACAAAATCCCAACCAGGAATGAGAACGACTGGCAAGAGAACAGCATTTTGCCAAAGTCTGACAGAGAGCACCTTGACCAAGTAATCTATTTAAATCCGCCAATACTCTAAGGGTAAAGAATTTCGCACGAAGGAGAGTTTTGGCTGAGGGAACTCTCAATTTAAGCGAAGAAAAGATTTATATGTAACTAGCTGGCTTACCCGGCTCCGCCGTATCCGGACCAAACTTGGCACACATACACTTCGGGCCCCGGCGGGTGTCACAGTCCACTTTTCGTTATCGATCGATGTCGATTTTACCGATTTTTATCGATTTTTTTGCAGAGTTCACCTACAGGGCTAGGAGTTGGCACAGGGGGGGAAGTGAGCATGGGGATTCCGAATACAATATTAGTTTTCAGAATTATCGATTACTTTTATTGATTTTATTGATTTTTTGCAAAGTTTGACCTGCGGGGCTGGGAGTTTGCACAGGGGGTAATCGAGCATGCAGATTACGAATACAATATTGGTTTTCAGGATTATCGATTACTTTTATCGATTTCATCGATTTTTTGCAAAGTTAGAGCTAGGGGGCTGGGAGTTGGCACAGGGGGGTAATCGAGCATGCTGATCATCCCCAAGGGGGGTGATCAGCATGCTCGATTACCCCCCTGTGCGAACTCCCAGCCCCGTAGCTCAAACTTTGCAAAAAAATCGATAAAATCGATAAAAGTAATCGATAATTCTGAAAACTAATATTGTATTCGGAATCCCCATGCTCACTTCCCCCCCTGTGCCAACTCCCAGCCCCGTAGGTGAACTCAGCAAAAAAATCGATAAAAATCGATAAAATCGACATCGATCGATGACGAAAAGTAGCCTATGACACCCGCCGGGGCCCGAAGTGTATGTGTGCCAAGTTTGGTCCGGATCGGTTCAGAAATGGAATTTTCTATTCGGAACATACGTACATACAGACAGACAGACAAACAGACATTCAGCTTTATATATAAGATAAGTAAGATTCATAGCCAAAGGAAAGATAAGAGGCAGCTGGGTCACCTTTTATGGTCACGTTAGCTATATACTGTAGCTGAGGTCAGCGCCGGATTCCGACGGATAACGGTTTCTAGAACATCCTGCTAAATGCTGGAAGCAGTGACCTCAACCTACGCAAGGAAAAGTTGCAATAACAGTTTAAGGCGAAATTTTCCTTATAAATAGGTGAAAACCATTTATCGTTTACTAACGATATCTCAACATCCCATGTCTTACGACGATTATTTTTATTCCCACATGCAGCATCTGCTGCAACAATTTTATTCATCGGCAGACCCCAATTCTGTTCCTGTTCTAAATTGGGAGCCTCAGGTGATTTTGATAAGTGTAGTGTTTTGCCTAGACTTCCGCACACAAACAAACTTTTATTTTTGAGAATTTTATAAACTCCGTTTCGCAATTGATTTTCTAGTCTTTCGCATAAATTTCAGCATTTAAATAGCTATCAATCTCTCGAGAGGTTTTTGAACTGTCATTTTTCGAATGATATTCTAGTCTTTTGCTCGGATTTAGCACTCAAATAAATTTTTTTCTGAACGGTTTTTTGAATGATTTCTTAGTAATTTAACACTTAAATAAATTTTGAACCAAGAAAATGTTGTGTTCAATCAGTTTAAAACAGTAGATACTTTATGACGATGGCACGGTTTTTCTTTCTCGTTTGAGCCTAATTTCACGTACGATCACTTTGAAGGTTTTTGGCTTAGAGCCAGCCCTAAAATACAATTGAGATTTTCAGCATTCCTTGGCTAGGTTCCAAACAGGCCATCAGGGGGCGGGGCTTAAGTTGTTGCTATGTCCTAGTGAGTAACCAGAGACAGCGAGCATGACTGTAACTTGCAGGCACTCCCCGAATCGAGCAAATTAGGCTCGGGTTCCCGAGTTCCGTCCCCCTGGTGCGGCTTATATACCCGACAGTAAAGTTTTAATTTACCATTTTCACCATAATACGCATCAAGAGAGGAAGGTTTTTATAACGAAAGCCCATTGCTGGCAGTGAAGCCTTCTTGTAAAATCTGATGAATGGATGCGGAGGGGGCGGGAGGGAGGAGAGGGGTGATAGATCTCATTGTACTCGTTCTTCTAGTATTATCTAGGGCTTTCCTATACCATCTGATCACATCATTTGCTACCGCAACCCTGAGAATGATGGACGCTGGAAAAGGATAGAATAAATGCCCTGCCTTTTTCTCTGTGAACAAGAATAAAACCGTCGAAAGGCATGGAAGCTAAACTTTTGCGAGCATACTGTTCTTATTAATGACAAGTAGAGCATCTACTCGAGTTTCAGGAAATTTTTCGAGCTTTATGAAGTAAGATCTCTAGAGATGTCACTAGGCAGACTTTTTCCGTGAGTGCGTAAACTGGAATCAAGCTTCTTACGTTGAGCTTCTGCAAAATGACAAGATTTCCGAGAAAAAACCTAGATGGAATAGCTGAATCTGTGTAATGATATATCCTTGCTAGAGGATTTTGTTGCCTTTACGCCTACCCCCCCCCCTTTACCCAACCTACTATAAAAATTGCGGCGATTAGAATAAGTTTTGAAGCACTTTACAGGTTAAATGCAAGGTGGACTCTCTATCAGCCCTGTATCCTTGAAGTACCGAGAGGTGGCATGTTTCAACATGTTCTGGCAACTAAACTATGTTTAACCATGTTTTACCTGTTTATTCGCCGGTCGCGTGTCTCATTCGGGATGCGCATTTCGTGTTTCTGTCGCACCCCATTCTCTTCCTTTTCTTGGATCCGAAGACGTTTGGAAATCTTGAATTCCTCCTGCACCATACTCTGCCTCGGGAAAACAAGCAACCTTCGGACCACAGATTTATCTTTCCATCTTGATTTTCGTTATTCCGAAAGGGGAATATAGTGATTAGTTATCACGATTCAGCTCGTACATTTGCCACGTATCATTTTTTCACAGCAGATTCCCATATGCCTCGGACAGAGTTTACGCGATTTGATCGTCGCGATTCAATCGCTACAAGAGGTTACGAGTTCATTGCATACCGATCTTTTTGTATTTCGGTTGTGGTAGTTATTCAAGATTAGTCGTGTTGGAAAGCTATCACAACCGAAATGCAAGAAGATCGGCATGCAATAATTTACAGCTGTTTTGTCGCGATCAATCGCGACAATGAAATCGCGTGAACTCTACCCGAGGCCTTAGATACTGCGGTCCACATGCTCACTTCGCTACCTTTCACTCCTTTCTGTTTCTTTTTTTTTTAGAATTCAGGACACCTGCCGAGGTTGAAGGCAAGTGACTTTGCAAAGTGTACCCGTGTCAGATCTTCGTGGTAATATGGTAGCAGATTCTCCCCCCTCCCCCTCCCCCTCCCCAAAAAATACAAACATAGCCTTACCCAATTGATTTCGGCGCTGAAGCAGCTTCAAAGCACCATTCCCACTGCTTTTAAAAGGAGGGAAAGGCACATGCCCCGAGCTTGGGAGCTGTGAATATTATATTTCTTCCGTGTTTCTTCTACTTGTTGCTCATTTTCCTAACCAGTTCAGTGCAATTCAGCTACGATTTCCAAAGCCGATTGGGTATGGAAAGTAAGAGAATTCGTGTTGGTGAACAGTGCGCGCTAGACGAGGACATGCATACAGAGTTCAAGATGCACATGAAACATTCTTTGATGGAAATCCCTGCTGCTAGTCAGTCCTACGATCATGGACGTCCTGTGCGCCAAATACAGCCTACTAGCAAGTAAGTTGTACTAGTCTACTCTGTTCTCTTATCATATGTTTTTTCAAAGTAGTACCCGAAAGATTATATGTAAAGCCAGGGTCAAGCGTGGGGTGCGGCACGCCACACCTGGGGGGTCGTATTGAGGAGTCAAAAGGGGAGGGGGTCGTAGTTGGGTAATATGATAATAGTGATAACATGATATTCGTATCCTATCCATAATTAGCATGTCAAATAACCCCTGTAGACAAAGTGTGAGCGAATTCTGAAGATTCAAGATACTAAGCTACCTAAGTGAAATGGTCAAATTCCAACATGGTTAACTTTGTTACAAAGGTGAATTAGCTATCCGTTTTTGCACTCAAGACAAAGCACTACTCCTTCTTTGTCCACCTCAGGAATCCCGCTTTAGAAGACCTCCAAACTGTGGAATTAGAAGCCAACCAAAATCTCGTTTTCCCATTTTTCGCTTTTGATCGCTGTGCTTTCACCAAATATTACTCAGAGCTAAGAAGACGGATCAGGCTCCAAACAGTCCTATGGAATCCACAAGGTTTGGGCTATCGATTCATATAAATATTGTCCGCTAAAATTGTTTTTTGATATGGTTAATGGGATGCGGCACACCCCTTCAAAAGCTGCGGCGGCCGCAGCTTTTGAGGGGGTGTGCCGGCACCCCATTAACTATATCAAAAAAACAATTTTAGCGGACATTGTTTATATGTATCGATAGCCTAGATCTCCTAGTTTTCACAGGAGTAATTTCAGCCTGATTCGTTTTCTTTGCTCTGAGTAATAGTTGGTGAAGGCACAGCCACTAAAAGCGAAAAATGGGAAAAATGAGATTTTGGTTGGCTTCTAATTCCACAGTTTGGAGGTCTTCTGAAGCGGGATCCCTGAGGTGGACAAAGAAGGAGTAGTGCTCTGTCTTGAGTGCAAAAACGGATAGCTAATTCATCTTTGAAACAATGTTAATCATGTTGGAATTTGACCATTTCACTTAGGTAGCTTAGTATCTTGAATCTTCAGAATTCGCTCACACTTTGTCTACAGGGGTTATTTGACATGCTAATTATGGATATGTTGCCCATTATGTTTGACATGGCCTTCAAGTAATGCTATCTTAAAGGCAGTGTCCAGGCAAATCTGGACCCTTTGGTTTTTTGCGTGGAAACTGATGGGGAGCCACTGACTAAACCACTGCCCGAGTTGCAGCGCACGGGATTCACTCATGCCAGAGAAATCGGCGTCCGAATCGGTCGTCCCCGCGCCGTGACCGTAACACTTCAACAGTCTAAACGCACATCACGGTCCCGGCGCGAAACCATGAGGACAGGGTGTAGCGCGGAAACTCGTTGGGAGGGTACGAAATAGCACGGAAAATGAAGATATCTCAAATGTAATCAACGAAAACACCATGAACAACGCGGAAAAGGCAGCCGAGAGAAGTCGCCGCAATAAACATGGAAAACAAGGGCAATTCACGAAAAGCAGAAGAATTAGGAAATTTGCAGTATTTGTGCAACGAGTTTGCACGCTACATCCTGTCCTCATGGTTTCGCGCCGGGACCGTGATGTGCGTTTAGGCTGTTGACGTGGTACGGTCACGGCGCGGGGGCGACGGGCTCGGAGGCCGATTTCTCTGCCGTGAGTGAGTCCCATGCGCTGCAATTCGGGCAGTGGTTTAGTCAGTGGTCCCCCATCAGTTTCCATGCAAAAAACCAAAGGGTCCAGATTTGCCTGGACACTGCCTTTAAGTGTATAGTTTAGGGGGGGGGGGGGTCTTATCAAGACAGCAATCAGGGGGGGGGGGTCGTAACCAGCGATCGTGCCACACCCCTTGCTTGACCCTGTGTAAAGCATGAATAGAAAATGTAAAGTTTGACGGGGTAGTGTAATGTTGCTGGATACCACATTGTTTCTTCGCTAGGAAACATTTGATTGTAGATTTGTATAATTATGACGACTATGGTCAATGCTTTTCGTGCACTGAATTTTTTTGGATTTGTTTTTCTCAGGAATTTGCCCGCCCTTCAACCATAGCCAGGGTGCGTATATCCCTCACAGCGAGGGCACAGAGTCCCACAAAGATCACGCGTCTTAATGGCGGAACCAAATCAAAATTATTAATAGGTCGTCCGGAAACCAATGCCCTTTTTGCAACGTTTCGGTTTGAATCGTAATTCTGTGAAATTATATTTGAAAATGGAAACCTTCATCTATCTATTGCTTATTCACTTCTTGTATTAGCTCGAAAGGAGATCAGTTGTGAAACGAAAAATAAAAAAATATTTTAGAGCAACGTCTTTTCTGGCAAAGTGTAACCCCTTTTGGAAAGAAGCGTCTAGCCGGAACACTCCTATTCCTTGTAGCCATGAGCCATCAATCGAGTGGCTATAAAGGGAATTTTATGAACTTTTTTGATAGAAAAAGACTGCGGTATCAAAATCGACTATTTTTTGGACCTATTTTCGAGGGGCAGTAATTCCAAGAAATTTGGATTTTTACTTTCCACAATAGTAAAAATACGAATTTCCAGTCAAATGTCCAATAGGAGCTCTAACTTAACCTCAGTGCCAGAAAATAAACTTTTACGAGTACTGAGAAAGTTTTACAGCACAATTAGCTTGCTTACCCGGCTCAGGGACCCGGTCAAAACACTGTAATAAATGTCCCATTCCTATCTCCGTACAGCTTTTCCCGTGCCCACTTCTACACTTCATTTCCCGTTCCCTGGGTTGTTTTCGAAATCAGCATGCCCACTTACCACCCTGTGCCAACTCCCAGCCCTTTAGCTCAAGTTTTGAAAAATCGATAAAATTGATAAAAGTAATCGATAATTCTGAAAACTAATATTGTATTCGAAATCGCCACGCTCACTTACCCCCTTGTGCCAACTCCCAGCCCTGAAACTCAAACATTGCAAAAATCGTTAAAATCGATAAAATCGATATTGATCGATGACGAAAAGTCAGGATAACATAAATGTCAAAAAGCTAATATTCACAGTTAAATTCAGATTTCCACTTATCTTAAGTATATTAAGCTCTTTTCGGAATCTTTGTTTTCGAAACACTAAGTTGATATGAGGAGCCGCCGTCGCTGCTTCACCTTCTGAAGCGACTTTATTGTTTCGAAATTATTTGCGGCGGTACTTGGGTGATTATTCAGTCAGGAGCCCCGCTTTCATACAGCTCAAAACCCATTATCCTTAATTTGGGCAAACTGTGCATTCAAAGGCAATGCGCGAGCGAAATCTATAAGTTTCCTTACTAACTGATCCCAAAGCACTCTGGAGAGTGCGAAAGCTTCAAAAAATTTTCCTCGAAGGAATAAAAGAAGACTAACTCCGCCTCCATGAGCTGCTAGTACTTTCGTATGTACATACCACTTCAGACCGTGAGACAGGCATTAATTTCAAGTCACATTTTTGCCTATTATGTTTGTATACTTCTAGAACAATCTCTGCTTTTTTGAACACTGAAGGCGGCACAATTTACATAGGTATCGATGACGATGCTTTTATCCATGGAATGCAGCTGACGGATCCCATGGTAAGATCATTTGCTGTTGAGAAGCTTCAGTGAAATCTTAGTTCAGATTTGTGCTATCTGATCGAGCCTAACTTGATACGCTGCAGGCTGAAAAATCATAAGAGAAGTGGGTAACAGGAACAAAAACCAAATCGGAAGAAGAGCGTAGCCAAGCGCTCTGTGATTTTTCGGGGACGCTTTTACTTTTTGCAAGCTTTCCTTTGAATTTCTGGAAGAAAGCGGTCGCCATTTGAAAAAATGTTTCTAGTCTGACGAATTTGTAGAGTTTTCAGAAATTTTTCCAACCGTTTACAATTAGAGAAGGATACTTTTTTGTAGTCATCTACACCTCACTAGGAAAATTCGAATCAATTTTTAAATAGTGGAAGCGCCTCCATTCGCAGTTCAATCGAGAGGATTGATATATAATAGTTTTTTAACATGGAGAGGTGGAGAGGTGGCTGCCATTAGAGATTCCATAAAGGAAGACGGAATTATCAACCATGCTGATGTTTAATACAAGTCTGGGATTATATGAACTTTGGTGGTCAATTCTCACTAGATTCTTATTTTCTCTCAATCGCTTTAAATTCCAGAAGGACCATTTCATTCTGTCTTTGAACCATTGCATATCGCAGTTCACTCCACCAGCCCCACCGGAGCTTGTGCAAGGTTAGAAACGTGAATTTCCATTCGGGGATGACGTCTCACTATCTTAACCTATAGTGCAATTTCTGGAAATAGAGGAGTCTGATAGCGATGAACATGCAGAAGATGTCACACCGGTCCCACCTGCCATTGCTGACGGCGATGCTACGAACGGCGAAGACGATGACAGTGAAGCGGAGTTCCAGAGACTGGTGACTAAGATAAGTTTGTCAGTAACCTGATAAGATGAGAGAATCAATTGTTGGAAGCTGTACAGATGATTAAAATGGCACATTGTTACTCAACATGCGTTTGAAGGCAACCACTCAAACTGGCAATAGTGAGGTTACGATGATATAATCAGAAGCTAAAGGAGCAGGATACTTGGTCGAAGTCAAGTCTCTATATGAAATTTACACTGTCTCAAATGGCATGGAATGCTGAAACCAAATCTGCTGTTGGTGCAAAGCGCCTCCGTGAGAGGAGTTATGGAAATTTTTTGTAAAAATTCAGGTTTTGGCTCTGATAGGAACAGGTGTTGAAACCTTTCAGGCGCTTGAAAGCAGTAATGACTAGCATAAGTTCATTAGACAGAGGGTATTCACTGCATGAAGCGTCCTGGCAGTAATCATGGCCCCATTTCAGCTCACAGACTGCAGTTTTGTACGATTTTATTGCAGCCACACGTTCAAATTTGAAGTTCCCAAATATCGCCTCTCGGAAACGCTCTGCAGATATCGAAAGCAGATTTGGGATAAGCGTTCCATGTTGTATAAGACGGTGTACATATCATGTGGAAACCCTAATTCGACCGTGAATTGCTGTCTTTCGCTGAAAAAGGCAATTTTCGGTGAAAACTCGTCCAAAAGGTAGATGCGGGACAATTCTGCGAACTTGCAGTCCAATTATGGACCAGTTTCAAACCACCCATGTCGTTGGGCGAAGTCACCTCTATCGCATCTACTTTCTGGGACAATTTCTCGCTTTCAAATTCAACTTTTGCTGCGAAAATTGGTTTACTGATTGAGAGTTCCGCCATCGCAGTATAGTCTGCCCCAGGTCAAAATTGGCATGGCGGGAGTTCGTGCCGCTAGGGTTCCGCGGTCACGCCCACAGCCTGCTTCTCTGCTCTCTCTTCAGTCCCTTTGCTCTCTCCGACTGCACGCGTATGCAGCGCAGACCGCTAGCGCTGCGATTGCGCAAATTAAAGCCGACGTTTCGGCCTGATCCCGATTGGGGCAGACTGTATAGTTGATTCGTTGGCCACGGACTGGACATCACTGCGGAGCACGCGCTGCGAGGTAAAACGCTTGCCCCAGTACAAACTCGCCATTGTAGAAGTCGTGCTAACGCGACAATCCAGCCGCGTCGCGCGTGGTCCGCAGCGTTTGAGCAGTCCGTGCGGTCAACGAATCGACGATACAAGACCTTACAACTCAAGTGAACCTTCTAGCGCAACCATATCATTATGATTACTGTTAGACAAACTTTCTGCTTGAAGATCTATGCTCGAGTCATTTGTAACTTAAAGGCAGTGTCCGGGCAAAAACTCGATTTTGAGATTTTGTGCTTACTTAGGCCTATTCGCTACGCTGAATTTAAAAATGCATATTGTAGAGCGCGAAAATGGCGAAAAACGGCTCTAATACTGGAGGGAAATCAGCAAGTGGGCGGGGTCTTCCCCACGGTGAATTCACGCTCCCAGCTTCGGGGGCGATCTTTTTGATTCCTGTTTCAAGTCATTCGTTTGCACTTGATTGGTAATGATGTCAGGGCGGCTAACGGATTCGAGAAAATTGCTCTGGAAGCTGGAAGCGTGAATTCACAGTGGGGAAGACCCCGCCCACTTGCTAATTTCCCTCCAGTGTTAGAGCCCTTTTTCGTCGTTTTCGCGGTCTCCAATGTGGATTTTCGGATTCAGCATAGCGAATAGGCCCGGGTAAGCACAAAATCTCAAAATCGAGTTTTTGCCCGGACACTGCCTTTAATATGCGTATTGCACACCATACGCGCTATTTGACGAACTTAGAAGATTGGAAACTGCTCATTTCAGCGACTTCGCCTTGTTTCTTTGCCCCTTTTGCTTTGAAAGGATATTGATTAGTCAGTAGTATACACTCTTACACTTGTTACGCTAGAAAAGATTTGATTGAGAAGTTAATATTAAGGGTGCCGTCCGTTGAAACGCTTTGTGTGCAGGCTCACATATTAAGTTACGAATGACTCGACGATACATACAATGCAGTAGTGAAACATCTGGAATAACCAGAACTTATTGTTTATGATACAATACAATGCAGATCTTTGTAGGTCAAGATATCTTATCTAATCTTGTTCAGGAAGGACCTCGTAATCATCTAATCGGACAAAACCCATGTCCTTGTGAAAGCCTCGATCTTGTGCCTAAGTTGTACCTAGTAGTCATTAAGGTAGGTAGATCCAATCTAAGTTGAAAATCATCGAGATTTATGTTATGTGATTAAAACAGTCTGCCACCTGAGATACTATCCATGTGGCAGTGCTAACACTATGGCCGTGGGAAAATTTGAAGTCTACTCTGACTTCAATACACTGGAAGCAGGTTTTTGAAGTACTCGACACTTTGCAAATAGCCGGTATAGCAGAGGCTTCCAAAAATCATAAGATATGCATGAAGGGAAAATTCAACTTGTGATAGTAGCGAGCAAAATACTTGGAGATCATTCCAACTATCCATTTCGTCATCATTTTCCTCACATATCAGGTAAAACCGTAAATTTAGGTAGGTGATACACCATCTGTTTAGCTGACAAGCCCGCTTTGCTTGCCAGATTCAAAATTTGTCAGTTAAATTAGAACAGCTTTTATAGATCCGCGTACTTATGATCATTCTTCACTTTGACATTTTTATCCTCAAGGATGAGGATTTGTTATATTAGTAGCTCGGAGGTGTGAGAAGCTGCTAGTCAACACTGTCAGGTTCATAAATCTCCTGATGGAACTATCTATCAAAACGAAGAGCGGTTAGCTTATCGTCGACGCAATGGCTGGAATCAGATGATGACCGTGAATTATGTCAACACCTTTATGCATGCCCATCGCATCAACGAGTACGAGTAAGCCTGCCTGTTGTTTCGTGGCTCTTCATGAAATTCATGCTGCTAACAACAAAACATTTCAGGGAAGAAGACGAGCCGTTGGGAAGACTCTTTGCTGTTCTTTTAGCCTGTTACATAGTTTATCTGAGTTCAGCAGTGAATTAGGTTGGTTCGGCTACGTGGGCGTTTCAAAATCAATAACAAGTTCATTTTTGTCCTATTTTTGAACTCTCGCCCCTAGCAAAACAAGCAACTCTTTGCAAGCGATCTGGTTCGAATGTCGAGGATGATCCGATAAGAGGTTTTGTATTTCAGTACGCTGACTTCAGCTCGAAATCAAAGAAGACTTCTGCTAACTCAGTAGTAATAAACGATTAGCCGAGCAATCGAAAAGTCTCATACTCAGGACTTCTGCTCTATCCATGTTGTTCATTGCATTTGATGATGTAATGAAGATTCAAATTTGCATTGCGAAATACGTAATTCTCTGTATCTACTTAAAGGCAGTGAACGGAACGGCTAGCGGAATCGAGAAAATCGCTCCGGGAGCTGGGAGCGTGAAATCGCACTGGGGAAAGCCCCGCCCACCTGCTGATTTCCCTCCTATATTGGAGCCCTTTTTCGCCGTTTTCGCGCTTTCCAATGTGGGTTTTCGGATTCAGCACGGCGAATAGGCCCATATAAGCACGAAATATCAAAATCGAGTTTTTGCCCGGACCAGGGCTCGGCACGAGGTGGCTAGCTGAAAATGCAAAAAACGAAGTCCCCCTCGACTTTTCGATTTTTTAGGAGTCCCCTTTGACCCTAGACCAGGGCTCGGCACGAGGTGGCGTCCCGAATTTGCGAAAAATGAAGTCCCCTTTGACTTCAATAAAATTACGATATCCGCCACGAGGAATTCGAAGAGAAAATACATGAAAAGGAACGGAACAAAGCAACAGTAGGAAAAAAAACGAAAAAGAATCATCGAACACACGCGATGATATTCATATTCTTCGGATTGGAGGCATGATGTATCCATCGTGCAGCAATACGCGCCTAGAGCAGCCTTTCCGCCGCCATTCAAAATTTTCAAGGGGCTATAACTAAGCGGGGAGAAGGGGGTTTGAGGCGGTTTAGGAACCAGTTTGTAGGGTTTGGGATGTAGATGAAAAGTGTGTAAAGAAAGTACAAAAATTATGTGAGCGAGGAAAAATTGATGACTTTTTCTTTCCTAAGCCACCTCAGGTGGCTATCCAGGTGGCTTGAAAGCCACCTAACTCCGAAAAAAGTTGAGCACGCCTTTAGTTCACATAATTTTTTCATAATTTTTCATACTTAGTCCTAACTCCCCATTGCCCATCTACACACCTATTATGTGGTCATTTCATCTTCACTTCGCTGTAAACAAACCCTTTGTTTATTTGCTGGCGGCATGCCGGCAGCGTGCCGGCCGCAGGTCGAAAGACAACGTTATGCTCTTCCGCAATAACGATATCCTCTTTGCTTTTTTCCCCAAAAACGATTTCCAGCTTGCTTGCTAAGCCACCTGTGCCGTGCCCTGGCCCGGACACTGCCTTCAACCACTGATATATACTCAGACTGTGCTGTCCGAGTGTAAATTCAATCTAGTGAAAACGCGCTAAACTAAACAACTGACGTTAGCTTTTTTATATGTACGGTTACGGCAAGGCTTCGATGGTGATAAAAAAAATGCTCAAAGGGCATTCCGTCGCTTGCACCCCGCTTTTTGGATCGAAAAAAATGGAGCGCGATGCGGGGTTCAAATCGCGACAGCCAATTTAGAAGTCTTTGCATTCTTCAGAGAAAGCATCTTTGAATAAAACGTCAGAGAAGTCTTCAAGCTTACAAAAATTCAAATCAACACAGGAGACATATTTCGAAATTTGTTTATGCATCATTCAGGGAAAATTATCCTTGCTCGTTTCGAACAAATAGAAAAGAGGGATATTTATAAAAACTGATACTCTATTTCGGAATTGAGAGCGGAATTCTTAATGCAGGAGGAAGAATGCGACAACAGTGATACAAATCAAGGAGAGCTTCAGTTCAAAATTTTCATTTCTTTCTTTGATTTTTTCCCTGTGTTTAATTGCATTTTTCCTCTCCTATAATTTTTTTTGCGAAACGTATCCTCGCATTGTTTTTAAAGTAGCACTTTGGTGCCGCTAGCATGTCAAAAACGAGGGATGAAATTCAGAAAAATTGAAGATTTGTTGAAAAGTTTTCTTTTTGTGTGCACCTTGTTATGGAGAGGTTGGATATAATCTTTATAAATTCTTAAAGTTGTTATTCATGTAAATGGAGTGTGCGCTGACATGGCGCACCATGCAACTCTCGTGAACGTGTGCGGACATGATCGTAACATCCCCCCATATTCGCCAAGACTGTGGACCTGTCCGAATATGATATCGCCGGACTCTCCCTGATTACGTGGAAGAATGCCACCCCTTTGACCAAAATGCCTATAAAACGTACTCCCACCGATAAAGTGCGTGTATTGCGCACAGACCAAGGATATGACAATGTTACATTGGATGAACCGGTGTGAATACCCTTGCACCCCGTCAACACTCCTTGCATAGTAATTTCCGGAAGTTTTTCAGAAGAAATACAATAGAAGTCCAACCCCGCTACAAGCCGGTGAATGCAAGCGCCGCAAGGCGCCCATACTCTATTTACTGTTTGCTTTTGCAGTTGAGGAGCGATAAGCGGGTGTATGCCAAGATGAACGATAGCTGGAAATAAGGATACTGTACTCGTGCGGTTGTCAATATGCCGCGCCTAAAGTCTTATTTTTTGAAGCGATATGTTCTTCGCTGGGTTGAAAATGGTGTCCAACAGTAAGAATAAAGCGGTGCCGAGCTCCCAGCATTTTTTACAAAATTTTGAATATCATCAGAGCGTAAATACAGAATCTAGAGAATATTTGACCTACACAACGCATATGGCTGGCACAATCTATCGTTCATGTTGGCTGCCCCCCGCGATAAACTCTTCCACTCTACACAATCACAAATGAGCATCTTTGAGGAAAAAAATGCAGCCTGTGTCAATCACATACTCAGTGTTCGGCGCTGTGCCAATGCGCCCGCGCCGCGTGCGTATGGCTTGAGCACTCAATCGGGCTTAATTGATGGTCCGCACGTAAGTCCCTCGCGTAGCGTATGCTAGTTTCTAACCAAAGGAGAACATATATTGACACATTTGCTTAATTTGAGAGCTTCAAATAGATCTATGCAACCTGCGCAAATGAACAGCCAAGACTACTCGAATCTTCTATAAAAGTTTTCGACGGGAGAAGGACACATGGCTGCAAAGCAAATATATGCGTCGCAACACAGGTAGTAGAAGGCAATAAGCTTTAAACTAGAAGTTACGTTCTGCTTAGACAGATGCGATCTATCAGTTATCTAATAGTCTCTGCCGTGTTGTGTGCTCGTTTCTTTTATATCAGCATGCGCTTATCACCTTCGGAATTGGGTGCACCATCGCTTTAGTCTCTCAATCTCGCAAAAGCTTCCACTGTCTGCTGCACAATGTTGCATTCCATTATGCACAAGAACTAAAATATTACTTTCATTAGGCTCCTCCATGTCTTTCGCATTTAAAGCATTCGTACAATTTCGCTCCGGTTTCCTGTCGTTGTATATGTAACACATAACGGTTTCATATTAGACCAGTACGTCACCTCTGCTTCGCAGAGGCTCGCACTGGCCCTATGCTCTGTATGCCTTACTCATTCCCGCATAATAATAACATTGAAACTCACCGCGCTATGTAGGCTATCACGAATAATTCGTAAACAACTACTCATTCGTAGAGGTCTTCCATGTGAGATCGGTATTTTCGCCAGAGGTGCGATAGGGGGAGCCAAGTCTCCCCCTACCTTCACTTTTGAGCTGGTACGGGGTGACCACCTTCACTTTTGGAATAAAAAATTTTTCGCTGGACGACAAAGAAGGAAAATAAGCAAAACAAACGCAAAAAAGATTATTGAAAGCATATATTTATGTATACGGCGGCATATATATTTAAAATAAAGGTTTTTAGTAAATGGTGTATTTGGAAGCAAAGCTTAGCAAAACTGTACGGATTTTATTAAGCAAATTATGTTATAACGTATAGCGAAGGAAGTAGGTCGATCCAGGCAGTAACGGCGGAGAACCAGAATTTTGAATATTTAAATAGTGAAAAATCATGCGAAATTTCCACTGTTATAAATCTGTTGTTTGAAGATGTCAGCAGTTGCGACTTCATAGGTTTTAAAGAGTAAATGTTGCTCTATCAGCTAGTGAAGGAATCGGGTCGATTTAAGAGATAGTCGTTGAAAACCAGAGTTCTAAAACTTTACGCCATTTTTGCGTGTTTTTTGACTGTTGAGAGTTAAACTCTTATAAATCTTGAATGTGGAAGTGTATGATGTTGCGACTTCATAGGTTTTATAGAGTAAGGTTTGCCTTATCAGAATATGTCTTGTCCGTTCCGATCCATTGAAACACCTCCGAGATCCAGAGTCATGAAAAAGCAGGTAAAAAAGAGCTTTTTGAACTTCAACAGCTTATAACTTCTTCAGGATTGCACGAATCATGTTGCGACTTCATAGGTTAGATTCCTCTCATCAAGGACTTTCAGATGATATATAATATGTGGGGGTTTAGAGCCTCCTGCGAATTATGACCGGGGGGGAGACTTTTTAGGCCAAAGTCTCCCCCTCGCCCATTTTAATGTATTGGCTGGAGGCTGCCGGGGGAGACTTTGGCCTAAAAAGTCTCCCCCCCGGGCATATGCCGTAAGAGGCGCGAAACCCCCACATATTATATATCATCTGAAAGCTCTTGACGAGAAGAATCTAACCTATGAAGTCGCAACATGATTCGTGCAATCCTGAAGAAGTTATGAGCTGTTGAAGTTCAAAAAGCTCTTTTTTACCTGCTTTTTCATGACTCTGGATCTCGGAGGTGTTTCAATGGATCGGAACGGACAAGACATATTCTGATAAGGCAAACCTTACTCTATAAAACCTATGAAGTCGCAACATCATACACTTCCACATTCAAGATTTATAAGAGTTTAACTCTCAACAGTCAAAAAACACGCAAAAATGGAGTAAAGTTTTAGAACTCTGGTTTTCAACGACTATCTCTTAAATCGACCCGATTCCTTCACTAGCTGATAGAGCAACATTTACTCTTTAAAACCTATGAAGTCGCAACTGCTGACATCTTCAAACAACAGATTTATAACAGTGGAAATTTTGCATGATTTTTCACTATTTATTTATTCGAAATTCTGATTCTCGGCCGTTACTGCCTGGATCGATCTACTTTCTTCGCTGTACGTTATAACAAAATTTGTTTAATAAAATCCGTACAGTCCAACAAACTTCTACTTCCAAATACACCATTTATTAAACACGTCTATTTTAAATTTTTATAAATAAAATTTATAGATATTTTTAATATTCATCGTATCTGTGGCCCTAAAGAGGGCCGTTGGGTCAACGTTAGACCTAGAAAGATAGCTCCGTTCGTCCGTTCTATCCTCCCCCCGCACCTCCCCCCCCCCCCCCCCCCCCGTCGACGTTTTTGGGATGTGAGTGTCCGACACTACCACCTTCACTTTTGGCCGGTCAGTGGTAGCTGAAACCACCTTCACTTTTGGGGGACCCGGCTCCCCCTATCGCACCTCTGATTTTCGCGTGTATAAAATCTTTCCCAGAAGAACAGATGCAAATTCGAATGGGGTTTCGGAATTTTTATGGCTTGGTAGTCGCCGTAAGGACAATAGACATAGTGGGCTACACCTCTGTGCAAAATTCTTCTCAAATAGTCAGGTAAAATCTTGAAAATTTGACCGTTTACACAGCGAATGCTTTTTGGCGCTGTTTTCGTAAAGTAGTAGACTTTTCATCACTTTTTTAGGCTAACGTCCATGGCTTGCACATTAGCTTGTCAAATATATCCTTAACTCTGCAAAAAGTAGTACTACGGACCCAAATTTGCTGGCTAGAAGCCAAGTGGATCCGTTTGACGCGCAATTTTCAATGGATCCACTCAACGGATCCGCTCATGCTTTTGTATAGTGAGGTTTCATGCTGGTAGCGTGCGCTGTGCAAAATTTGGGCTCAGGACGTTGGCTGGAACACGCTCTATGAATTTCGTGACAGACAGAGATTCACACACACAGACAGACAAACGTAAACAACCCTTAGCCCGTTATTATAAGTTATGATTATAACACAAGTCTAATGAAGGTTTGAAAGAAAAAATCTTCACAACTTTTTTTCACATCAAAAAATTTCCTCACCATTACGTGGAGGTTTGTAGCTTTTCGGTACACACATATCGCAAAATAATTATGAATTTAAATCTCTAGAAGTTTTTTGGAAGATTCCCAACTTGTGCTATCATGGAGCAGTCTATGCTTCCAAAATGCTTTAACATTGTACTAATGTTTTCTGAAATCCATAAAGAATCTAAGAGCATGAAAAGTACGATTGAGACAGTTTTCAAAAGTATAAATGGAGGTTGAAGTGCTGCAGAATTGCCTTCATACATACTGTAACCGATATCTATAAAATTGACCATAAGTACCAAATAATATTTTGCTACAGTTTGTGACGCTTTTTGAAGGAATATGAGAAGAGCATAACTAAACTTATGTTACAATCTAACTCATTAGCCTGCAGTATTCCGCTGGTGTGCAAGTATGGTTGAGCTTGCAAGATAGGAAAAACTCGTTCCAAATATAGTCGAAAATTTTTTTAAAAGTGTGACATGACTGTTTTGAATAACCTATAATGAACTTTATCTTTTACTAGATGGCAAACCCGGCTCCGCCCGGGACCAAACTTTGCACACATACACTTCGAAGCAGGGAGCGTGTCATAGTCCACTTTTCGTTATCGATCGATGTCGATTTTACCGATTTTTTGCAAAATTTGAGCTAGGGGGCTAGGATTTTGCACAGGGGGGTAATCGAGCATCGATCGATAACGAAAAGTAGCCTATGACACGCTCCCTGCCCCGTAGTATATGTGTGCCAAGTTTGGTCCCGATCGGTTCAGAAATAAAAATTTCTATTCCGCACATACGTACAGACAGACATACATACATACAGACAGACATTCAGCTTTATATATAAGATTATACACAGTGAAGATTTGATTCAAATCAAAATGTATGTATGCATGGAAAAGTTCAATAACCAAAACTATGTTTTTGTAGAGTGAAAGAGCAGATCGTACTCTCAAAACAGTGAAAATCAAATCTCGGCAGAAGTGGCAGCAATTTTAGCGACAAAAATCGAACTGCCAAATTTTAGCGTTTCTCTTGATCAACGTGTGTAGTCGAAGTGCCAAAACCTCAAAATTTTCTCTGTCGCTTAAATCAAACCATTTTATCGGGAGAGTTAATCAATTTTTCTAAAATTCAATGCAAGGCACCTTTTGTCAATATGATGTAAAAAGAAGCCTTCTAATTGTATAAAGTGAACCAACTCTTTCAAATTCTTTTCTCCAAACACTCAAAGCATCAGTGGAAAATAATGGACGTCGTGACTTTGCCTGTGCTAGTTATTCGAGTGGATTTGATATCATTTGTCGTTGCCTTTGAAAGTGAAACTTGCCTGTACATATATATATGTGGAATCATGGAATGATCTCCCTAAACTGTTCAGGCTTCTTAAAGGCATTAAGTTTGGGGAACAATCGTTTCTTGAACATCTCTTTGCAACCAAATTAGCCCGAGGCAGTTGAGTGCTGCTCTTCTGTAACACTTTATTCAGAGACGATTTTTTTTTGTAAATTTGAAGTTCAAATGCAATAGAGGCACTGTCCTTAACCCTTTCGGACTTGAGTTTTTCCGAAAAAGCAGAGAAGAGTCACTCCCACTATTTAATACTTACTACCACATAAATAACCTCACGACGGAGTTTGAATTCATTTCAAACACATAAACTATTTCTTTTTGATTTTTTGATTTTTTGGTTCTGCGTTTATTTTAGATTTTTTTCAAATCTCCCTCGATACATGTGGACCCTCGAACAATCAGCAGTTACACTATCTCAACATTGTACTAGGACATTCGATAATATTACGATCATTTTTTGGCTAGAACAAGATCGTGAAACGGTGCTGAGCTGGCGCAAAGTATTGATTGGTTGCAATCCACTTGGGTAAATGTATATATTGCAAACATAAAAACGAATGAACACGCGGTTTCAAAGCTACATTTGGAAGACAAAGGCTATCTGAAGCGTTCTATAGCTATGAGTAGTAAAATGGTCTTCTTGCGGCAATACTGCTTGTCTCTGAATTGATGGTGACAATTGCCACCATCAGCTCCGAAAGGGTTAAACGGGTGGAATTAATCGGTGTAAAGAAAGTTCTGCCAATTCTTCTCATAATCATCAAAATTGAATGCGAATGCAAGGGACTGTTGTGGGATTGTTCCTAGTGTGCGATCGTCCAAGCTACCAAATACGTTACTCAGCTTGCAAAAATAACGATAAGCTAGAAAAAAATTACCAAAAAGGAGGAAAATCTCTTGCGCTCAGGTCTGCGAAAAGGCGCATTTTCCAGATCATAAACGCGAACCTTGCAGAAGTTTAGCTTGGAAATTCATTTTATATATAGCCTTTTATGGGTAAGTGAAGGGATATCCAACTAGTACCTGCTCCGGTACGTGGACCTTTTTTCAAAAGAAATAGCATAGTTATTTCAGGGCCAAAAAGAGCAGCCAGCGCGCATCTTGGAAAAATAGCATCCGTGATAGACCTACTCAGTAGTATTAGGTTGTCCGTAAATTAATGCCCGTTTTGAATTTCAACCGCAATAAGTCATACACTTCTCATTAAAGGTTGCAAAGTACCATTCGATAGAGCAAAGCAAGCTGTACAAGATGGCTTCTTTGCTTTTGCAATAGCTCTTATCCACGAGTTTCGAGCCAGAAACTCAAAAGATTCAGCTGCCCGAAAAATCGAGAAAAAGCGTAACTCAGTTCAGAAAAACCCCGCAAAAATTTTACTTGCCTACGTAAACACTGTATAAAACATCTATACACGCCTTTGTTGTTTTTCTTCCTCTGTTAGAAATCAAAGAAAAGAAATTTTCATGAACTTGCCAAAGTGAAGCTGTGCCATCCCCACATAGGTATAAATACTACAAACCTGTAGAACTACAAACGTAAATTTTCAGTTCTCTACAAGCTTTAGTTCTCGAGAAATGCCGAATTTAGCTTTCCCTAGTTGGTAAACAAGCTAAAGTTCAAATTTATCGAGAACTAAAGCTTGTAGAGAGCTGAAAATTTAAGTCTGTACTTCTACGGGCTTGTGGTATACAACTACCTATGTGGGGACGGCACAGCATCACTTTGGCAGATGCACGAAAATTTCCGTTTTTTGGTTTCTAATGGAGGGAAAAATACGGCAAAGGCGTATATAGATGTCTTATGTGGATAGTATTAACGTGAGCGGGTATGAATTTTTGTAAGATTTTTATGGACTGAGTTACGATCTTCTCGATTTTTCGGGCAGCTGAGTCTTTTTACTTTTTAACTTAAAACTCGAGGTGAATAAGAGCTGTTGCAAAAGCAAGACAGCCGTCTTTTAGAGCTTGCGTTGCTCTATCGAATGGTACTTTGCAACCTATTTAGAAGTGAGAAGTGTATGACTTATTCCGGTTGAAATTCAAAACGGGTATTAATTTCCGGACAACCTGATATTAAGTAGTCAGTACCCATGACCGGAATATCATTAATTGGCCACTCATGATGAAAATACAAATGAAACAATCACTCAAATATTTTGGCAGAACTTCCTTTACAACCTGATACTTCGTTCTTAGAAAGTTTCGAAAGTTTAGAGGTAAATCAAGTTATTAGGTTTTTTCGATTTTTCCGTTTCTATCCGCAATTTATCGTCTCCGCCACATCAATCCCTTAACGTTCCGTGTATTACGTCTACAGGTAATCTGGGAATTTTACCCGAACAGCGATGGCTACGGCGCTGAACCGATTTGGTTGGGGTGCACTATTTTCACTATTAGATGTAGCGGCATGCGTACTATGTGCGTACTTTCACGGACCAACTCCAGGAATATCAAATATCACCTCGCAGTTCAAGTCATTTTCGTTCTTCACGAGGTATATCTACACTTGGAAATGGATTATTAGATCTACAATTTGTGGAATTTCTCATGGATAAGCTGCAAAATCGCACATTCTAGTACTGTGGACTTATTTGCATTATGTGGCGTTAGAGTGCTTTTGTGGTTTTTGCCAGCTATTTTCCACAAAACTGGCCGAGCTGACAGTTTGCCAGTATTCACACAGGTCAGAACTATTTTGGTAGCTAAGACCTTTTTATAAACAATTAAGTTTTCATCTAAAGGTTGTTTTCTGCACCTCACTTCTGATGTATGCGGCAAGTCCAACGAAGTTACTACTGCTCACGGAACGTCTCAATCCAGGTAGGGTTATTCTATTGTTACTGAAATGAGAATTGTTGTTGACAGAAGTCAAACTCAATAGTTTCCGACACTTGAGAAAACTGGTGGGAGACGGGGAGGGAGGCAAATAATGCAATTTTTTATCTACATGCGCTTTCTTACACACTTTACTCTTGCCCGCCCCCCTCACTCCCTAAGAATGGGTCACGAAATTTCGTGAAGTTTACTTACATGGGCTGTAAAAAGTGCAGGTGAGTGTTTATTCTTGTAAATAACCAAAACAATTTTTGAAATTTTCTGAAAATTCATATTAGCCTTGTAAAAATTTTTCGGGCGTGGCTAGCGCCACGTCCCTTTTAGATTTTAGGGGTTATAGGCCCGCAAAAATTCAAAGAAGCACCCAAAAAATTTTTTCGGAGCGCCTCGCTAAAGCCAAGCACCTTCATATGAAAATTTTTTACCCCCCCCCCCCTCCCGGACGGAAATCCTGGGACCGCCAGCGATCCGCAGCGCTGGCTGGCTTGGTGATATTTGTTGCCCAGTAGATAAATTGTGCACAAACTTTATTTCCAATGAGCAAAATTCATTTCTTCACATTCCTGTTCAAGTCAACGGTTTCTATGGCAGCTGCTTCCAGAATGATATAAGGAGCTGAATTATTAGAACCTGCAAAGAATTATGACTCTGACTTTCGTAAAAAATGCTCTTCATAAAAAAATATGACAAATTTATAAAAGAAGTGATGAAAAAAACAGAGCAATGGATAACGTCTTTCTAATCTATTTGGTTATTCTGAGACAGTATTATTGATGTCTAACACGCCTTACAATCATTATTGACACTGTCAGGCACATATCTCCCAACTGGTGACTACGCTTTCCTTGTGTGGAATTTTATTGCTGCTCTCCTGCTGGATGTATCATGGAAGTACTATTTTCACTACCCACCATCTAGCTACGTTATTCTTGAGACGGACGAGGTAAGATGACATCGTGCGAGTGAATTGCAGGAATGCTCATTCCAGGATGAAGAACTACCGCCAAAAGAAACATTTGAGCTGATCTTTCGTCTACTGCAGTACTGTAAAAGAGAATGGCTCTGGCATATTTCAGGGTTCTCGTGGCTGCTGATATATTCCATAAGTTAGTAAGGCCCCGGACAGACTCCACGCGACTTAATCGTCGCGATCTAATCGCCAAAGTTTCCATTCATTTTCATTTCACATTCAAAAATTTCGGGCTGGAAAAGTACCACAACCAAAATGCAAGCTGGCCGGCATGCAATGAACTCTTGTCAGTTGTCTCGTCGCGATCCAGTCGCGACGATCAAATCGCGTGAAGTCTACCCGGGGCCTAAGAGTGCATTTTCTCTATCGATTCCTCGGAAACGCTTATCAGACAATACGCGCCTTACGACGACTTATCGTTACAACAGGGGCAATGAGAATGAATGAGCAAGCATTGAAACCACACTTTGGGCAGCTAGTAAAATCCTAGATTACAAGAAGAACAAATGCACAGGAGTTATTCCCTAATGTCATGGGAATGTCTCGAGTTGGTGAACGGTACTGATGCGACGTTGGGTAGATCTATATGCGTATTCTGTCTAAGCTGATTTTAATTTAACATAGTAGCAGACAACTCCCAGTAGGTCATTCAACACATTGACGACCATGCAGATTTTTAGTTGTCTGCTTTCTGGGACCAAGGCCTTTTCCAGACCAGCCCAAATTTTTCAACTGTAAGTACGCACACTGCCGCTACATATACCTACAATATATGTGAAAAGCTGACAAAAATGGTAGAGGTCATCCCTAGATTCAGCGCAAAAAAAAGTTCATGGAGTGAGTTTATTTCAGGATAGTGGTCATTTTACCAAAATTCAAGCCTTGACACACATGGTCTGTCAAGCGGTCGTCAATGTGTTAATCAATGAAAGTCTCCATTACGAAGTATACTAAATAAAGGTGATCGTTTTAAACTGAATGAGACCCTGCCCACAATGTTGCTCTTGATTTTGGGTTTGATAAACCCAACGGAACGTAATGGCCATTGCCATCAGAATGAGATACTTTAAGAACGCATTAAAATGCGTTTCTGTATCTCCTCCATCCTCCCTTATCCCAGTGCAACTGCTATGTCTTCTGGTAAAGTTACTAACGTCATTTTTGAGCTACACTGATTAGGTATCCCGATGTGACGCTGACATGGCTGAGTAGTTAAAATTCTTGTTTTGATATTTCAAAATATTGATGAACAGATATCCAGCGTATGGCAAGAGAGATGGCTTGAACCAGTTTTGCGGAAAGTGATAATTTGTACAATAAGGTTTTCTCTTTTTTTATGATTCCTATACATTGTACATCAAGTTGGATGGCTATCTAACTGGCTTTGTACCATTATATGTGAAAAAAGATAGAAGTGAATGAGTCGAAATACACGCGAACAGGTTTTGGTTTGAGCATGTCCTTAATTTCCTCTACAGCACTGGCAGTGCCGCTTTTCAAAGCTGCGTTTTAAACGCAATAAAACGCCGGAAGTGCCGCATTGCTATATCTTTCTTCAGGTTACTCCTATAGAGCTCTGGTTAAAATATTTGAACCAGCGTTGTCTGATGCATCCGACAGTATGTTCGAAAATTGGAAAATTCACAATTTTTTTGTGCCCTTCGGTGCAATAAACGCGATATTGCGTCGTAAGTGCCGCATTCGAATAACTTTCCACAAAACTACTCTTTCTAATTTTCCTTGTTATATTCGGACTCAGCACTGATTGGTCTATCCGACAATATATTCAAAATCTGGAAAAGTCAATTTTTTCATGTGCCGCAGGGCGCAATAATCGCGTTTTTGTGTCGGAAGTGCCGCATTGTTATAAGTGCTTTCATATTCATCCCTCAAAAATCTTGTTTACACAGCTGTCATCAGTGTCCCTCGAGCTATCTGCCACTTTGTTTAGAAGTTTGAAAATCTTAATTTTTAGTGAATTACACGCTCTAATTCTTTTTGATCCCTTTTTGGGCACTGATAAGCTGACAACAATCTTCAAAGTAATCGTACACAATTCTGAATAACGTATTTGAAACCAGCTCTTTGCCAGCTATCCAATGATGTGTTTAAAAATCTAAAAATCTCAAATTTTTTATTTCCGATTTTATTGGTCCCTCACAGTGGCACTATTAGTTAGGCTGGCTCCGGCCCCTGGCTGCCGTGACCCATCATTATCGATTTTTGTAATCAGAATTGATTTGATATAGCAATATACAAAAATGTAATTACACGTTGACTTTCACATTCCACAAGTGCAGAACACAGTGGAACTTGAAATTTCAAATCATGAACTTCAATTTTCAAAATTCTCAAAATTTCGAAATCACGCCTAAGTGGTCCAGAAATTCCAAGAGACTTTGAGCAAGTTAAAGTCCGCTTATTTTCCTGTTTTTGTTTCGAAACAGGTACTGTCATTGTCGTTCTGAGCTTTCTTATTTGAGTTGGTAATTTTTCAAGGAAAAATTCAACATCAGATTCAGGATTCTAAGGTGCAGTTGTAAGCAGGCATTGAAATGAAAAAATATGGCCACTCCAGCCGTAACCTTGCAATTTCAAGATTTTTGGGAAAAAATCATCAAATTCCAAGTCTCCTAGACGGCACTATTTAGTCATACAGGTTTATAGCAAGCCTCGTGCACAGGAAATCATCATCGATCGAACTTGAAGAAATGGGGTTGTTAACAACAATTAGAAAATAATTTTCAATGGAAAATTGCAAAATTTGTTTGCTGATTTGCACTCATAAATGCTACGCTGAATCGACATTGAAAAAAGTAGAAGTGCTCTGTTAGTAAGTTTAATTCGATGATCTAGCTCCAATACGAATTCAGTTTTGATAGGCTAATTTTGATTTCAAAATATTTGGTAGAAATCATTCATTGTAAGTTTTTTTTAAGTGAATGGATCTATAGAGCAAATAGGATAATTTTTGACTCAAAAATCAATTCTAGAAACGTTTTCTCTAGTTTATCAAAATTAGAAACATAAAGACTTTTGAACATTATGTAGTGACAGTTATGATGATATTCCCAACCGTCTTTTCATAAAACTATTCACATGAATACTTGAGACATGGATCTGGAGGCATCATTAGTAGCTGTGGTTGATAGTTAATCTGAGGTCATTGAACGATCATGCATTTTTTTCGTTATGGGGCAAACGAAAACAAGAGGTTTTCCAAAAATCAAGCACATCTGACCTTGCATACAGGAACTTTCACATATTTACGTCCCACAAAGTCAATAGGCTATTTTTTCGAATGATTTGAACTTTCGAGATTTGTAAAACTTCACTCAGAAGATGTATTAAGGATTGAAAAAAGCATTTTTTGTTAGAACCTCTTTCGCAGTTATTGCTCAAGAACTCTGCCTTTCGAACGGATTGGTCATAAAACCGCATTCACAGGGCTGATGTTTCAGCAGAGGTCACTGCAAGGTGCGAATGTGCGGTCACAGATTTGGGCGTATGCGCACTTAGGCTCGACGTTCTTGAAGATCCTTTGATTTCAGAGTGGAGAATCTAATCGATGATAATGACTAAGTCTTGAAATACGCAACTACCCTACAGTTGCTAGTCAGGGAAAGCAATAGAATGTTAGTTCATCAAAGTTCAAGCTGATTACATCTGCTAGATTAATGGAAACAAAAACTTCGAGATTCATACACAAAATTCATCACTTTTCAATTTCAAAAAATTCGACACTAAAATTTTTAATGTTTGCCTCTGAAAAGTTTATTAACTAGCCATTCCAATCGATTTTCCGAAATTCGAAATGCTTAAAATAGAAATTAGAAAATCAAACAAATTTTGCAATTTTCCATTGAAAATTATTTTCTAATTGTTGCTAACAACCCCATTTCTTCAAGATCGATCGATGATGATTTCCTGTGCACGAGGCTTGCTATAAACCTGGATGACTAAATAGTGCCGTCTAGGAGACTTGGAATTTGATGATTTTTTCCCAAAAATCCTGAAATTGCAAGGTTACGGCTTGAGTGGCCATATTTTTTCATTTCAATGCCTGCTTACAACTGCACCTTAGAATCCTGAATCTGATGTTGAATTTTTCCTTGAAAAATTACCAACTCAAATAAGAAAGCTCAGAACGACAATGACAGTACCTGTTTCGAAACAAAAACAGGAAAATAAGCGGACTTCAACTTGCTCAAAGTCTCTTGGAATTTTCTGGACCACTTAGGCATGATTTCGAAATTTTGAGAATTTTGAAAATTGAAGTTCATGATTTGAAATTTCAAGTTCCACTGTGTTTTGCACTTGTGGAATGTGAAAGTCAACGTGTAATTACATTTTTGTATATTGCTATATCAAATCAATTCTGATTACAAAAATCGATAATGATGGGTCACGGCAGCCAGGGGCCGGAGCCAGCCTAACTAATAGTACCACTGTGAGGGACCAATAAAATCGGAAATAAAAAATTTGAGATTTTTAGGTTTTTAAACACATCATTGGATAGCTGGCAAAGAGCTGGTTTCAAATACGTTATTCAGAATTGTGTACGATTACTTTGAAGATTGTTATCAGCTTATCAGTGCCCAAAAAGGGATCAAAAAGAATTAGAGCGTGTAATTCACTAAAAATTAAGATTTTCAAACTTCTAAACAAAGTGGCAGATAGCTCGAGGGACACTGATGACAGCTGTGTAAACAAGATTTTTGAGGGATGAATATGAAAGCACTTATAACAATGCGGCACTTCCGACACAAAAACGCGATTATTGCGCCCTGCGGCACATGAAAAAATTGACTTTTCCAGATTTTGAATATATTGTCGGATAGACCAATCAGTGCTGAGTCCGAATATAACAAGGAGAATTAAAAAGAGTAGTTTTGTGGAAAGTTATTCGAATGCGGCACTTACGACGCAATATCGCGTTTATTGCACCGAAGGGCACAAAAAAATTGTGAATTTTCCAATTTTCGAACATACTGTCGGATGCATCAGACAACGCTGGTTCAAATATTTTAATCAGAGCTCTATAGGAGTAACCTGAAGAAAGATATAGCAATGCGGCACCTCCGGCGCTTTATTGCGTTTAAAACGCAGTTTTGAAAAGCGGCACTGCCAGTGCTGTACTTGCAATCAAATATTTCAGCTCGAATATTTGTTCCTTACTATACTGGAAAGGTGATAGCTACCGTGGTTGCGACGAAGTCTTATCCAAATTTGGCAACTGCAGTCTACGTGATGGCGTTTATCTCATTCGTCAGGTAAGTTGCTGCTAATTCACTGAAGCTGGAATTGTTGCAACTGACTCAAACATTGGTTACAATGTATATTTTACGTATTAGTATTACTACAACCGTCGTCTTTTTGTTTCTTTCCCTCACTTGATGTGGCTTGAGCATTCATCGGCATGGCAAAGCAAGCTCTACGAGATGGCTATCAAAAATCTGCCCAACGTAATCCACGTGAAGTTTTTTGAGCTGAAATCTATTAGCATTCAAAAACGAACTTTACCTCATCTCATTTTATCATAAAACTAGCTGCCTTACCCGGCTCCGCCCGGCCCTATCAATAATATGTTTGTAATCAGCATGCTCGATTACCCCCCTCTGCCAACTCCCAGCCTCGTAGCTCAAATTTTGCAAAAAAAAATCGATAAAATCAATATCGATCAATGACGAAAAGTAGCCTATGACACCCGCCTCCCCCCCCCCCCCCGAAGTGTATGTGTGCCAAGTTTGGTGCAGATCGGTTCAGAAATAAAAATTTCTATTCGGAACATACGTACACACATACAGACAGACATACAGACTAACAGACATTCAGCTTTATATATAAGATCAACATTGAGACAAGTTAAGTATTGATCTACGGAGCTAAATTGTAGATTTTATGCCTCACGTGATACCAATATTGAATTTTAAGATATGGATGTTACCCTACGATGAGCCTTGAGCATCGAGAAATCAAAATTTTCGAAAACCTCAAGTTGTCCGCAGAAACATTCTATTTCTGGCTTTTGACTATCCTAGAAATCACTATCCAAATCGTTTGTTTCAGTGCCATGGCAGCTGGCCTTCGTGGGGGTTCATTCGAGTATGCCTACGCAAGAATAAACCGAGCCATTAGACACGATCTTTTCACTGGTTTAGTCAGACAAGATGTTGCCTTCTTTGATGCTCACAAAACTGGTAAGGGTACATCTATGATTTCTGTTTCGGCCACTTTGATGGTATCTTTAGGCGAGATTGCCTCTCGGCTTACTGCTGACTGTCAAACCATGTCTGACACAGTAGCTTTAAATGTGAACGTCTTCCTCAGGTAACATTCAATACTTATTTTAATTTTGTAAAGAAATTCTATTTCAGGAACTGCGTGATGCTGCTGGGCTCAATGATCTTCATGATGACATTGTCTTGGCGTCTTTCACTTATTACTTTCATTTTGGTCCCAATTATCTTCGTCGCCTCCAAAATATTCGGAAGCTACTATGACGTAAGAGCGTGTCTCAATTATGTCTTTAAAGGCAGTGTACGGGCAAAAACTCGATTTTGAGATTTTGTGCTTACCTGGGCCTATTCGCTATGCTGAATCCGAAAATCTACGGAGAGCGCGAAAACGACGAAAAAGGGCACTAACACTGGAGGGTAATCAAAAAGTGGGCGGAGTCTTCCCCACTGTGAATTCACGCTTCCAGCTTCCAGAGCAATTTTCTTTAATCCGTTAGCCGCCGACATCACTACCGACCAAGTGCAAACGAATGACTTGAAACCGGAATCAAAAAGAGCGCCCCCCAAGCTGGGAGCGTGAATTCACCGTGGGGAAGACCCCGCCCACTTGCTGATTTCCCTCCAGTTTTAAAAACCTTTTTCGTCGTTTTCGCGCTTTCCAATGGGGATTTTCGGATTCAGCATAGCGAATAGGCCCAGGTAAGCAGAAAATCTCAAAATCGAGTTTCTGCCCGGACACTGCCTTTGAGTGTTTCAAAGGCACGTCCACCCGTCTCCATGTTTTGGTTGTCTCGGGGCCTTCTCATGTCCCTGATTCCGCAAACGAAGTCGAGAATCCGCGAAAACCTCTGCAATCCTCGCTTCGAAGAACCCGCAGGTCGATTCTCGATGGACGGGCATTACTGGAGAGGGACGTTCCCGATTTGGAATCCTCATGCCTCTTCGTTATTCCAAAGAGATTTTGTAGCTCCCGAAGCAACATTCTGCGCCGTGACTTGGGCATTGGCTTGATAGGGGGTCCTAATAGCGTAAGCTATCAAAGTCTAGGAACACCATCTTAGGGTGGATGGTGTTTTTGAAGGGCGAAGCTGACGTGAATAGAAGTAATGTCCAGGCCAATCTGTGCACCTGAGCTTCTTAGATAAAAACTGAATGGTGGCCCATACCGTGGTTCAAATGGGAAATTATGTGATTTCTTGGTGACCGAAAAAATCAATTCTAATCCAGCCGCCCATACTTTAAAATTCCCAAGCGATCAAATCAGTGTCCTGTAAGTACGGTAGCGTATTAGCGGGTAAAGGTTAGATGAAGTCCCTCGCTGTTATTCATAAGAGTTGTCGCTTGAGCATTTTCTGAAGATCTTGTCAGTTTCCAATGAGAAGTCGTACCTAGCTTTGGCTGGAAAATCTGTTTGATACCAGAAAACCAAAAACAACAATGTTTATGTAACTCTCCATTTTTCAGTACCTATCTGAGCGAACTCAAACCGCCATAGCTGATTCTAATGATGTTGCCGAAGAAGTTAGTCTAATCAGTTGGATTTGAATAAACAATTATGAAATCTCTCAGGTGCTCTCGACAATGCGCACAGTTCGATCTTTTGCTTGTGAAAATGTCGAAGGAGACCGATTCTACTTGAAACTTACCCATACTCTTGCTATCACAAAGACAAAAGCCATTGCATATGTTGGATTTTTATGGGTCTCCGAGGTATGTCAACTTTGGATTTGTAATAATAGGTTAAACTTTATCTCATTACAGCTCTTCCAAACATTCATCATTGTTGCTGTGTTGTGGTATGGAGGTCACTTAGTTTTAACGAAGAAAATGCAGGTCATCTCACATCGGAAAATATTATCCAGCGGTTGCCACCCAATTACTTTTACAGGCTGATTTACTCGTTTCCTTCCTTTTGTACCAAATGCAATTGGGTGACAATCTGCGCCAAATGGGCGAAGTTTGGACAGGTCTTATGCAATCCGTCGGAGCGAGTAGAAAGGTGGGCAGAATTTCAAGCTTGAGTAATGGACTAAGTATTGAGCTTATAGGTGTTTGAATACATAGATCGTGTTCCGACCATTCTTCACTATGGTACTGCTCAACCAGCGACACTTCGAGGACGTATCGAGTTTCGCAACGTTCATTTCAGCTACCCAACAAGGAGCAATTTACCAATTCTTAGGGTAAGTTGGCAATACATTTCCGCTCACATTTTTGAGAGAACGACGCAAAGTCGCCCGATTTATGTGACTCACCCTGACACAGTAGAAGGCCATCGCCCGATTTGCCACATCACGTAGCCATATCTCGTTTCAAAGACGAATTCTCAATCCAAAGGCACCATTCGACTCATTTCGGCGCGGCGCATCTTCTATATCATCTTCTGTATCTGTCTATATGAAAGTGCCTGTTTGGACACAGTAGAAGGCCAAATTCCACGAATTTTTCAGATTTTTGCTTTCGGCAGGTTACTCGGTGTAATTATTCGTCGCACTCGCTGGGCAACCTACCGTAAGCAAAAATCTGAAACAATTCGTGGAATCTGGCCTCCTACTGTGTTCAAACATGCATTTCTATATATATGAAGATGCACCGCGCCGATCTGAGTTGAGTATCCTTGGATTAAGAATTCGTCCACTATGAATTGGACAAAATTTTGTAGATATTTCTAGATTTGGACACGTTGCAGTGATGTCACATGCGACTTTGCGTCGCATCTTAAGAAAAAAATACGGGCGGTTTTGTACCTTGAAAGATGTGATCTAAACAGATTTTGTGCCTACGTGACTCTTTTTCTTGGTATGCCGTTATAGGAAACTGACAAACAAACGTATAAATTTATAAAAAAAGGTAGAAGGTTGGAAGTATAGTAATACAAATTATAAAATTATAATTTTCGACATTGCTATTTCATATTTTGTTTCTGTTGTTTACTTGCGTTTGTGACAAGACCACCACTACACGGGATCTGTTCCTGGAAAGTTAATGATCATGAGTATTGCCATTTTTCGCCGAAATATGAAATTTTGGAAATGAAGTCATTGATGTGAAGTGGAAATGATTTCCCTTTTATCTATGGATTGAAGATGCTCTATCCTGCTCACATATGTATTCATAAGAAAATCGCTACCTATTTTTCTAATCTCTCATACGCCCAACTGTGTATTCTGAGTTTATAAAATTTTTCTTACAAAAATGTTGAGGAGTTCTTCTGTTGATCTGTTTGAGCCGCATTGTGACTTATGCAGAATTTTGACAATTTACTATCACATTAATTTTTCGCCATCCAAAAAGCAATCTTGCAGGACTTGTCATTTACTGTTGAACCTGGTGAGACTGTGGCACTCGTAGGCCCATCTGGCTCTGGAAAGTCATCTTGCATAGCTCTGCTAGAAAACTTTTATCAGCCAAATGCTGGTCAAGTGCTTGTAGATGGTGTGCCACTAGAGGACTATGAACACCACTACATACATAGAAAGGTAAACAACAATCAGAAACCGTAAGAGGTTGCTGGAATATAACTCTACAGATCGCACTCGTCGGACAAGAACCTGTACTTTTCGCTCGATCAGTAACCGAAAACATTCGTTATGGTGTAGATGTAATGGAAGCGGTGAGCTTACCCAGCCAATCCTACTTAGGTTAAAATGAATTATCATATATTGTAGGACGTGCTCAAAGCGGCTGAGATGGCTAATGCACATAGTTTTATCATGCAAACCACGCACAAGTACGAGACAAATGTCGGTGAAAAAGGAAGCCAGATGTCTGGTAAGACATAAATATTTTGTCTGGTAAACAGTGACCGGTAGTTGTTTCAGGTGGACAAAAGCAAAGAATTGCGATAGCAAGGGCACTGGTGAGGGAGCCTGCTATACTTTTGCTTGACGAAGCTACATCAGCCCTGGACACAGAATCGGAACATCTCGTACAGGTAACTGAGTCAACATGAAAGGAATTCAAGAACTTTTGGTGATGAAGCAAGCAAAGATGGCCTTAAAGTTTTCTTCATCTTTCCGAGTTTGCTCTTTTGGAACATTCTTTTTTGCTTTTTGAATGTTTTTTCAATCATGTAATTTGAAAAGCCGCATTCCTCTGCCTGACAACTTTTTTTGCAAGATTTACCTATACCAAAAAAATTACTCAAGGAAGCCATCTACAAGAATCTGGATGGAAAGAGTGTGATTCTAATCGCGCATCGTCTATCCACTGTGGAAAAAGCCGATAAGATCATCGTTATCAATAAGGTAAGTCACATGCGGTTATGGCTTCAGAATGTAGCAAATTTCGCGTTTTCACGGGATTCAAAGGATTTGATCATGATTTTCTGACAGGACTCGGCACCAGTTGGAAGCAGGGAGATTTTAGAACGAAACCCCCAATCTGAAATCTAACGAAGTTCTGACTTTACCCCGCCTCTCTCACTACTTCTCAATTGTCATTTTTGCTTGTGCTGTCGCTTACAACAGAATAGAAGGTATAAGGTTAAGAGCATCTTTTACTATTCGAACCAAAAATTTGAAAAAAAATTATCACTTGCTTTTATGATTGAGCCAACACCAAGATTATTATAGCATTTATTCGGCTAACGTTTCGGCCTAGTCGCCTTTGTCAGAGCCTATAAAGTGGGGAACATTAGGAATCAACCTCTCAAACATCTTATCACTTGTAGGAAAAAGTCTAAGAAGTTGCATAGACTTTCGTTAAAGCTTAGAACTATTGGCTCACTTTTTTTGTCAGAATGAGGTGGAACTACCGCTGACTGGGATGCGCTAACAATGAGTGAGGCAAGTTTCTGGAGGCTACGCATAGATCAAAACTTGCACAACTCCACTGATGGCGCGAGCTCAGTTGTTACGGCGGTGCATTCTTTTCTGTTCATTTTGGGAATTCGAGATAGAATCCAGCACGCCTCGAGCGTCTTTCGTGCTGACACCTCGGTTTCCATTGACAGAATGTTGATCGAAAAACATCGGATTCTATATCCTGGTGACATAGCATGCGATGCGTGCCCAACGGTGTTGATAGCCTTGATCTTCGCAACCCGTCCGAAACGTTAGCCGAATAAATCTTATCTATAAAGCTGAATGTGTGTCTGTCTGTCTGTCTGTCTGTCTGTCTGTCTGTCTGTACGTATGTGCGGAATAGAAATTTTTATCTCTGAACCGATTTGGACCAAACTTGGCACACATACACTTCGGGGCAGGGAGCGTGTCATAGGCTACTTTTCGTTATCGATCGATATCGATTTTATCGATTTTTTGCAAAATTTGAGCTACGGGGCTGGGAGTTGGCACAGGGGGTAATCGAGCATGCTGATTACGAATATAATAATGACAGGGCCGGGCGGAGCCGGGTTTGCCAGCTAGTGCTATAATAATCTTGGTGTTGGCTCAATTATAAAAGCAACTAATTCGATATGCCAAGATTCATTGGAAGTCGAACCTGGAACATCGTGCAACGTGTACCACGAAATTAGTACTCTTTGCATCATGCGTTGAACGCGTTTTGCTCTGTAGTGGAGCCTGAGCCTAGCTCTGCACTTGTTTCCTTCCCTCTACGCCTCCATCACTTCCCAATTCTTTTCCTCTCCCCACCCTATCCACCTCCACCCTACACCTGAAAATGATATCAGATATGTATAAGAAGAAAGAACATAAAAATTAAAAGAAGTAAATTGTAAGGTGAGCATAATTGAGGCCAAGTTGGATTCCCTAGAGGCGCCCTTTAGGATCGGAACTGTGAAACCAACGAAAATGTCTGAGGGCTATTAAAAGCTTAGAGAAAAAATTATGAGATGGTTTTTTGCTTGTATGAAAATTTTTACGGTAAAGATATAATATATTCAAAAATATACGAAAATTATGTAAACAAAGGGTGTTCCAGCAGCGCGCGTTGGAACCCAGCTGGAGCGGTTCCAGCTAACCGAAAAAAGTTGTGCACGCTTTCGTTCACATAAATTTTCATAAATACTCGGGCAATAGTTCGAGTCCCCTCACGCGTATGCGCACACCAAGTATGGTGTCATACCATCGCGTTCAAGCAGCGTTGTGAACAAGCGTTGTGCGGTACGCAACCGACATGTATGGCAGCGTGCAACTTGTGGCTCCTCCACGAATCCCACAAAAATGATATCTTCTTTTTCCCTCGAACACGGTATTCAATTTGACCCGATTCCAGCTATGCCGGGCCTTGTTCGTCAAGGTATGGTAATTGCAGGGTAGAATGTGTTATTCTGTAGAATTTGTGTTTGTGACTCTGCTAAATTTCTAATCTAATCACCTTTGTTCTGCTCAGTTTTTTAAGTTTCGCCCAAATGCCTCATATTTCACGAATTTCGCAAAATCTGGAACATGTTTCATATTCTGGATGACTTATGTATATAATGTGCAGTCATTTGAAATAAATCACAGTTTTAGGGAAAAGTAGAACAAATCGGCACACACGACGAACTGCTCAGACAACCTGGAACTTATGCGACTTTGGTTGCACGTCAGATGATGGGAGACCAGCGACCACATCATCCTCAGCTGGAAGCTCCATCATCATCTAAGTACTAGACACTTCTACTCTTTATTTTTCAATTTCGATTCGATTTTGCAGACCCGTAAGTGTGATCGGAAGTCACCATGGAGGAATGTCTTTGCTGTCGACGAGTTTCACTCATTCAGCTAGTAGTGTAACGTCACGTTGAGCAATTTGGCAAATCTGCTGAAAAAATTTGTGGTATTTACACTGCAGTATCTGGAAGATCTGAGGTCAATTCCTGTTAATGAATTTGTTACATTTTATCTTCACGTTATTGTTTCATGTATTTACTGTATTGCATAGTGAATAATGTTATCAAATATGTCGTTCCACAAATCTTGATTCAAGTTTTTGCTCCAATGATCTTCTTTGGTTTTTTTTGGAAGAAATAGTAAAAAAGCGCGGTTAAACTAGACCTCCTTGAACTTTTGGTTAGTACTTATCGGAGTGTAAAAGAAGTGTGGCTTCAATCAATTTACAACGAAGGGTGTATTAGTAGAAAAGAAGAAAAGCCAAGGAAGGGGTGGTGAAGAGCAGTTTAAAAGTGGTACATAAATCCCGAAGAAGCAACTGCAGCGCGTAGAGGACGATGAACGACTCGGTTACTAGCATAGGTTTGAAACAGAAGATGTATGCTTTTTGACTTTGGTGAATGACCTGAAATGGAAAACCACATTCGCGCTTATGTTTGTGCCCTGCTAGTTCACCACTAGGCATATTACCGTATTTTGGAAAATATGTAGTCTCCTTAATAGTAAGTTTAGAACCATTGCTTTTGCTTCATTCTAGAGTGCCTTGACCAGTGCCGTTGCAAAAAAAAAGAATTCCAAAGCGGGAAACTTGCTGCACATGTTGCCTGCAGGCACGTCCTTCCCGCCCATCAACTACGTGGTCCGAAAGTAATGCGCGCTAAGTTGCGGTTCAATTACCTAAGTTCTGGTGTTTTTGGAATTTTTTGGAATTGGAATGGAATTTTTTCTTGCTTCAAAATTGATCTCTTGCAGCAGCTTGGTCAATTTCTTCCGCTCCGGTATTGTAATCCACTAAAATCTCCCCACCTTCAGTTTAGGTGGATGGTCTTCGGAGTGTTACTAAAGCGAAAGCGCTAATGAAATCCTGACTCCATACAACCAGATTTTAGAACGAGTTGATTCATCCTACACTTGACACTAGGACGACTCTTCCACTAAAGTTCATCCTACACTTGACACGATGAGAAAGGCAGAAGCTCGCTTTGCAGAATTGGGTCCACATGAAAGGCACAAAAAATTGTGATTCTTTGCAATAAAAGTAGATTTTGCACGTTTCTGAACCTTGTTCTAAAAAGAAGATGAAGAACATTCAAAGCGTTTTGGTGAGAAGCTGAGTTTACTGCAAATGACCTGTATACCAGTAGCGGTCCAAGAAATTTATCTCGGGGGAGGGGAAGAGGTAGATGGGGCAGAACTTCTAATGAATTAGGTTACCCCGCATTGAAATCTGTTGGAGGCGCTTACCAATATTTTAGCTTACAATCGCGAAGTTTTAACGAAGGAAAAGAAAAGGTTTGTTATGGTGATTAACGAATGCTAACAAACTGTGAAGCATCTAGCGCGCGAGGGACTTCGGAATAGTCGAAAATCATTTGAGGCTGCGCAAATGAAGACTTGAAACTCTTGCCACAATTGGAAGGAACGGTGCCACCCGGAGAAGACCAAGGGAGGCCACGACTTCCTTGACTTAAGCTCTTCATACCCAAAGCATCCAAATCATGGTTCCTCCTCTGTGCTAGGGCTTTGTATACTATAGAAGCCCCCCCCCCCCCTCCCCCTTTATTCCACCCACAATAATTCCTTTATACTGCAAACTGTTTCGAAACGATATTCTTACAATTAGATAACTGGGAACATCCGGCGCGATGAAGAAAATTTCCCCTCGTTTCCCACCCTTCAGCGTAGCGAAGGAGGAGTTGTTGACAGCGAGGCATCAACTGTCGCAGAGGTTTTGCACCGTGAGAAAATTAGAAAGGCGGTATAATCCTATGACGCAGACAAACCCGATACGACAGAGCGATTATAAAATCGGCACTATTATTTCTGCTATAATATTCTCTATTCACAACTACGAGCGTTTCTGATACGATATTCTCAGTTTACAACTACGATCTTCATCAATTTTAATCCTCGCAACAGCAATAATCTGTTTCCCGTTCTGGTCGCTAAAACAGATAATTTTTAACTAATTTTTTGAGAAATGGTCCAGGTTTTCTTGAACTGGACATCCTTTCAAGTGAATCTTAAATTCCACTCAAATTTTGTGAAATTTTGAAGAGCATTTTAACAGCAAAAAATGAATTTTTTCAAAGAACTCTGCGAGTAAGCTGTGAAGTCGCTGGCAGGTCCAAGGTTAACACTTTCAAAGAGCCCTCTTTTGAGCAAAAAATGTCTGCTTCATTCAAATTTTGTGAAATCTTGACAAGAATCTTAATCTAAAGAGCATTTCAATGGCAAAAATGCGCTGTGGCCTCGTCGATTGAACTTAGGCACGCTCTCTCTGGTGAAAACTTCAGTTCCGAATCTACAGAAATTGCACTTGCTGCCGTGTGAAAATTCAGCATGGAAACTGTGGTCTCGCTGGTTGAGCTAAGGCACAGGCTCTCTCTGTGGCTGATCAGTTTTTGGAGCGGAAGGTTTTGTTTCCCCCCAAAACTTTCATGATCGGTGAAACCTCAATTTTAGAGGAATGTACGCCACGAAAATGCATTTGCTGCCGAAGTGAAGAACCAGCATCTGCGGTCTCGCTGGTAGAGCAATTTTCTTGGAAATCGATGAATACATAACTTTCGTTCCAAAAACTGATCAGCCACAGAGAGAGCCTACCTCAGCCCAACCGACGAGACTACAGCTTCCATGCTGGATCTTCACTCCGGGAGCAAATGCATTTTCTGTGGAGTAAATTACACCGAAATTGAGGTTTTCGATTTTCATTAAATGGGGGAAACTTTTCTCTCTCAACTGATCAATGGAGTAGTAGCACTTCGTAACTTTGATTATACAAGGGTCAAGTATGTATACACTGCTTGATCGTTGATATCTCTTTTCCCAAGAAATCTTTTGCTTATCTTCTGGCAACATTTGGTAGAGTTAGCTTCTAACTTATTGTTAGATCCACAGTATGTAGCAAATCACCGGCTCTTTTTAGCTGTAGAAGAACTACGGTGGAAACTTCAAGAAGATTTGTGAGGCATTAGGGCCCTATTGCGCCTCAGAAAGCAAACCAAACAACATTCGAGTCGCTAAAATTGATATGAAGTTCACGTTTTAGCGCAATACTTCTTTGAAAGTTATGCCAAATAAATCGCAATAGCTGTTTTTATAATGCCCCTACAATCGTAATTACAGCACTTGAAAAGCTATCAAACTCGTGAAAAGTTGAATAATAAAATCAGCGCGAGTGAACCCCTGGTACACCACTTTCCAATTTTGTGAGCTTTTTTGAGAACGACTGATTCACAATACAATGTAAGCTGAAAACTCCAACGTAATCCTACAGTAATGAAGAGCGATTGATTTGCTCCATACTAGAAATTTAACACGTTGACGACGAAGCTGTTTTTTTATGTCTGTCCTCCCTGTGGACGAGCGTTTTTGGGCGTTTTCACAGCCAGCTGCGTATATGTATGTGTATGCATCTATGCGTAAGGTACAAAAATGCAGTGGGCGGGTTGGCTCCGCCTACTTTTGGCAAGCCCCGTCCACTTTTCGAAAATGCTGGAAATTGCTCAAAATCAATGAATTCGTGCAAATTCCGGCATTTTTGAAAAGTGGGCGGAGCTTGCCTCTCAGGGGGTGGGGCCTGCATAATGGGGGGTGGGGTCAAAATTGAGATTATTTAATGTTCCGCAGTCATCTACGAGCTTTTCTATGCGATTTGAGAACGAAAAATATTTTTGACAAGGGAGTGGGCGGAATTTGCCAAAAGAGAGGCGGGGCCAACATGAAAAGCTTCTGAGCCTAAATGATTATGTAAACACAAATTGGAACCATTGTGCACACTAAAGCTGGTATTTAGGATGTCGCGCACCATGGCGCGACATCGTCCACAGGGACAGACTGCCTGTCGCGCACCATTGTGCGACACTGTCGTCAACGTGTTAATGAGTTGAAACCTAAAGCTCTACAAAATGGTGCCTAAAGATAAACAAAAGACTTCTTGGGGAAAGAGTTATTAAAGACCAAGACAGTGCGTTCATACTTTTGGAACATGGTGTACAATAAAAGCGAAAATGGCTGGAAAAGTCAAACAACAATGACAACGATTTAGGAAGAAAAGAATTTGTCATGACTTAAAAGCTCGAAGAGAATCGAAATACATGGGTAAAAAATGACAGTTTCATCGAGCTGTTCAGGAAACAGAATGACTTCATGTAGGAGGAGCCAGCAGGAAAGCTTTGTACAGAGAGCACAAGATCGCAGCTGAAAAAAATACCCTTTCGCATACCCTTCTTCTCCAATGGGGTGAGCATCGTCTTTCAGCGGTGTCTAACAAGGGAACGATCCCAAATTAAGGTGGCGAATTGGAATAAACCGCATACCATTAGATGCGTCTTGATGAGCTGATTCCAAATCTTCCTTCCATATCTGCGACAACGTTATCTGGAAGAAGTTATGAAAGGTTAAAAATGTGAAGTAACGGGGGTTTTGATGCATAATTTGCTTTGAAATCCAACTTGGAAGTGCACGACTAGCATCATATTGAGTGTACTGATTTCATGGAATGCTCACATTCAAAAGAAACGCAAATAAATGTTTTTGAACAGCTAAAGAGCAACTAAAGTTTTTTTGTAAAGGCTATGAGCGATGATAACTCCAAATTTGGCAAATATACAGCGCAGTACCTCGAAAATCAGTCGTTCAAAAACACTTATTTGTGTTTCTTTAGAGTGTGAGCATTCCTTGAAATCAGTACACTCAATATGATGCTAGTCATACACTCCCAAGTTGGATTTTGAAGCGAATTATGCACTAAAATCCGTTACTTCACGTTTTTAACCTTTCATAACTTCTTCCAGATAACGTTGTCGCAGATATGGAAGGTAGATTTGCAATCAGCTTATCCAGACGCATCTAATGATATGCGGTTTATTCCAATTCGCCACTTTAAGTTGGGATCGTTCCCTTGTAAGAGGGGAAGGGCTAGGCAATTCAGTTTCGGTAGTAAATATTGCTCCGAACAACTTGAAACGTGTCACTGTGCGGAATCAACTGTGCTATTGCAGTTGC